GCTGTTAATGGAGGTTATTAGGAAACAATCCGGATTGTAACCCTAGTGGAAGACGCCAGAGGACGCCAAAGCAATACTCAATCAGGTGGCATTGGTGGAGGACGGCAACAGTCAGGAGGGAGATTCCAGTTGGCGAGAATCCGTCTCGAGGAGGGGCAGTCACGAAGAAAACCCGAATTTGAGAATAACAGTAATGGTGGAGGAAATTCTAAAGAGCACCATTCTTTGGGACGAAAATCTCCCTCTAAAAATTCGATCATTTCGTTCTTCCCAGGTGTGGTACATCATTGATGAAAAAAATTAATTTACGGAGGAGGTTTGTTGGTGAGTTTATCCTCCATTGTTCAGAAAGCAAGTGGATCAAGTCATCCCAATTAGTGATTGCAATGAAGAATTGACATCTAAGTTTGATGAACCGCTAAATTGGAGATACAAAATAGCATGTGAGGAATAAGTGATGGTGGGATTCTGGTTGAGAATTGCATAAGACACATATGTTGTTGTGATTAGACATTGATTTGCTATCAATAGTGGGTAACCTAGACTGAACTGCAAGCCAAAGATTGAACTTCATACAAGGAATTGTAGGGGAGATCCAGACTAAGTTATACCAGTGGACTCTTGGAAAGTGCTCTGAGAAGAATGATGTTGTATGCTTGAAGCTGAACTTGCCATTTGGTGATGCTGACCAGAGCTTATAATCACTTCTTGAAGAGCAAGGGTGCTGGAGAAGCAATACCTCAGGAATTGCAGAAGTGAGGCTTATGGGAAATGACCAGGATGAGTTTTGGATGAATGTAGCCACCGAGATTGATTCATGGAACCCAGCATTTGTGAGAACACTTTGTGGGAAACGAGTGCAAAGAGGATCTCCTATGGACCAATTATCAAACCAGAATGAAGTCTATGAGCCATTGCTTACTTTGTGCTTGATAATTTGCCTAGCAAGATGTCTAAACTGTAAAATCTTCCTCCAACTCCAGGAGCAGGGATGTGGAAATATGAGTCAAAATTGGTGGCTTATATTTAACCCATTTAACATTCTATAAAAATAGGTTGAATATGAGTCATTCATTTTAAATAATATTTTAAAATAATATACCCATATTTATTTTAAAATAGACAAATTAATGAGCCATGACCTATTTTGTTATCCCTAGTTTTGAAATAATATATCCATATTTATTTTTAAATAGACAAATTAATGAGTCATGAATAAAAATGCTAAATGGGCCAAGACCCACAACTTCTTGATCCCATCGACCCATAGAAAGATATGAAATAAATATGCAATTGATCTGATCAATTTTTTATTTTTTGACCTGACAATGGTTAGAGAGCTATGGTTTTGATGTTGATATGTCCAGAAGACTAGTAGTGTTTGAGCCGTTGGATTGACAAGTATTTTTTTCTAATCCAACGATTAAGGGAGCTCAGTACCCAAGATAGCGTTTTCCCATTCTTAAATGGAATCACATGTTCACCCACTGCAAGTTTCTTAGATTTCCCGCTTCCCACGAAAAGAAGAAATCAGATGATGAGAGATAAAGAGAAAGAGAGAGGCGCATCACATGATACCCAAACGAAGCCAGAGAGGTACCAAGCAAAAGCAAATGATAAGAAGCTATGATGAAAAAAGTGTTTTACCAAAACAGAATTAAATAACTCTTTGTCCCCATTCCCGTTGATGTCTTTATATCTATAATTTGATTTAAATAACTCTTAAAAGTTAGTGAACACAAATATATATATATATAATGATACCTTTATGGAATGGCAATCCATAAAGCTAATACTAGTGAATATTGACTGCAAAAGTACACCCCCATAAAAAATGTCGAGTGTTGATTAATTTTCTTCTTTACTTGTTAGTACCACCTACTACGTAGCAACAACTATTAAAAGCTGTATGAGTGGGACCCTGTTTCTGTGCAAATAAACTTGTCTGTAAAGCTGAAGCTTCTGAATGGATTCACATGGATAAACAACACATTGACGATTTGAATTTACACCGTAAGTCGAAATGTTATAGTGAATTTGTATAATTGAATAATTTTAATTGGCCATGTTTGTCATGTTACAGAGTGGAGGACCTTAATTTCTTATATTTTGTATAGATGACCATATTTTGTAGTTACGATATTCATCGTGATCACGGTATAACGAGTTTAAACAAATAACGGTGTAAACTAGTTAAATCGACCGGTTCATGAAGGTGTATAGTAATATCGAATTTTTAAAAAAGAGTTACGAATCAAGCGATACAGCGAACTTTGTACATAACTAATTTAAATCTTTTGATAAGGGAACTCATTGTATTTTTTCGGCCTTAAAATTATTTTTTACTTTATTTTTCCCTTTGTGAGAGGCAATAAATATTATGATGCCTGATTGAGTGTTATAACAATACCATACCATAATATTGAACGACTACGATGGTTCATAGTGTGCCGCGATTATACGCATGAATGATTGTTACACAAAGCGCGTTGTATTGTTGAAGATTGAAAATTTGGACTCATATCTGATTACATATAATGTATATACCTGATGACTTTTTCTATATATATATATATATATATATATATATGTGATATATTTGGCGGCACCCAATTAACGTCTTGAATTTGAGAGCAACTTCTTTCAAATTCAAATCCAAAACACCGAATTGATAATCCTAGCAAACATAAGAATAATGTTTTTAGAGCTTGTGAAATTGGCAAATTGAGATTGGTAATCGTAAAAGGTTGTATGCCCTAAACTCTACCAGACCCCACCAATCATTCAAGACAACCTATCAACTATGATTCATTTTCTTGGGCACTTTATGTGTATTGTGTGACTCAGTGTGTCTGTTGTCAACACTCAAAGCAAAATAGAATCATCTATGTCCCCTCATTATCAATGCTGTAATGCAAATGACAGTGAATTAGCAAGTGACATTAAGTGCATTTCATTTCACGGGAATGTAATGGAAATGAAGAATGATTTCAAGTATAATTACAGTACTACACATTGAATACATCTTAAAGACCACTTTAAAGATACAAAAACCATTAAATCAGTTTTCATTGCACAGGGAAAGGGGGGTATATGCGACCAAAACACTGTTCAAAAGGTTAAACACTCTCCTGCATTTGCTTTCCCTTTCTTAAAAGAAGCTCTGTTTTCTTCTTGTTTCTACTGCTTTCCCTCTATCCAAACAGTAGTCCAATTTAGGATAGAGCGTTAATATTTGATTTTATTGGTGAGAATTATAAATGTTTTAACAGTTCCATTCAACTATACCTTTGTCGGCCTTTAGACGATGGTCCCAAAGGGGACCCAAACCTGGACAATTTCGGAGTCATTGATTGCAAGACAAAAGTTGTGTGTTACACCAGTGGGACTACCCTTGGTATTAAAGCATACGAAGAAACCAAAACCATAGTGGACACTCACTTGGGACCCTCCGTCCTTGTTCGTTTTTTTTTTGATCTGTAAAAACCAAATGCCCCTCCGACGGAGAGACCAACCAACCTCCACATCCGTTCTCCCACCATACCGCAAAACACACACTCTCTCTCACACCAAAATTACTTTGCTTGGTTTGACTTTACAAGAAGATATCCGGTGTGCCTATTACACTTCAAAAAAATGGAAATAAATCATCTCCAAGAATTTTTTTTTAAAAATATTTACAAGTATTTTATCTTATAAGTGTTAAGACGTCATATTAACAATTTAATTAACAAATGAACAAAAGAAAAATGCACTGTTCTTTCTCATCTAATTATCGGTACAAAAGTAAGATATGTAGTTCTTACCAAAAATGTTGTTAGCTTGGTTGGAGGGGTATAATGTTTCGATCAATAAATATTGTTAATTACTATCCTCTTAAAATTAGTTCATCATAAAATGAATATTTGGAAATTAAGTTGGAAATAATTTAAGAATTTGTGTAAAAATCTACAAATTTGGGTATAATTTTTTTTTTTTAGAATTTGTCAATAAGAATATAAATTTCAATGAATACGTGATAATATTATATATATATATATATATATATATATATATATGTATGTATACATTTATATATGATTCAACTAATCTAGATGTTGCAATAAGATAAAACTCTAAAAGATAGAGGAGATTTAAATGACTTTTGAGTTATTTGATGTAGTGAGATTTTAAAATATTTTCTTAACTAAGAAAAATATGTGAAATTTTCCAAATCTTTAATTGTAACAAATAAAGATGGGTGATAATGAAAGAAATCAAAAGAGAGAAGCCAAACATAATGGCGTTTTTAGTCAAACTTTTATTAATTAATTAAATTGGTGATGTGGTGCCTTGACAACTCGCATGATTAAATACTTATAAATGTTTAGAGACAAATTTCCCATAGAGTATCCATTTATGAGGTACTGATTACACTTGATAAAAATGCATCTAAGTAACCGCTATACTAATTTTCATTTTTGAGCTGACCTATATGATTGGATGCCCAATATCAACACCCAAAAAAACCCCTTCTCTCACACACACCAAAATTTCCTTAATGGTTTATCAATGTTTGGGGTGTCAAAATATTCAGTTCTAACCCAGTCGGTTAGAGCGATTATGGGATGGCTAAATAGTTTTGAATGAAGGTTAAGCTTGAAAACCCGGTTTGCCTAATTTATAGTTATAAATTATAATTTGATCCTTACAATGTTTTATTTCCTTTTCAATAATATTAGGAGTATTAAACAAATATTATTTTTTTCTATTCCAATCACTAAATATTATTTTGATATTACAATAATAATTTTAATCTTTTTATGGACATAAGGGAAAAAAATTATTATCATAATTAAAAATTATTTTATTTTTTACTCTCGATTATATTTATGTTATAATTATAAAGATATTTTACAAAATCCGCCACTGCCCGTCTCATTCCCACCCGCCCCGTTTTGTAAAAAAAAATCTCTCTCTCACACAGTTACACGCTTGGCACATATTCATCTGAATCCCTAACAATATATCTTGGTATTAAATGGTGACTCTAGTGACCTCTTGCTGTTTTAATGTCATTTACTTACTTGATTCACGCTCGTCCTCGTCACCTTCGTCTCGTATCCACCGCCATTTCTTAATTCTTTTATCTCTCTCTCTCTCTAAACTCTGTGTCTTTCTCTCTCTACAGCCAACCCTCACTGATGCCAATGCCCTAAAGGACAACAACCTAAAACACCTTGTCACTACTACTACCATCCGCTACATCTGATGGCAGCTACTGCGACCCACCTCAAAATCCAAACCCAACCCACCAAACCCAAGCGTCGACGGTATCGCGAAACCACCATCTCCGCCTCCGCTGTACCAACTTCTGAGTCCTTATCTGACCCTTCCCCCGCCTCGTATCTGACCCACCACCGCAAGCTTGACCCTCCAACCGTTGTCTCCCCCGACAATTCCTGGTGCTGCCCGGCCTCCAAAGCCCCTGCTCCTCCGCCACCACCACCGCCGCCGTCTCCGCCTCCACCACCACCACCACCACGCCACAGTACCCCACTCGCAAACTCAAACCCAGAACCCGTTTCCGTCACCGTCGTCTCCAACTCCTCCCCGTCTTTGTCGCCGTCACCGTTAAACCCTAATTCTCCGTCAAATCCCAAGATTCGATACTCACCCGGTACGGTTCCTCAAGTTATGGACTCCATGCCCATCACCGCTACCACCGTCTACGGCGGCGCCACTGCCTACGATTCCTTCCCTTCATCTTTCAGCAAATTCAATTCTGCCCTCACCGCGGGACTCTTGAACCCAATGTCGCCGCCTCCGTCGATCGATAAGACTCGATCGAGTCCGACACTGTTCGAGATGATGGCGAGCGAGCCTGATTGCCTCCCCAGGTCTCAGATCCCCGCCACCAACGCCGCTGTGTCGGGCCCTAAATCCCAAATTTCAGTTCAAGACAAGCAAGCATTGATGCAACAGAGATTATTGGACATTTTGGCTTCTCGTAGTCCCGGCAATCAGTTCAATGACCCGACGTCGAGCGACGTTAAACTGACGTTGAGCTCCAAGGATGGTCTCAGTATTTCCATGAATACTCATAGGCAAATCCTGGTAGCTCACAGCCGGTTTTTCGCCGCGAAGCTTTCCGATCGGTGGTCGAAGCAACAGAGGACTTCGAATCCTTACATCGTCGAGATTGCTGACTGTGACGACATCGAGGTTTACATCGAGACGTTGAAATTGATGTATTGCAAGGATTTGAGAAAAAAGCTTATGAAGGAAGATGTTTCCAAGGTCCTTGGTATCTTGAAGGTAACAATGATATAAATATGCACACACATGAATGTATCTATTTATGTATAGAACACATATACACACATAGACATGAATGTACAAGCACATCATATGTGTAGGAGAGATGGATTGTAGTTAAATTTATAAATAATTGTGCACATATATAAATTTGTGTATGTATAGATTGGGGAATTCATTGGCAAATTGTGCATAAATACTATGGTTTTGAACTCTGTTTGATGTTGTTGTAATTTAGGTTTCGGCCGCAATTGGATTTGATGCGGGGGTTTTGTCATGTTTGGAGTACTTGGAGGCTGCTCCATGGGCTGAGGATGAAGAAGAGAAGGTGGCTTCTCTTTTATCAGAGCTTCGGCTCGAAGGGGTTGGTGCCGGCGAGGTTCTTAAGAGGGTTTCGATTGATGTCACAGGTGGGGTTGATGAGGGCAATGACAATGAAGAAGTGCTTCTCAAGCTTTTACAGGTAGTTCTTGAAGGGAAAGATGAGAAGGCGAGACGAGAGATGAAGGGATTGGTATCGAAAATGCTTCGGGAAAATTCTTCTCAAAATGATTTGAGAAAGGAGTCCTTGTATTCTGCTTGTGATGGGTGCTTGCAATTGCTTCGCTGCCATTTTTTGCGGGCAGCAGAGGCGGACTTGCAGGATGTGGGTCAGATTGCGCGGCAGGCAGATAATTTGCACTGGATTTTGGATATCTTGATTGATAGGCAACTTGCTGAGGATTTTTTGAAGACATGGGCATCACAATCTGAATTGTCTGGTGTGCATTCTAAAGTGCCTGCAATTCATAGATATGAAGTTAGCAGAGTGACTGCGAGGTTGTTTGTTGGGATTGGAAAGGGGCAGCTATTGGCTTCAAAAGATGCAAGGTGCTTGCTTTTGCAGACTTGGTTGGTACCCTTTTATGACGATTTTGGGTGGATGAGGAGGGCATCGAAAGGCCTTGACAGACACTTAATTGAGGATGGTCTAAGCAACACTATTCTGACTCTGCCTCTAGCTTGGCAGCAGGAAATTTTGATGTCTTGGTTTAATCGGTTTTTGAACTCTGGCGATGATTGTCCAAATATACAGAGAGGGTTTGAAGTTTGGTGGAGGAGGGCTTTCTGGAGACGAAATGGCGAACCTGAAAGGCCCCGGCAGATTCGGGTTACAACTGCAACTATAGAGAACTCATGAACTTAACAGTTCCACAATGATCTTGGCGGTATTGTACTAGTGCTTCTGTCTCCTTTTATCTTCTTGCGATCATTCCGTCTTCATTCCACATTATGGTTATTGTTTTAATTCTTCCGTTCTAAACGGGGTCCAAAAATTCGTTGTAGAGGAATTGGATTTGTAAAGGTGGATGGTGTGCCAGTTTTAGTCTAGAAGGAGAGGTATATGTAGGTGCAACTTCCATATTTTGTTGGGAATAATGAGAATAGAATTTGCCTGTTGTGCTCACTTTGACACTTAAAATCTGCTCTTCTCCCTCTGTTATCATATCATAAGAAATGGTATTTTGGTTCAGAAGGGGTTCATGTCATATATTTTTTCAGATTTCAGCATCAACTATTTGGGAGATTGTACCTCTCAAAGAAGAGATTTGTAACCAGTGTTCAATCATGAGGAGCTAGGTAAGTCAGACGAAGATTAAGATTGGACCCTAGTATTGGCTTTTGCTGTCTTAAGCCTTTCTAGCTACTGGTTCTTACCATGACAGATTTATAGCTGAATTACAATCACCGCCAAATGATGTAGATTAGGTATACAAGAAATTCATTTTCTATCAAATTCTTCTGGTGGTCAAATGGTGAACAGATAGAGTCACTGTCATGCTCACCACTTACCAGGCAGTAACAATGTACTTTCTGATTGTGCGCAATGTGCTGTCTTGGCCTGTGACCAAATATGAAGATGGGGTCTAAAGATATATTGAGCTTATGGTGTTTGTGCAGTGGAGTATTTTCATGATTAGACTTCGCTTTGCCCCTACATTTGATTTATCTTGTCTAAAGCCTTGTTTGTGCATTATTAACTTTGCCTATATTCAATGATTCAATGCTACAAATGTGTTTTATTTTACTACTTCTTGGTTCGGTGTCAATTCCTTTTCTTCTTCCATCCTCATGCTGTCTTCAGCCGGCTTTGTTTTGGGGTGTTTGAATTTGGCATGTCATTATTGTCCTTTGATAATGAAGCTTGAACTGTTTGCAGTCATGATCATGGATGTAGCACTAGTTTATGAACCATAATTCTTTGTAATATATGTTTGGTTTTTACATGTTGATTTCTCTTTTTGGATTTTGTTTGTTGATCGCTGCAATTAGTATTTGATGCTTTGCATTCCCATCAATTGTTATCAACAGAGTCAAATGTTTTATAAAGAATTTTTTTTTTTTTTGTGAACTATTATATAAAGATGTTGTCTTGTATATGTGTGCGGATGTATATGTATTTAGATGTTGGTTTTTAGCGTTGGTGAAACGTCTGGCCAAGGTTTTGTTGCTGAGAAGTATGCTCAAATAAGGTTGTTGGCTTGTTGAAAAACATCATTCAGCATTTTGATGGATTTTTAAGCCACCAAGTTATTTGACCAAGTGTTTTCATATGGGTATATGATTTAACTAGTTTTACTTGTTCTATATTATCGAAGGTAGCAATTGTGCCTCCTAACCATCCCCTTCGTATAATATATTACTTTTTGATAAATACCTTCATTAATATTCTAAAGAAAAGGTTTGTTTGTGAGTAAATCATCTGTAGAGTTGGTAGTAAATGGCATGGCGCAGAAATTCTTTTGTGTTGTCTAGTTACTGTCTGGTTTAGGAGAAACTCTGTTAATTTTAGGGTGCTAGAAAGTTGAACTCAACTCATGCCAACAGCATCTTTTTTTTCCTAGTTGGTACTCACACACACTTATCTCTTGTGAGACTTGAATTCCTGACCTCCCTTTGGGAGGTAAGAGGCTGATATCGCTAGGCCAGCATTATGATCAAATACCGAGGCAAATCATCCCTCTAGCTTGGCATGATAAATCTTTTTTGGCCTAGTGTCTGTAGGTGGCTTTTAAAGTCCCTTGTCTAATCCCAGGGTTTCTTGGTTCGATTAGTTGTGAAATTTTGGGTAAGAGCGATGCCTTTGAAACTGAAAATTTGGAGACGATGCCACCTCTCTTGCTTTAATTTTCCGAAGGGTGGAAGTGGATGTCTTAATAATGCATTTTCTACTTATATGCCCTCATGGATGCCAAAGAACAAGTGTCATTTTGCTTCAGTGCCAGATACTTTCACTCTGTTTTGGTGCTTCCTTGGTTTGCTGCGGACCTTTGCTTATGTTTCAAAACTGGTATCAGTTCTTGCTTTCAGCTTTCAAGATGACTGGTCATTTCATGTGGGTTTCAACTTTCATGTGCGCTCCTCAAGGTGATTCTGTAGTCAGCTTTGCGGTGCTAGCGAATCTGGGCTAGTGAAACAACATGCGGGGAATTCGAGGATTATGTGACAAAACAGAATTCAGAATTGTCTGCTGTCACAAACAATGCGGTGTCATTGACAGACATTCAAATAAAACTTGGAACATTCCATAAAGAACAAGACGAAGAGCTTCTCAAAGGGTATAAAGTTTTTACTACCATCATTGGATAGGCATCCTACTAGCAGACACCAATTTTAGAAAATCAACAATCTGATTTTCCCACAAAAAACAGAAGTGCAAATTCATTCTTTAGCATGCTCATTCTAGTTACTCTTCTCTGCAGTCATTCAACGCTAGTTTTATATACAGATTTGTGCACTTCACCTGTTCACCATATACAACTATGTTTCTTGTTGACTGCACCCATCGAGCTCTGTCATGTCTGTCTTACAAAAATTTCCAGCTCCTAGCCTCCAACTCCGCAACCAAAACTGGTGAATATGAATGTTACCTAGGTTCTGTTCTCGTCATCATGGAAGTGGGTGAAGAAAGATGATCCAGTAGTCGCGTAATTTATTTCACCTGGTTTTGCATACTTTTGCCTTTCCCAAAAAAAATAAAATAAAATCCCGAATTTAGAGAATCCTAAGCATTTGTGAAACTATGAACAGAGTAATATTAAATAAAAAAAAGAAAAATAAAAAAAAAGAAGAAAAAAGAAAAAGAAAAGTACTCAGATGCATAGACAAAACCATAATTTTTACCAGTCCTGATCAATTAGCATTTCGTCTGTCAATCCAAACTTTCTTAGCTCTTCTTCACTATGATGCATTAATAAACTGTACCTGCATATATTAGATTTGATAAGAGTCAATTGTTTCAATACTCTACAACTTTTCAATTCTTTTCATGTATAGCTCAATTTATGAATGTAGTGATTAGGAATTGATAAAGCATGTTGTCAATGTCCTAGAACTAGAAGGCATCAGTTGGAAGAAAAAAGACTTTACCTTCCACCATAACCCTTTTCCATCACAAGCATGTTTCCATTCCCCATGTTAGTGAGTCCATGAAATTGCTCTACTGTCCATTTGTACCACCTCATTAGGAACACTCGCAATGTTAGACCATGTGATACTATCACTAAATTCATGTCGGGGCTTTGTTCACCAGGTGGCTGAAAGCGTCCGATATCGATGTCAGCTCTCAGTGTTTCTCTGAATCCTGTACCACAAAAACAATCCATTGTTCCATATCTCAAGTTCAATGACTGGTAAGTGATCAAATACCCGTTATTCGATCATAAACATCTGCTGCAGATTCTCCATTAGGAAAGCGATAGAAGAAACGCCCATAAACATGCCGAATTGCTTTCTCAATCTTCATCTTCTCCCTATCCTGAAAGTTTCCTTGGTGGGGAAAACCAAAAAACACAAACAGAATTAAGAGAATTAGGAGAACCTTTCACCAAAAAATGCCAATTCTGTGACATTTTAAGTACTTTATATTGACATACCAAAATCTTGCTCTCTCAAACGAGGCTCTTCCCTCACACCAGCTATCCTTGAGCGTTCAAAGGCCGTCCCCAGACTTCGTAGTGTTTCAAGCGTTCTTCTATAAGGGGAAACATAGAAGTAAACCTTCCAATCAGCTGCTCCATCTTTCTCAATCATCTCACGAATTCTCCTCCCCCGTTCTTCAGCTTCAGCCACTCCTTTCTCTGTAATTCCAATCCTTGGATCAGGAATCCTTGTATACACGCTCTCATCTACGTTTCCTTCACTCTGGCCATGTCGAACCAGAATGATCCTGCGGGGCCTAGGAGGCCTCACAGTGCCTGGACTTCTAAGAAGGTTCTTTTCAGGAAAAGTGGCCAAACCATTATCAGGATATTTAAGGTTCACTCTACCATTACCATCTGTGTCCTCACAGCATCGGATAGTGTGAGAATTATACAGTTTTCGGTGCAAAACTGGAGGAGACGAGGCTGCAGAGAGCATTGAAAGGAGGGTGACCATTGATTTTGGGGTAGCAAAGACAACAGAGATGGAAGATGAAAGGCAAAAGAGGAAAATGCAGCAAACTGATGAAATCATGATCACCGCTAGTCTTAGTCAGTTGTTGCAGATTTAAGCAATTTCAGTACAGGACATTTTAGTGTTTTGTATGTTTGTGGTAGAGTTATTTGGTCCCTCAGTCACTAGGTTGTGACAAACACTAGCAGCATCTACAAGCTGAGTTCTTACAACGCGCTGCATTGCGTTCGTGGCATGAAAATTGTTTGGTGCGTATGGATGAATGTGTGGTTGTGAATTCATTGTGTTTAGACAAGTGATGATCACTTGAAAAAGAAGTGTCTATAGATCAGTATATGTAGATTGAACTGTTGAATAGTAGTTGTTTATTTTTCATTCTTGCTCTATTAATGCTTTTGTCCTTAGGTTTAACGATCTGGGGACCAATGTACCTATATTAAAGAAACTAGTTATAGTTTAGCTCTGTTCAATAATTTTTTTAGAATTTTCATTTTATTCTGTACATCCTTGAGTGAATTCACAACTAGAAAGTAGAAACGAGTTACATTGACACACCAAATCATGTAATAATGTAGCAAGTATCATTTTCTATATGGTGACACATAGAACTACACTTTTCAAGCTCAGCTCATCCTTCATGTGTATCCTTTGCCATTGGAGTCAAGTCATTTGCTGCAAGTGGTAAGCAATTCCAGCACAATTGCCCAAGAGATGCTTTTGTGTTTTGTATGTTTGTGCAAGAGTTCTTGGCCCTCATTGTGCCAGGTTGTGGAAAGAGATGCCCATATCTTTACGCGGAGTCGGCGCACGCGCGCGCACACAGACACACACTGCACTTTTGGCTTGTGGATTGAAAATTTCTAGGTGGGAATGGGATGTGTGATGGATTCATTGAAGGTGTTGATGCAGATTGAACATCTGCAAAGCAATTGGTTTTCTGTTCTTTCTAAAAATGTGTCTCTGTCCTTGAGCATAATGGTGTGGATACAGGGGGGGACCAATGTGTTTATTGGTACATTCCCACTTGATGAATTTTGTGGGAGAGAAATTTTCAGTAAGAGTAATTAAATTAAATGAAGAACCTAAGTGGTATTAAATTAAATGGTGATTAATGAGTGATGAATTGGAATCTTGAATGTGAGGTCATGTAGCAGTTTTGAGCTACTGGTAATCTATCTTTTAAAAGTTGTTTATATGTCATGAATTTTGCAGGGGGGCAAAAAAATGGTGATGAATTTATTATAGGGCGCTATATATATATATATATATATATTCAATATAGGCCTATAATTTTAATCAGGCCATGAACTGCACTGGCCTGAAATTTTATTACTTCCCCCAAGCCCAGTTGTGTATTGGACTGGACTCTGGAGTACCATAGAAAAAGAGCAACTCTTATTAGTTACCAGCAAGTGAATTGACCCGGTAGGACTTGTCAACTATTTGCACAACAAAAAAGAATGGTTCAATTTTAAAGAGTTGTCAACTTCTAGTCGCTTTACCAAGGGTCCTCTGGTTCAATGGTATAACTTATCGTGTTAGAATTGTGGTTCAAATTCGGGGGAAAATTCTCATTCTAGAAAAGTGGAATTGGTTGCACTTGGGTCGGTGATTCAAAAAAGTTTAACCGATTGTACTTTAGTAAAATGCCACCGGTTGTACTTGCTTAATATGTGCAAAAAAAAAAAAAGCTGAAGTTTTGAGAAAAAAGTTGTGTCTGTTATTGTAGAGTTGTAATTGATACCGCAACTCCTTGTGGCAGGTTGGGGAATCTTTGTCAAATAAGAAATTGGGTTTAAACTTTAAATAAGACTATATATAGAGATGGGTGTGAGAAAATTAGGGTTGAGAGAGAAAAAGAAATAATTGTAGAGGGAAAAAAATGGGTTGACTTTGTGAGAAAAGAAAGAATGTATAACCAAGTTTTAAAGTAAAAATAGTTATTTTTCGTCCTGTCAATTTGTCAAATCACATAAATCTTATTTTGTTTTTGTTTTTGTTTTTGTGTGTGCTTTTATCTGTTTAATTTGTCAATAATGTGTGCAATTCTTAATTTGTTAATTCAATTCCAATGAGCATTTTTTTTTTCCTTGGCAAAGAACTCGATTGAGCTTGTCAAGTTGTGAAATTACTGTCTTCCTGCTCTGCATCCTTGTTGGTTCTCAAAAAAATAAAAATAAAATAAAATAAGCTTTACTTGCATTATACTTCTTCATTTTATTTTATTACTATTATATTTCTATTGGCTCACTTTCAAGTATAATGAGTTAGTCGGCAAAATTATATCAAAGTTAACACAAATAGAAGTCTTTTACCCAAATAAAAAATAATAATGCTATTAAGAGAGTTCAACATGTTGACTTATAAATTAATTTTACTTACTCCACACGCATACAAAGAACAATTTAAAGCTTTCAAGACAGCTAGCTTCCGAAAGATTTGAGTACTAAATACAATTTGTTGAGCATAATTTATATAGAAAATAAACCTCATTTAAAGATAGTTTCAACTTGCATGGATGTCCTTAATTGTGACCCCAAACCAGTGGACTTGAACATCACACTTGAGCATATATATATATATATATATTGAAAAATCCAGATAACATTTACCATAGTAGTATATATTTTCTTTCAAATTTGATATTTAAGTCAAACTTCTGTTACTTTGAAGGAAAGACTTCTATTTGAATTATATGGATATGTATTTAGTGAAAATAATTAATTTAATTTAAAGTCTTTTATCTATAAGTGTGAAAAGAGATTGATGACCGACTGTAGTTAATTTATTTTACTTATTTATTAAAAAATAGTAGATGTATCTCACGTCAACCATTCAAATTAATTTGCTAGAAAATTATAGTAACATAATATATTAAAAACAAATCACTTGTCTGTTATACTAGATTTTTTCGTGATCAACCAAGGACAATGTTAGAAAATTTCTAAGAAAGTTCTTGTTATTGCCAATATATTATTCTGTTCAGATGTTGTTGCAGTTCAATTAACTTGTATGTTGAAAAATCGGCTAATTCAGCAAATGTGTATGCGACGACGGAGTGAAGAAAATTTACAAAGAAACCCAATACAAGAGACAAACATACATTTATTGACCATTATATATACATATAATTGTATGTGTATATACACACATACATATTTATATCTATCTTACATGAGAAAAGAACAAAGGGCTTCTTTATTTGGGTTTTTGTCGTTGGCATTGACTTCCATCGCCTAGGTGGACCTATATGCCTTTCGTGTTAGGAAAGGAGGAAATAAAAAATGAAGAATCATTCAAAATATAAAGAGATATTATCTTGTAATTCTGGATATACGGAGTAATATTTATCTCAAATTAAGTAATAGTGAATGGATTCCATTTTTCTGCTTTGAAAACACATACAAGTCAGAAAGTTCAGGTTGAGATTAGTCATATGGGTGATTTGAAATTTCATTCCGAATTATAAATTCGAGTTTAAAAATAGAAAGATGAATTGAGTTTTGGTTGAGTAATAAAGATTAAAAATCAGGATAAAATTGAACATTTTGTATATAGGATGAGCTTAAGTTATACCTTTAATTAGCCCAACTTGCAACCCTAACTCCCATTGTCTAGCTGTGGTGCAATGCATTGGAGATGATTTTTGTTCCTTTTAATTTGACCTAGAATTAGAAAACTTGGTCCATAAGCAATTTTATTGTGTGTCATGATGATATTCTTGGATCACATTTATTATAAATTTTATTAAAAATAAATAAAATATAAAAGACTTATATAGTTTATATAGCACCAACATATACGTAGAGATCCCACTAAGAGCTTACGACCGTTTGGGAGTAAGTCTTTGTTATCATATTCTGTGACTTATTCAATTCGGGATGAGGAGACTATCCTTCCTTAATTATCAGAATTAGCTGTACAAAGCCTCGAATATCCGAGTCATCAAAAAATAACAATAATAATAAAGCATATGCGTAGAGTACAAACTTGCTCTTAAATGGCTTGGGAAAGGCCACAAATAAAGACAGAAAAGCACGATTGTCACGCCCAAGAGCCCAAAGTCTCACACGCTAGCGCAACACGCACACAGAGACACAGGCCCTAATTATGATAACTTCAATTAACTCAACTAATTTATATGGCTACTTACGATACATCTTCCAATCAAACCATAAATTTCACAATCACCTTGATTGATCACCAAGTGAATGGGCTTAATAATTAATTACAACAATTTAATTCCAATTGATCATTTAATAACTATGTATGTGTCCGTTACATATATATATATATAGTGATGATGAGGATGAAAAAGCTGAATGCCCAAGAGTTGCAGTGGTACTTGTAGCGATGATTGATCTATCAGAGATGTAGAATGGTCCATCAATGGACCACCCTACCCTACCAGATGTACTACCAACCTGTTACAAGTTTCAAGAATATATTGCTCAAAATGTTGACTCTTCTTTCAAATTCAACACTTTCACTTTCCCACTTTTCTGCCATGCCTAGACCTCATCAAACCTCCGATACCAGCTCATCGTATATTTTTCACACCTACTTCTGTGTGTGTGACCAAAGGATCTATTGACTTAGCGTCATCACCCCCATGCTCTCCAAAAGAAAAGTCGGAGTTCAAATCTTAAGAGAGGTAGGTGTGTTCGTAATTATTTTAATTTTCAAAATATATATACACACATGTCAGTGTACGCATTGATTTTTTAAAATAATAAAGTAAATATATACATTTCTGTCTACACTCGGACTCAAACCCCCCTGATTTTTTTTAAGGATAAGGAAGGTTATATTGCTTGGTCAATGACCCTTTGGTTAGTGTGTGCATTGTTCCTAGTTAAAACATAATGCTATCCGACTATGACATAGTAGTTGTTATGAATCGTTTTTTATTTAGGATAAATTACACTTAGACCCTTTGAAATTAGGTTATTTTTCACCTAAATGAAGATTTTGGTTTTAATTTTCACTCGTACTATCCTTTAACTTTCAAGATTAAAGGGTAAAATTGATCAAGTCACATGTATCAGATGGCATAAAGTAAATTGAGAAAAATTAAAACCAAAATCTAAAAATGACGTAATCTTAAGAGATTTGAGTGTAATTTGCCCTTTTTTTTTTTTTCTTTTTTGGTCGTGAACATTTTTTGATCTTTTCGTCGTCAACATTTACAAATAATGTTATCCTGGGTAAAGACAAAATTAAAAAATAAATAATTTTAAAATATTGAGACCAAATTTTGTATCAAAATTTGTTGACTGTGTTTGACGAAATTAAACTATGATACAAGGTCTGCTAATAAAAAAAACTATGATAAGGTCACTATCAAAGAGTATATGTGTGTATATATATACATGCATGATGGTATATCATATATATGTGTTATATATATATATATATACATATATTTGTAGGTAAGGAGGGAGATATGACACGAGGCGGAGAAGGCTTGGTAATAATAGGGTCCTACAGGACCACTCGCCTTTAACAGACAAAGGAATTAAAGTCTTGTGTGTGTGGGTGTCTAAACCCACGCTGGTATTAGAGGTGTGTGAACACACCGTCCACTGTGTGATGTGTGTGTAACATTGGGTTTCATAAGGTGGTGTTTGGAGTTGGCACATTTCAGGATTAAAGAGAAAATGCGGTCCCATATGCTGATAGAGAGAGGGAGAAGTCTTTAATAGGCATTATAATTCGAAAAGTTAGTAGTTGCAAACATTGGACCACCACCCATCTCATCACCTAGCTACACCCTCTAATTTTGGGAACAATTTAGCTCAACACACAGGCATCTCTTCTCATTTCTTTTCACTTTCTCTCTCTAAAACAACTCTGTGACTATGTTGTTGTATTGAATTTTGATCAGAGTCTCTGGCCCAACAGCGCAACAGATGAGCTGCATACCAAAACCCCTCTGAAAAAGCCTGGAGCCAACTCTAGTTTAGGATTCTCTTGTAGGGACTCGTGCCCTCCCTCCAAATATCTCTCTCTATATATATAATTAGATATATATAAGTGTGTGTATATATATATACACATATAATCACTAATAGTAATTTTTTTGGGTCACTGTGGAATGGGTTTTAACTTTGGAGTTCAATTTTCGTGCAAAGCAAACAACCTATGGCGGCTTGTAGCATGTGTACCAGGCAAAGGACACTGATTTGTTTCTGTTCATGGTCCTGTGTTTGAGTACTTTGCGAAACAGGGTGTTTCATGTAGTAGTATTATTCTTATTACATGCTTTCATTTCAAATTAAAAAAATGCAATTATTTATCTGTTAGGTAATTTAATTATTATTCAGGACTAGTATTTTAAACTCCCTTATATTTAAATTAATTTTTTTAATTTATGGGTGGATATGAAATAATTGAGGAAGTCTTTTTGGATGTATTTATATCATGGTGCATTGACCCACACTTAGGCTAGGCTAGAGAGAGGAGAGAGAAAATAAGTAGTGAGTGAGAGAGAGAGAGAGAGAATAAGTAGTGAGAGGGAGAGAGCAGAGGTATCTCTCAAAAATGATATCATGGCTTGAAGCAGGTCATCATTGATGATCACCGCCTATTTGATCTTCTATTTCTGAGAAGATATTTGATCTGCTTTCCTTGGTTGGCCTTCACTGTACACCATATATAACATGATGGCTTGTTAAGAAGCCCTCTAAAACCAAGTTATTCCACTTTCCTGGATCGGTATACTCTCTCTCTCTATATATCTATATATTTGTATTTATGTAACAAGTGAAGAAAAAAGGGTTTTTTTGAGCAAAAGGGTGAGTTTGGTTGTGTGAAATTAGTTAGTTGATTGATCTTTACTTTGATGATCTTTTCTGCAACCTTTATTAATGGTAGGTTTTGGGTTGTTTTGATGTATTTGTAGTTGCAGAGCCATGAAAACCTCATTATATGGCAAGATCTAGAGGCACAAAGAGCAAAGAAAACAACAACAACAACAACAAAAAGCAAGTCTTGGATGTGTTATGATTCAATGGAACTTCAAAGTGCTGAAGAGAAACGATCAACTGGCTATTGTTACTCTGATATTTCGTCTGCTAAACCAAATATTCAAACCCATCTGGTGAATCAGCTTCAAAGCTTTGAGTCCAACTCAGAGATCTACAGCTTGAGTAGCACAGGTATGGAGATAATAGGGTTTCCACCAAAGAATCTACAGCAGCAGCAACAGAGTAGTCATGACACCAACTCAGGTTTATGGAAAGGGTTCTTCACCAAGTCCGGCGGCGGTCCGTCGTCTTCTTCTTCCAAGGCGGCCATCATGAGTGATTTTTATCAGCATGATCAGTTCAACAAGCCTGATTTCACATATGGTGATCAAACCCTATCTTGGCATGATCAGAATAGGGTTCTTGTTGATGATTCATCTTTGAGGTGTGTGTTTCCTTGTGAAGGAAATGAAAGGCCTAGTCAAGGCCTATCACTCTCTCTTAGTTCAACTCATCCTTCTACTCTAGGGTTACAGTCCTTTGAGCTGAGACAGGAGGGTACTCATGGTCATGATCAATTAAGGTTTGTTTCTTCAAGCTCTAGATCATCAGATGGGTTGTATGGAAATTCCATGATGCAAGATGGGTTTTTGGGAAAAGCTTCAATTCTTCAACATCAAGGCCATTTCATGATCAAGAACTCAAAGTACTTGGGTCCTGCTCAGCAACTTCTGAATGAGTTCTGTGACCTTGGAACAAAGCAAACTGATCACCCAATAAAGATAAAGCCCCACAAGACCACCCAACTGTGGCAGGATGAGAATGCAATGTCTTCTTCTTCAAAAAAACATTCTCTGTATACCCTTGAACTCCTTGAATTGCAGAAGAGGAAAACAAAGCTACTTTCAATGCTTGAAGAGGTATATATATATATCAATTTTTATACTACATATTTTGACTTTTTACTAGATCAATCTTTGATTAATTCTTCTCTTTTACCCTATCTTTTATTGCTTAATTTATATATGTATATCAAATAGTACATCACTAAGTTTCTAACTTTCTACGGGTGTTTGATTGATTGGGTCTCTTTGAAATGAAATCATGAAAACTAAGCTATTAATGATCACATGGTTTGGTTTTTTCTCGTGTACTGCGCTGGCCCTTTCATGATTGAGTTTTGTTTTTCTGGCTTCTCACTTTCGTTCTATTACTCCAACCTATGTATTCTATGTATATATTGTTATTCTAAAAAAAAAAAAACTCTCTGACAAAAACTACCAACAATTAATTTTTTTTAATTTATTGACTTTTATCTATATGTTTGTGCTGTTAAAATTTGCAGGTGGATAGAAGATATAGGGGCTACTGTGATCAAATGAAGGCGGTAGTATTGTCATTTGAGGAGGCGGCCGGCAATGGTGCGGCGACGGTGTACTCGGCATTGGCTTCTAAGGCCATGTCAAGGCATTTCAGGTGTCTAAGAGATGGGATTGTGGATCAGATTAAGGCTACCAAGAAGGCCATGGGAGAGAAGGACACAGTTGCACCGGGGACGTCACGCGGTGAGACTCCGAGGCTTAGGGCTCTTGATCAAGCCTTGAGGCAACAGAGGGCCTTTCAGCAGATGGGCATGATGGAGAGTCATCCTTGGAGACCCCAACGTGGCCTACCGGACCGATCCGTGTCGGTTCTTCGAGCTTGGCTCTTTGAGCACTTCCTCCACCCGTAATCAATCTCTCCCTCTAGTTAGCCTTCTTTAACTTTATATATCTATATATATATATATATATATATGTGTGTGTATGTATGTATATGTACGTATGTTTAATTTTGTACCACAAACTATACGGATTTACTGAGAGATTTGTTCAAACAACAGAGAAACACAAGTTGCAGTTCTAGTACTGATTTGGTTGTTACTTGTTATATGTTGTCTCAGTCATTTGCTTGCAAAAACAAACCAATATTTTGGTTGTTTCTATCCACCATCTTTCAGATTCGATTGTTCAGCTGTCATTATTTTCAATCCAATGTCTTTGTTCTCTGATTTATTTTGCTTGGGCCTCAATTTGTATGGATTTGATTCTGTTGCAACTTACATATATATAGGTCCCATCTTTCTCATCCACTCAAGTTTTTTTTCATTCTCTCTCACAAATAGTAAAAGTAGTATATCAAATATTGACTTCCATGTACTGAGTTTTCATTGAACTTTTTACAGGTACCCAACTGATGTAGATAAACACATCTTAGCCCGCCAAACTGGTCTATCAAGAAGCCAGGCACGTCCACATCTCTCTGTGAACCCGAATCCTCTCCGGTGTCATTTTATCCTGTGCCATGTCCTAGTGTTGCACTAGTGACACAGGAACGAGGCACAGAATCACCTCCACAGGAGAGGATCCGAATTCTTTCTCTATGATTATTTTAATTCGCCGTAAATATATTAATATTCTTAGTGGGGTATATTCTCCTAGAATCCACATATTAATGAATTTAGAAATATTTTATCTCCTTGTTTTTTTTTTTATATACGTATTCATGTTCATGTATGTACGTACCTTGTTTGTTCAGGTATCTAATTGGTTCATTAACGCTAGAGTGAGGCTATGGAAACCCATGGTTGAAGAGATGTACTTGGAAGAAACAAAGGAACAAGACAAATCCGCTTCCTCGGACGAAATTGCAGCCCTTGGTGATGACAATGGCCGGCCTAATCAAAGTTCTCAGGCACGTCACGATGATAAGAAACCGACACCTGCCCAACTTGTCCGAATTGATTCGGAGTGTCTCTCATCCATCATCAATAACCCTGAGAAAAATGACACTCCTAAATATCACAACTTGCACCACCACCACCACCACCAGCATACCAACTCATTTGGGGCAGTGGAATTGGACTTCGCGTCATACGCGCGTCAGCATTTTGGTGGCGGCGGCAATGGGAGTGGCACCGGCGACGTGTCTTTAACCTTGGGTTTGCAGCAGCATGGTGGGAGTGGGGTGAGTTTGGCATTTTCGCCACCATCACATAATTCTCTATTGTACCCTAGGGATCACATTGAAGATTGCCAAACAGTTCATCAGTACTCGCTTTTGGACGGTGAAGGACAGAATTTGCCTTACAGGAACCTGATGGGTGCACAGTTGCTTCATGACTTGGCTTGATATGGAGAGAGAGTTAAGAAGAAAAGATGAGGGATCGACCGGTGACCTTGGCCGGAGTTCTTGTTAGAGGAGGCTGATGGTAGATGACTACATGGGACGATATAGTATGAAGCTCAAAACTTGATTTAAACATACATTAATTAAGGTATACTTGATTGGGGGTAGGAAAGAAAGGGGTTAGATATAGAATGGAAAATCGATGAGTCTGATAGCTAGTTTCTTTTGCATGCATGGTTTAATTTTGTGGCTTGGAATGGAATGCTAGAATATAAAGATGTTTCTTTGGCTCTTTTGGGTAGATTTTGTAATCAGACAAATTAATATAGGAGCATGGTATATTGTGTTTTCTCTATCAAAGAAGAGTACCTTTTGATGATTTTTTTTCCCTCTTTTTTTGGGTTTTGGTGATATTCGGACTTTATTTAATAAATTAGAAATTACAAAAAAAGATATATATATATATATATATATATATATATATATATATATATATATATATATATCATGATCATTGCATGGTAATTGTGCTTTGATCCCTTAACCATTTCTTGGAAGATGATTTACGTGCATCATAAAATTGGTACCATTTTGATTTGTCAAGTATGAAATTGGATTGATCACATGATTGAAAGTTTTAAAATAATGAGAATAATCACTTTATACATAATAATGTCAAACGAATCTCTCTCTATGCTCTCTTATTTTGCAACACCGTGCATAAACTGAATGTCACAAGATGCTTTGGTTGGGTTTTGTGTATGCAAGCCACCACATTTGCAGATGGGAAGATGCTTTCACTAAATGCCCTTGCAAGTTTGCGTTGAAGGCATAGATAACTTGCACCTTGAAAGTGAGCAATTGTCTCCATTTGGAATGTGCACGGCAGCGGATGAGGATCCTCTAAGTTAATTGTCGACTGGTTATATTAAGTTAAATTTTAGATTGCTTGTGATACATCACGTTACTCAATAATTTAAAATACTAGCTTGAAATAACAAAGTTTAGGAAAATGCATCTAAGTAAATGTTGTGAATCCATAGATCTTAAAAAATTGCCACATTTAACTTATGGTAGCATAAACAAATTCAACTTAGAGTAACTTGTCCAACGGAACAATAGTTCTCCACTATTGCAGGCTGACATTACAGGTTTAGAAAAATACATCTAAGTAAATGTTATGAATCCATAGATCTTAAAAAATCGCCACTTTTAACTTACGATAGCATAAACAAATTCAACTTAGAATAACTTGTCCCACGGAATAATAGTTCTCCACTATTGCAGGCTGACATTACAGGTTTGGAAACTTCTCAAGAATACTATATTTTGATATAATATGTTCATGCTTTTATATATACACATCACATGTACACATATATACACTCTAGGTTATGGAAAAATATCATGTAAAATTGTAACAATTAAACCTTCTCTACTTACTATGTTTGATGGTTAACAAGACCAGATTAAATGAAAATTTTTACCTGAAGTAGTGGAGTTCACTCGATTATGGTTTTGGATTGGAACAAGCAATGATACTAATTAAGGCTCAGTTTGGCTGAACTAAATTGAAATGAAGAAAAATGAGTAGATGAATATTGCTGAAAGAGGTGGTCTAATCTATGATTGCATTACTGATATGCTATATAGCCTATATATAGAAATATCAAGCCACCTGGCTAATAAAATTATTTGAGAAAAAACAAATAAACTGGTGTTTGCCAATTTTGTTTCTCTTTTGGGCTTTTTTGCCCTTGCCCCTATTGGGCTTGCCTTTTAGGGTCTGTTTGAGATTTTTTAATTTTCTATTCCCCTTCTTTTGGGCTTTTTTGCCCTTGCCCCCTTCTTGTGCTTGGATTTGTTAGGCCGCTAGCTTGTTCTATTATTCTTTCCTCTTGATAAATTTTGGCCCGTTTGGAGAGTTTCCTGTTACCTCAAAAACTACTCCCAAAATTTTAAAAATCAATTATATATATATATATATATATATTGTTTTTAGAATCTCCTCTTAGTAAGCCAATTTTTTTTTTTACTAATATGTTTATGCTCGTCCTTAAAAAAAATTGTATCCTGTTAATAAATTTCATTTACTAAAACCCCCGCGGGGGCCTCTAACTCGTAGACAATAGTAAGACAAAATGAATTTATGAATCAAAAGAAGATTATTATTATTATTATTTTGATATAATGAATTTGCTATGCTGTAGAAGAAAAAAGATTAGATTTAAAAAATAAAAAATAAAAGGTTTCTTTCCCAGTGAAAGGACGGAGATGTGATAGCACTTCTTCAATTTGAGAAAGAAGGTATCAATTAAAGGAGGACTGAGAGATAAGAGAGAAATGGAGCAAGTAGAGGCCAGAAAAGCAAACAATAAAAGGGCTTTGACAACTTTGATGGTTCAATTTTAGAATTATCAAATATATATATATATATATATATATATATATAAAATTGAAAATGACATGACGAGTGAAGGTTAATGGTTTAAAAAGAAGGTATACGTGGATATCTTTCCAAAAAAAAAAACAACAATGCAGAATGTTAGAAATGTATATGAGAATATATGTATTGTGTTGCCGTAAATAAATATTACATGAATGTCATATATATATATATGTATAGATATATATAATGTTTGAGTTAGGTGAGTGATAAATAAGTTACCTATGCATGGCAACTAGGTAGGTGAAGAAATACACGGTAACTTGTACCAATCCTAATTTGTAGCTGAGGGATATAATAGTACTTTTGTAATCTAACAGAGAAAAAAACGAAAAATGGACAACAATTTACAACCCTACTCTTTATTACCTTTTGGAAAAAGCTTGCCTTAGGTCTTACAGTAGGTCTCTCCTTCTGATGTGATATGGACCAACAACAACTTAACATGTGTCCAAAAAATTTAAAAAATTAAACTTGAATCATGTGGATCTTTTCACGGATCATCAAAAGGAAAGAAGATTTTTTTTTTTTTCGTGGCTCTCTCTCGGTCACGATTCATCATCTGTTCCACCAGCCGACCTCTACCACCTCTACTACTTGCTGATCTCCTCCATTCTCAAACGTACCCTAGTACTTTGATTGCAAGCTTTAAAGTTTAGATATTATTCAATATGCCGCATTCATTGCCTGCCATATATGTTGCAATTCTATATCTAGAATGACACAAGACGACAACTATTCATATACAGGAGAATTGACTTATTTTAAATTTCTATAAAATCAATTGGGGGTTGATTTACCATTTTTTTTTTTATTTGGACAATTTGTTTAGTTTCTTATGTAACTGATTGCAATATGAAGGTTTTTCTTACTATTTTAAGAGTTGGGTGATCCAATGCTTTGGTGTATAAATTTCCATGGAAGGAAATTCATTTGTGGATTAAAAAATATATATATCTCAAAAAAAAAAAAAAAAAAAATCCATTAACCCTTTAGATGACCAGTGAAAAGATCAGCATGATTCAAGTTTAATTTTTTATATTTTTTTGGACACATGTCATGTTATTATTGGTCCATATCAACATTATAAGAAGAGGCTCTTTTCGCACCTTTGAAGAAGAATTCTTTTCTTTTCCATTTTATTTGGTAGGCACTGAATAAATTAATTATAGTACGCTTAATTATCTTGAATGTGGATTTTAATATGGGACAAGTGAAGAAAATACCCTAAAAGTATATTTTGTTTAGCACTTTTATTCTTATTTGAAAAAATGTATAAAAAATATCCCTAATCTTTTCACATTGTGCAAAAATACCCTTCTGACATAAATTAGTGTTATAATATCCGTTTTATCTTTTTGCTCTTCTGAAAATGCTCAGGGGATATATATGCTCCTAATCCAATGGCATTGGGGTGTTATTTGCACATTACCTCTTTTTTTTTTTTTTTTTTTTTTTGAAACTTTTTTCTATATATATATGATCATTTTTTTTTTCTTTACTTTTCTTTTATATTTTTATTTTTATTTGTTTTCTTTAGTTTACACTTTATTTTTATTTTTTATTTTCTATTTTTATCTTTACTTTTCTTTTATATTTTTATTTTTATTTTATATTTTTATCTTTACTTGTCCATTACTGACTTCCTCCAACAGTATCATTTTCAGTTATTTTATAAAATTATTTATTGTTATATATTTTATAAAATGGTTCAGTAAGAGTAATTTAGTCAACTTAGGGTTTAAATATGTCAGTGAAACCTATTTGCACCGGATTGAAACTTTAGGGATATTTTTTGCACTAGAGAAGTATCCTCTAATAATGTCATTTTCGGTCATTTTACAAAATTATTTATTTTTATATATTTTATAAAATGCTTCAGGGTATTTAAATTTGTCAGGGTACCTATTTGTACCAAATTGAAATTTTGAGGGTATTTTTTGCACTTGAGTGGTGTAATATGTATTGTAAGCATACTTCAGAGGGGTGTAATATGCATTGTAAGCATACTTCAGGGGTACTTTCTGCAGTTGAAATATATTTATGTTATGTTTGAGAGTATCGCATTGACAATTTGAATTTAGAATCGAAAGAAATTTAATTAAAATTTGAAACCAAATTATTTAAAATTTTAATTTCAAAACACTGATATGTTCCCCAAATACAACGTTTAGATTACGAAGAAATCTTGAAGAGGGAAGTTGTTATTCATTAAAATTCACAAATGAGATTCATATACAGAAAGTTTGGGTGTTTTGTGGCGAGTGCTTTATCATTGAAGGACGTTGAATTTGCTATAACTTAGATTGGCGATTTTTCTTTTATTATTATTATGGTATCTTATGCGTTATAGGTGATGTAGGTGTCTTGCATTCTCAGTGATGTCCATTGTCTTTCAAAAGTAAGGCAAAGTCGTGTGATGTTGATTTTAAGTAGGTGGTCGACGACAAAGACCTTTTCAAAGTTACAAAACATGTCAAAACACCATGACAAAACCATTTTTTTTTTTTTTTTTTTTTATTGTATTTTATTTGGTGGTATCTTCAACATATATTTTTTCTGTTGTAATTTCAGGGCACCAATATCATGCTACGCTAAATCTTCAATTGATATTAAGATTCTTTAGCGTTGGGTTAGCTTAGATGGTACAATATATTCATTTCAAAAATAAAGTTAATAAGAAATTATTATATAGTTCTGGTATATTTGGTAAATTTGATGAACTAATTCAATGACAACGCTTCAATGATGTCACCCTCCAATCATAACACTTAATACTCTCTCTGTCACAGTTTAAGTGTCATTATTAGAATTTGTGACTCATAATTTTCAATAATGACATTTAAATTAGGGCGAAAGAAGTAATAAATTAATATTTTTTTTTGAAAATTCCTCGGGGGACGACAATAGAGCAGGTTTCGGAATAGAGGGCACTCAATTTTCAACCCACTTCCCATCAGATGGGCTTGACATCCCAATTCAAAGCCCTAACATGGAAGATGAGAGAAGAAAGCAATAATTTATCTGGGGAAGGAATGAAGGGTCCTACAATTACAATCAATTGGTCAAATTGATGGAGAATCGGAGCAGTTGGTAACAATGTTGCTGGTGGACAGATAGGTCCAACAATTGACCAGTTTTCTGTTCTGGCCAATAATGGAATTAATCAAAGCTGGCTGGTGTGGACCTTCTCCCCTAATAATGGTTTTTGGCCCACAATACTAGACTCTACAAACGAGATTAAACATTTTTTTATTCCACTTGAAAATTTTTCGAGGTTTTCAACTCTCAGTCTCACACTCACGTCCAAAACCTCTTAATTGCTTCATTACCTTAATAGTTAATACTAACATATTGTAAAATATTCAGTCGCCCAAGGACATACGGCATGTTTTGTGTAATAAGAATGTCTATATCTTCCTTAACCATAAATAAATAAATATATATATATATATAAATAAGACTATATAGACATACTATATTACACAAAACAAGATAGGTCAAATGAAAGTGTGACCTGAGTATCCCTTGAGATTGAAAAAGAAGTTTTTTTAGAACATCTATTAATCTATGAGACATAATGTTGGACATCTCTAAACAAAATGAATGTGAAACAGGACTAGGGATGACAATTTGTCCCCGTGAAAACTGGTACCTGCCCCACACCCCGTTCTATTAATGAAAATCCACGCGAGGAGGGGGGAGGAGGTCGTTCCACCCCGTTTAGATAAATAAATTATTAAATTAGTTTATTGGTATATATAGTTAACTCTAGAAATCTTATGTCATATTTACTTACTTTCTCTCAATCATTTTATATAGTGGCAGTTTTATATAGTGGCAGTTCTACGAACTAATAATGTCCATATCCTTGAATTTTATGTTAAATTATTAATTACATATTTTTTATTAGTTTTTTCAATAGTTATATAATTGTATTTAAAGAAAATTTTTGAAATTAAACGGGACAGGTGTTCACGGGGTGAAAAAGTTAACTTGAGAAGGGAAATATTAAAAAGTGGAGTGAAATTTTTTCTCAAAGTGAACTTTTTCTAGGTCCAAAGCATTCGGTCAATGGACTGCTATAAAACCACCACTAACTGACAAGAGAGATGAAGAGGACTAGATGATAAAATGCATTAAAGAATCTTTGTCCATGCAAAGGCAAATACGTCATTTCGTCATTTCCACGCATCTAAATTTTTTTTAGAAAGCTGTGAGAATGCATCCATTTTTGCTGCAACAATGGTGCCTCTCCTAGAAAAACCTTGAAACTTCTCCTTTACTTCAACGTTTTAAATTCTAATGATAAGACTTTCTTCATTGAAATGTAAAGTTAAAGGTACAACCAAACAGGCCTTAACTTACTGAAAACAACACACCAATAGATATAAAATTTATGCATATTGGATGAACAGTAATCATGCTGTAATGAAAAGTTCCAAAAGTAATCCGACAAGAATAATCGCACCCATCTAATAAACTCACCGATTAAAAAACCAAAAAAGTTGCAACTTTCAACAACAACCATTTTTGAGTCACCTTTGGGTCTCATTTTTGATCGAGACCTCCTGCGTTAAGCTTCCTCATGTCACATTCATGCTAAAGTGTTCCACATCAAAATAATTAACAATACCAAAAATCATAAAAAAATATTCAGGAAATTAAATATTATCTCAACAAACAGGGAACCAAGATAGAGATTAACTAAAACTTTTTTTTTTTTGTGGAGCAAAAAACTTTAAGGACCACACCGGGAATAATCAGACAAGAATCTTCTTGGTAGTTAACGGTGGTGGACGACGATAACACATAAAATTCAAAGGTACTTGACTAACAATGGTCCACATCTAGCACCGTACTATATTAGATTGATTTAGGTTACCTAACCTGAATAATTTGATTGGGTTTTCACATGACACTTCACAATTGCAATATGTGATTGTCAAATGCTATACCATTAGCACTATGGGATCCAGCTTCATATTGCAGTAAACTGATGAATTTAGGGTTTAAAACTTGTACCCGTGTTATGGCAATTGCAAATTGGTCATGACTCATGAGCAAAAATAACAGCCATGTCAAACCTAACATATAAAGGGTCCAAAAAAAAATTAAATGTAGGATTCCTATATATGGCCTTTCCAATCGGATTTTAGGATCAAGCAGGCTTTCTAGTTTAATTTCAGGGTCAACAGCACTATAAAGTATGCTCTTGTCCAATAAATCAATGAAGGTTCTCCTATAATGAAGAATAATGGCATATGTTCCACAAACAAAAATAAATAAAATAAAACAAAATAATCCATAATATTTCAAGAAGAGAGTTAGACCTTGATTCACACTCCGATACCACACCTAAAGTACCAAACTAGTTAATTCAGAAACTAAACTAGCTCGATCAACATATATATACTATAAATACAACTTCTTTTACACCGAGTATTTCTAATGATTGTTTGTCAGTTCATCCAAGAAGACCCTTACATGAAAAATTGAAGGCGTGAAATTAACAAATGAAGAAATGAGACTAAGAATCAAAATGGAGAAAGATAAAACAAGAAGAAAAGGAAGCTCTCATCTTTGGTTATGATCAAATTTGACTGATCTCACCTTCTCTACATACACCCACATCCACCACCATGCTGCTGCTCTTCGATTGCAAGATCCTGCAACAGTTTCTCCTTGGAGACTGCACAAAAAAAGGGGGGAAACAAAAGCAATGAATCCATGTTGCAAGTCATATATACTAAGACGGACACAAACTGAACATATACACTAACATGTTATTCAGCTTATGCTAAACAATACTACTCTAGCATAGTGGGGGTGAATGTGCTAGCTAGCACATTCACCCCCATGGCCAAGGGTTCGTAAATGGACATTAAAAATGATGTCTGTGCCATTTTTGAAGGCAACACCCAGAAATTCTTCTAGTTTGTTAATGGCAATCTAAGATTAGGCTTCTCACAAAATTAATTAGATTGTCTTGTAACTAAAAACTGCAGTTTAAATGTTTAATTCTGGGAGTTTGCAATCAAAAGTAAAAAATCAGATATAGTGCTTACCCTATCCCATAGATGTGGATCGGGTTTCTTATGAACCTCCACTCTATCAAGTTTGGCAGGATCTGCCATCTTCCATCTGCACTCAGGATGAGGAATGCGATGCCGAATATACTCGCTTACTGTTCGATTCAGTGAAGAATTTACTCTTGCGTTCGAAAAGTAAAACACAAAGGGCTTCTGACACAGGTTCCGGCTAACCGGACGCGTGTTGAACGCATATGCTGTGTAATCAGCTCTTTTATACCAATTCAAGAATGTCCTTGATGGCATTTCTATTTCCCGCGGTGATAAAACACCCCGAAAAATTTGAACTGCAAAGCCCCACGACACAGAAACCGTCCACTTTTTTGCTTTATCATAACAAATGGATTGTTGCATGAGTCCTGCCGAGTCAAGCTTCATCGGAACCATAAGCTGCTGCAGAGCTTCCACCCGTGTCACATTGGGGAAAATCGGTTCCACCACATCAAGGTGGTGCAATGTCACAAATGGTGCCACCGGGTGTGCTGCCAGGAGCCCAAACAGGTTTCCATACACATCATACTGAATTGCCATCCACCAAGAAGAAATTCACTGTTAGGATTCAGTAACAACCTTTCGTGATGATCATAAACAGTACCAGAACTTAAATTAATTTAGGGGGGAAAAAATAGGAAAAAACATGATCATACAGATTCCATCAAGCATCAACCTTTCAGGACCATCAGAGTACCAATTTCAAATTAGGGCAAAAGTGTAATCGGAAAATATTATCATACTGAATTTCCATCCGACTCATTGTTAGAGTTCAGAAACAACCTATCATGACTATGGCAATCAATACACAGTAGTACAGCACCAAAACTTCAAATTAGGAAGATAAATTTTCCACTGTGGCACACAATCTAATTAATGAAGTGTGTCGGCAAAATGAGTAAAAATAGAATATCAAACACACCCAAAACAAAAAAAATAAAAAACACCCAAAACAGAAAGAGCAGAAATAGCCAAAATAGCAAATGGAAACAAATAGCAGTGTGTGCAAAGAGAGAGAGAGAGCGAGTCGGACCTGGTGAAAACCGAGTTCTTTAGTGAGTGGGACACCGAGTTCGGCCATACAAGCCTGCATTCGATCATCTGAGCCGTACAATCCTGGGTACCTCTGAATACACCTATCTTGCATTTTGTGAAGAGCTTTGGCTAATGGGTAGCTAATTGCAAACCCACCACCACCATAGGCCATACCATATGAGAAATATATGTTCTGCAAGTGAGACTCTGACAAACCCCCAATATAATAGTACTGGTTGTGATCGTACTTTGCCAAAACCCTAACCAAATTGTCGGTGATAAAAACGGTGTCGTCATCACCCATCACGAACCACTTCACGTTTTCCATCCCCAGTCGGAGGGTCTCCGATACGATCCGCGAAATCCGAATCGCCGACCTGTGGCCCTGCCGATTCGAGTATGAAAAGCGTGACGTGTCGCCGGAGATTTTGACCGGCGGGAGTCCCTCGTCCTTGGCTGTCTTCACCGGACTGTCTAGCCAAACTATGCCCCTCATCTGGGTTGGCCTCCACCACAGTTTGATGTAGTTTTTCCTCTGCTCCCAGAGCTTCGCCGACGCGGCAATGCCGAAAACGATGTGTTTGAGCTCTGTTCTCTGATAGGTTTCGACGACCTCTTCGTCCCGGCGAGCCACATGGGTCGTCTGGTTCTCAATCGAAGTTTGTGATGGGAATGTGATTTTGGGTTTTGCCGATGAATGCACAAAGAGAGGACGGTTGTGGCGGTGGTGGTTGCCGGCGGCGAAGATGTCGTCGTGGCAAGCGCGAGGGGAGGAGATGAGCTTCAGAGTGTAGAAAACGTAAGTGACGGAGACGAAGAGGATAAGCCAGACCATGAGTTTGGGTAGGGCTCGGTTCTGTGAAGCAGTGACGCCAATGGGTGCACCCGATGGGCTTCTCATCTGATCCCAAATGATTTTCTCAGAATCTTTCTGGTTCGTCACTTTCATGGTCTTTAAACTAACAAATCACAGCCAAGAGCTACAAAAAATGCCCAAATGATTCGTATTGTAAGTCTTAATTTGTGGAAGTGTTAAGACTTTTCCGAAGAACCTTTGCTCAGTTCTTCACAGATTACTGAGAAACCCACCAGATCTGTGTGAATCAGTACTCAGTAGTGGAGGGTTTCAATAATCTGAAATAAAAATTTTGACTGAGAGATGAAGATCAATGGAGTCTCTGATCACCCAAGAAAAGGAAATCGGAGGAATTCGAGATGAAGATGGAGATGAAGAGTTTGGGGAGAGAGAGCATGCATTATCATTGACAGGTTGCACACTCTCCCGAATAGAGCTGCACGAGAGGCTAATTATATTTCTTGTTTTATGTACTCCAACATAGTACACATATATATTCATATACACGCGTATACACATATATTCATATACCTATTCACTATATATATATACATAAATAAAAAAGGGGTTAGATCACAACGATAGAGAAGGATAGGGAAAGAGATAGATGAGAGGGTGGATAGATGTTAAGTAGTATATGGTTTTGTGGATTGTTCTCGCAATAGGTCAATGTGAAATCAAACAATTTATATAGATATAACTTTAGTCTACATAAGTGTTTTTGATACAGTGGAATCTAGCAAAATTTGTTTCTTTTGCTGGTTTTAGCGTGGAATAGGAATTCATACGTTTTTGGAAAGACAATATGTGGAAATAAGAAAGTTGAAATTCTATGAAATTGAACTAATTTGTCATTCAATGGATGTGTTCATTGTGATTTGTTAAGGAATGTAATATTCATGTACATTTGGTAAATGTAATTCACATTTAAATAAAATGGCATTACCATGGGCAAGTATGAAACTAAGAATCAAGTAGTAACTAAGGTTACAATTCGGGTGAATTGGCAGGTTTAAAGTATAATTTGAACTCAATCCACCATATAAAATGTTAAACTCAAGTTCAATTCTAACCTTATCTTCAATTCTAAGTATTCAACCCGAGTCTAATCCATCCTTCTACTTTAAAATTTAGACTTGTAACTCGAGCTTAAATTCTGCGTTAAAAATTCGAGTTACTCATATGGTTAAGCTTCACATCAAAAATTTAATATGATATTAAATTAGTTTTACTCTTAAACAAAAAAATATTTGAAAACTTTTTGTAAATTTTTAATAAATTACAAACAAATTCTTATAAAATTAATTGTCCTAAAAGTTAACATAAACTAAGTTAATAAAAAAATATAATTAAAATTTAAATATTATATATAATGTATTTAAAATTAAAAATATATAAAAAATAATATTAAAATTAGGATTCGACTTGATTCGGGTTACTAACACTCTAACTTAAGCACAACCCTAATTAAATTTGGATAGAAAATTTTCAACCTAAGCCTGCCTTTAATTGTAAAAATGAAAATGGGACTAGGCTTGGGTTTGGGTTGTCCAACCCAAGTTGCACCCTAGTAGTAAGAGTGTATTTATCTTTTTTTTTTATTAAAGAGAAAGCAATAATAATATTGCATTTATCACCTTCGCTTGATGAATTGGAAAAATTAATCCTTTTACAACAAAATCATTTTCTTGGACTTTAAATAACTTTAAATATAAATGAGATTTTTCTTTTAAAAGTGAATATTGTACCTTTCATCTCAGCACACGTGGCCTAGTTATTAAGAGGTCTACTGAAATGAGTCTAATTTTAACACCTTGTTTGGGAGAGAAAAAAATATATTTGGATGTGTGTGTGTGTTTGGATGCTGGGGGGTAATAAATAATAATAAGTAAATAAAAGAGTTAATTGCAAAAAAATTCCCGATGGGGCCGAGAATGGGCATAGAAAACAAGGAGGAAAGAATAACTTCATCTTGACTCCTATTTTGGTCCAACCCTGACGGAGGGATCCAAAGTTGTTTCCAGCTATCTACACGGTGCATTGAGGAGGTCTTCCATGGAACCAGAAGTTTGTTAACAGAGACTCTTGAATCTTGACCATCCGAACCTGCAAGAGTGACAGGTATGAAACTTCCACGGGTTCATGCTTTTTCTGTCTGTCATCTGAAAGGTACAAATAAGCCCTTCTAATTACTTTTGAATCACAATGGGATACCCTAAATCGTGTGATTATGTGTGGGGAAGGTGGTGGCGGTTTTGCAAAGCCATGGTGGTGGCCGGTTGTGCGTATATTGTTGATGGGGTTAGAGAGGAGAGAGATGGTTGTGGGCAGTGGGAGGAGGCGGCGGCCATGGTGGGTAGGAGGGAAAGATTGAGCAGCGACAGACCTGTGGATTAAGAAGTTGGTAATTTCTTCTTGTGGGTATGGCTTGACGTCTCTGAACAACGATTATACGGTCATCAAAATCGCTGACGGATGATGATGTTAGGGTTATCGGTCTAAGCTTCAGAGAGGAAGGAAACCCAATTCTAGAAGAAACGGGGGCCGATTTGCAATCTAACTTTCCGTGAAATTATTGAAGTTGATGATGAAAACAATAGCATGGTGAAAACACGTTAGCCTCCGCCATGATTTTCCTCTACTGCAAATCATAAACCCTTCAATAAATCCGTACCTTTCTTTCAAATTTCAGATAAAATCTTCAGAAATTTACAAGAAGGGAAAAACAAAAAAAAACAAAAATGGATAAGAGAGCTTCTTCAGAAATCCACGGTGAGAGAGCTTCTTCTTCTGATTGCCAGGTGATGTTGACGAGGCATATAAATTGGATAAGAGGGTCATTTTATATTGTTCGTATTTATAATTATTAATTTATTTAATTGAAGTGAGTAACACCATTTTATACCGGGATATGTTTATATCAAATTAATAATATAAAAATATTTTATACCACATATAAACTTTTTTAAATTATTTCAATAATAGAAGGAGTGTTTTTTTACACTTAATCCTGACCCTAAATAAAACTAGGGCGGACAATCCCCGCTGGTACTTTCAGCTCATACCTAGACCTAAAAGCATAGAGTAAAATTGTCTATTTTAAAATTTCATTTTTTACTTTAATTGGATTAAGTAAAATATTTACACATGTATCAATAATTATTGTTCAAGTTCAATATATCCTCAAACTTTTATTTCAAAATATTACTACGAAAATTATTCCCCTCAAATCAAGTACTTTCTCGATATAATTTCTTTACTTAAAAAAATAAGATATTTTCGTTAATTTTGAATCATAGTGCTGCAACTTTATATATACATATAGAGAGAGAGTCTTGATCTCTTATTCCTCATGGAGTAAGAAAATTAATTTACACTTTCTACGTAGACCGTTAAATTTAATCTAACGGTCATTTTTTAAACCCACCTATGAATTTTTCTTTTAACACAAAACCACCCTCACCTTATTTTAGTTTTTATATTTAATTTTACCATTACCACCTATTGTAACAATAAAAAGTAATTATCAAAATAAAAATAGAAGCTTTGAAAAAAAAAAAAAATACCTCTATATTTTACTAATAAATTTGTATATTATAGAATTTTCCTAAGGAACATCTTGTTGTTCTCTGTATAAGTAAATTAATATAATTTTTTAGTATAAGTAAATTTACCAATACTGTAATGTTGTATATTGAAGAAAATTTCATTTAAAGTTTGAACAAAAGTTCTTTCTATTTCAATTTGAAGTTTGGCATTTGGTGAAATTCATTATTGAATTAGTGAATTTGTGAGTTTGATTATTGGATGATGATGATGTACAAACTATGGTGGGTAAAATATACAGGTATTGTTTTATTTTCAAAGGTTTCTATTTTCATTTTGATAATTGCCTTTTATTGTTACAGTAGGCGGTAATGATAAAATTAAATATAGAAACTAAAAATAGGGTGAAAGTGGTTTTATGTTAAAAGAATGGTCAATATAAAAAGTGTGGATTAATTTTTATTAATTTTTTTTGCTCTGTAGTGAGCAAGAGATCAGGACTCTATATATATATATATATCACAATAATTTATATAAACAATAAAAATTCAATATAGAAAAAAATCCGGCAATTAAAGAGTAGTTCCCAATAAAAAATAATAATTAAACTCTTTCCTGTAAAGAATAAATCTTATTTGTTGTGATTCATGTCCTTTAGGTGATCATCATTTGGCTCAATTTATACTTTTTTTTTTTTTTTAATATATGTAAAAAAATGATGGTTGGTATACCATTTACTGAACAAATCACTTAATTAGTTTCATGATTCCATCCCGGTGTGCGAGAGTATGATTCCATCTCCCCTGTGTGAGCAGCTAATTTAGTGTCTATACTTAATGTGTGTGTATATATATTTTGCACAGGAAAGTTTTTACATTTGCAAGGTTTATATTGGTATGAATTAAAATATATGGTTAAAATTATGTGCACACAAAATTATATATATATATATATATAATGAATTTAACAAAATTATTTGTATGTTTCTAAATTAACATTTGCAGATTTGAACCAAATATAGATGAGGAAATACAGTTAAAGTTAAGTGCACAGTGTTTTTTTTTTTTTTTTTACCACATAAATATATATATATATATATATATATATATATATGTTATTTTATTTATATATATTTTTTTAATGTATACATCACATACAAAAATATCCTCAAAATTGAAAGTCAACTCAAATATCTTTATTTTCTAAATTTCTTGAATGAAGGAACTATTGATTTAGGAAAGATATTTTGGTATTTTGAAATAAGAATTGGAGGGTATTTTGGACTTAAAATAATAATTTTCAATGCATATGTAATTATTTTGCCTACCTCAATCAAATTGAAAAGTCAACTTTTAAAATAGACTGATTTGTTATTTAGGACTCATAAGTCCACTTAAGTGTAATTTTCCCTTTAAATTATATAATTTTAACTCGAAATAAAACTATTCAAACTATATATAGTGTATTATATTTTATTTTCCTAAAGTTCAAGTTGAACACAAATAATGTTTACAGGTTGAAACTCTACTTTTCCTTTGGAGAGAAGAGATTATGTCATTTAAACTAATGTCAATTGGTAAAACTACTAAAACTTGGTGAGTTCAATAATTTTCTTGGCATAATATTTTGAATATCACTCATAATTTTATATATATTTTTTATTTTGTTTATAAATTTAACTTAATATTAGTTATTAGGCAAATTTTTACTTCAATCACAATTTAGGCGAGTAACTAACAATAGTCCGACAAAAAAAAAAAACTAACAATATCTCAGAACAAATATTTGATTACATTATTAATCTCATTTTATATGAAAATTATATAATCATAAAAATATAAAATTATAAACTTTTTAATAATCGAGATCTAAGATTAAAATTCAGTCCCACTATCATGATTTCTATTATGTTAACTATGCTATTAAAATTCCTAAGTGAAATTCAAGTTAGGTGAGTACCAACTAAAATAAATAAATAAATAAAAACTCAGGTTAGGTCCACACAAGCCGCACCCCATCGTTGGCAGTTTTTAGTGATCAAACTCTACCAACGTATGAAATTAAAATAATAAAATTACTCAAATATGTTAGAATTATAACATAATAAAATAGTAAATTTGAATATTTTTGCCATGCGTTTTGTTTTAGGCGTTTTGTTTTTGGCTAAAACAGAAATAGTGTTTTTGTTGTAAGAATGTTTTGGAAAAAAATTGGAAGCACGTTTGGGAATAATATTTTAGGGGTTTTGTTTTTGGACCGTGTTGAACTACTATTATAGTTTTCGGTCGTAAACAGTTGTCCAAGTAAGAAAAAATAACTTTTTGGTGTTTTTGTTTGGGGCCATTGTTCATGAAGTGTTTTAGTATTGTATAAAATAAAACAAAGCCGTACCAAACATGTTTTTGTTGTCAAAATCAACATTGTAGCAAAAAAAAAAAAAAAAAATGCATGCCAAACGAAGCTTAAGGGCCTGTTTGGGAAGCGTTGTGCATTGTAGTGTTTTATTTTAGTCTAGAACAGAACAAGTGTTTTGTAGTGTGGTGTTCTGAAATGAGAACAAAACATGTTTGGGACAAAAATTTTGAGCGAGAATTTTGGAATATAATATTTTTTTTTAATGATTAAATTAAATTAATTACAGAGCTTGATTAGTTTGCAAAACAAGAATTACAGAGCTTGATAAGTTGATTTAGAAAAAAAAATTAAAACAAAACCCATACACACAGGTTAGCAGTTGCCGAGAAAGAGAGTGGGGCAAGCTTGAGAGTTAAGACCCATACACACAAGGAAACCCACACTGAAACAGCGGAAACCCATACACATAAGGAAAAGGAAACCCATACACACTGGAACAGCGGTCGATGGAAACCGAAAGAAACGGGTTTTGATTTTTTGAACAAGAATAAAGATGGAGGCAATTGGGAGGTTGAAATGATTTGTCGTGAAATCGTTGGGAGGCGATCAGGGCAAGTTCAGAGTTGAGAACGAGAATAGAAATGGAGGCGGGTTTTAAACTTCTGATCCTTGTAGATTTTGTGTTTGCAGTTGCAGAGAGAAAGAGGAAGCAAGTTCGAGTTGAGAACGTGAATAGAGACAGAGGTGATTGGGAGGCTGAAATAATTTGGCCTAAAAAAATATTATTATTATTATCCCCGCTATAGTGAAAAAAAAGGGGCTTGGAACAACATAGAATTCAAAATTGTTGTTCCAGCTTTTGGGCCAAATGTTGAAAGTGTACTGCTACTGTTGGGAACAAAACAAAGCAGGCCAAACATGTTGTGGACTCAAAATGGGTTACTGCAGCAGCCCGAGAGCAGTACAGAACACTTGGGAACAGAGCCTGTTTGATATACGTTTTGTTTTTGTCTGATACTATAGTTGTGTTTTTTTTTTTTAAAATATACATTTGGTAAAAAAATGTTTCATTCTGTATAGTGTGATAGTGTCAAAGTTTTGAAATAATAATATGGTATTTTCGTACGGTAACAATGAGTACTATAGTAATGAATGATACAAATTTTTTTTTTTTTTTTAAAAACCTCAAAAATGACCTTTTAAAAATAGACATTATATTTTTAAAACTTACAACACTTTTTATTGAATAAAAACAAAAAGAAATTATAATAAATAGTCATTACCAATTATTATTCAAAACACCGGCCAAAAAAATATTAGCTTTGTTTTCTGTTGAAAAAAAAGCAAAAACAATTCTCTAATAAAAATAAAAAAGTGAAACTCTCTAATAAAAAATAAAAAATACAAACTATAATTATTTTATGGGTTAAAATCATAAAATTCTTATTACTTTCAAATTTTGATCATAAAATCCAACCTATTTCAAAAAACTCCTACAATTTTAAAAAGAGACCACATTGTCCCAATATTCATATCCGATCCGTTAACTGAACTATGAAATGAAATGACAAATTTAACTTTTAATGTTAAATTAAAAATTAAATATTATTTTTAAAATTATAAAAATACCATTTAATCTTCTTCTTCACCCCTCTTATCTCTCTAAAACTCTCACCCCTTCTCTCTAAAACATAATTTTTGTAATTGTAAAGGGTTTATGTTTTTAATATTAAAAATAGTTTTTAATTTTTAATCTAATATTAAATAATAAAGTTAAAATTGTCATTTTGTAACCTGGGTAAGAGCAGGTCCAATGGATACAAATCCGGCAATTTAGGGTTAGATTTGAAGATTGGCCTACTCCAATGGACTCTCCAAAAAGTGAGTCCCATAAAGAGGCTCTTGATCCAGGTCGCCAAAAACCAAGATTGGGTTGGCAATTTACTTTTTTTTTTAATTCTAGCCCAAACAGTGTTTTAGTCCAGAACACACTGTTTGGTAAGCCATGTTTGGTTGAAAAAAAAAAGGAAAAAATCAATTTTTTGGCTGATTTTGGCCCTTTTTTTTTTTTTTTTTTTCCCTCAAAATAATTGAACCAAAGAACCGTTAAGGCAATGTTTGGCTGACACAAATAGTGCCTTAAAGGTTTTCGGGCAAAAAAAGTAAAAAAATAAATAAATAAAAGTGTTTTTTTTTTTTTTTTTAAATTTACTTTTTTAAATATTCCTACAGACATATAACCGTTTTAGGCACTGTTTGGCTAACCCGAAGAGTGCCTTAACGGCTATATTGGCACAAAAACGTTTTTTTTGATTTTTTTTTAAAAATAATAATTATATACATATTGGATGAACAAATGGTTATTTATATAACATGAAAAATATAGTCCCGTTAGGAAAAAGTAAAAAAATAAATTTTATTTTAAATTTTAAAAATATTAATATTTTTAGAGAGCAAAAATGTACCATTGAAGTACATTCGATAACTAAATTTTGGAGATTCTAAAACGCTGACGTGGTTATGAGAAATGTTGACCTGACTATGAAAAAAATGCAATGTGACAAATTTGAAGAGCCCGAATTCGAAGAGTTCACTGTAGATGTCCTGACGGATTGGATTTAAAGTTCTAAATAATAAGGTTAAAGTTTTTAATTTAATATTAAATAATAACGGAGTATAATTTTAATCCTCATTTTATCCGAATAGTAAAGGGCAGAAATTACTGTGTGCGCGCAAAAACCACCCATCTCTCTCTCCACATGGCAATTTCCCCGTCATGGAATTTCACTACCTCTGCACAGTCTTACCTTTGATTTGATACAGACCATTAAACCCTATTTCCGTCTTCCCATCTGCCTCTTCATTCGACACTTGGTTCTATCTGTCCCATGAAACCCTTTTATCTATTTCTCCCTTGACGCCCTAGCTCGCTCTCTCTATATACATATATGTATATTTGCTTTGAAGTGTAGGGAGAACATTTTGGGTTTGCATATTCAATCGACCTCCTGGCACCTACTGCCAATCAGCTCTCTTCCACTTTGGCAACCAACAACAATCAATTTCAATTAATGTCGGTTTATATAGTGACCAGTTTAGGAGAGATCGTTGTGGATTTGCACACAGACCTCTGTCCCTTAACCTGCAAGAATTTCATAAAGCTCTGCAAGTAAGTAACCCTAACCCTTTGATTTGTTTTAAACATGTATAAATATTCAATCAAGAATTTGCAATGGAATTTGAAATTTGAAAATGGAATATGCAAGTAGGTATGTATTATTTCTAAGGACTATTGTTGATGCAGGATTAAATACTATAATGGATGTCTATTTCACACGGTTCAGAAGGATTTCACTGCACAGACGGGTGATCCTACTGGAACCGGGACCGGTGGCGATTCTATCTACAAGTAAGAATGACTACACACATTAATCACTGATAGAATATCAACATTTTCTACAATAACTGTATCAGCTTCCTAATTAGCTTTCTAGTGATAGCTATCGCTTGCTCTATAGAATTTAATTTTATGTGTTGGTTAATGGTTTTTAGTTATGAATACAAGTCTTCTCTGACATATTATGATATTAATATATCAATGAAGTTATCTCTTCAAGCAATTCTGATGATGTATGCATTTGCTTAAGTAAGACTAATTCTGTAATAATGATTTCACATGCTCATTCCGCATCCCATTATTTCAGATTCTTATATGGTGATCAGGCTCGCTTTTTTGGGGATGAAATTCGTTTGGATTTAAAGCATACTAAGATAGGCACGGTTGCCATGGCTAGTGCTGGAGAGAATCTCAATGCTTCTCAGGTATGGCTTTTGTTATTATATGTTCTCACAATCTACAAAATCTCTAGGTTCTTTCTTCTTCTTCTTCTTAAAAAACACTCCACTATATAAAAAAATGTGCATAAAACACCTCCACAATTATACATAAAAATGTGTATGTATCGTCCTATGATATCATGCAATGTTGCATAATGGCACCCTTTGACTCCTGATACTTAGAAAGTAGCCTGCCAATTCTGACACAAAGTGAGTGAAAACCTTAACATGTCCCCCCCTTTTTTTTGTGTGGTCATTTCAATGTATGTATGTTTCTTACGATAAAGTGCTAAAAATCCTTGCAGAAACCCGTTGAAGGTTGAAAACCATTCTTAATGTTTCAAAATCACTCAAACAAGGATAATCCGTCATCATCTTGTTAATGGAGCAAAAAAATGATGAAATTGCTCGTGTCAATAGAAAAGGAAAAAAAAAGAAAGAAACGAGATACGGGAAAAGACAAAAAAGGACAGGACTGATAAATATTTGCAAATTATATATTTGTAGACATTATAAAATTTAAGCTATGGTTATTTGCAAATTTTGTAAATTCAAGTATATATTGATATAATTTAATCTATACGTTACATACTATATACATATATTATAGTTATATATACAACAAAAGAGCATTTTGGGATTTCCAACATTACTTTTGGTAGATAATGCCTATTTTTTAACGGTCAGTAGACGGAGGGGTTCAAGAAATTGTAGGTACCATATACACATAATGAACAGTAAGGGCATTTTCTGCACATCTTTTATATAGTTTTTTTTTTTTGGGGGCGGGGGGGGGGGAAGGAACGGGGGGTGTTTTGGTTGCACTTCACCCTATTTATTTCTTTTGGTTTTAACCAGGTTCTTGCACATTTTTATATACCATTATATTTTTTTACTTCTAGATTAGAGCGCAAGGCATGATAACTTGTCACATAATTGTTAGGGATTTCTTTTGTTGCCAGATTTTATCCAAGTTTAGAACTTCCAAAGTTTCTTTTTGATCGCCTTTTGTTTTAGTAAATTTTCTTATGAATATCATGCATTCTGAAAATTTGCAGAATCTTTAATATGTAACATTGTGTTCTCATGATCTATTTTTCCAGTTCTATTTCACACTGCGGGATGATCTTGACTATCTCGATGGGAAGCATACTGTGAGTTTCCTGCTATAGAATTTTATTGTTAATAATTTTGCTATTAATATTTGCTTCATTGCGCGGATAAATGATGCCAGCTATGTCTTTTATGTGTGCACTTTCAATTGCCTTGATGTATTGCTGGATCCAAAAATAACATTTTGAATTTTGAGGGATTGATGTAAAATTTTGTGACTTGTACAACTATTTGGATTAGCAGAAGCATTTTTTTCTTGGTGGATGACCCGGGTTCTTATCATTGGATGGCACCTGAGATGATTAAACGAAAGTCTTATGGCGGAAGAACATATAAAAAAAAGCTTTTTTACTTGGGAGGTTTTTCAGTTATTTCCATGAAGGGTCAGTGAGTGGTTTAAGTTTGTGGTGTTCTTTGAGGAGATTTTGATTGGTGTTTCCTATTCTTCATGGCATTATGGACATAATTCTTACCTTCTTTTGTTGAGGTAGAAGCATGACGGAAATGCTTCGTGATAGGCAAAGCAAGGCCAATACTTCTAAAAGTTTTTTAGTTGAAACTTGCAATTTTTTTTTTTTTTTGACATAATGAAAAATATATTAAACCATCATATAATGATTTTTTTATTTTTTATTTTAATAAAGAGTACATACAAAATGTTGAGCTAATAATGAAGTAAGGTATAAAAGACGGTTCTCTTTTGATGTTCATAGATAAACGTATGCACAAGGGTGCCTAATGTCATGGGTTCTTGTCCCAAATGTGATCCGAATGGGGAGGGTTTTGGGCATGTAAGGGCGAGTGTTAGCACTACTTAATAATTTAAACTTTTGGGTCGGATTGCAAGCGACTGACCGTTGACAATTAGATCAGATCGGATCTAATCCTTGATCCGGTGTCACACCAAACGCCCACACGGAATTGTCTGGGTCGTTAGCGGGTCCCCCTCCATTTGGGCAGACAGTTAGGTAGGGTGGACCTACCGCAGCGAGGGCGCTGCGGGTTTGGGTGGGAAAGTCATGGGTTTTTGTCCCATATCGGATCCGGATGGGGAGGGTCTTGGGCATACAAGGGCGAGTGTCAACACAACCTAGTAGCTTTAGCTTTTTGGTCGGATCGCAAGCACCCCGCCCGTGACACTAATCTTTAGCAAAAGATTGATGAATTTCTAAATATAGTCAAACAAGAGAACTAAAACACCATCATACTGATATTGACCTCTATATTCTTTTAATGATTTGAACTTTGTATATTCATTTGCTTCCCAATTATGTATTAGTCCCATGTAGTGTAAACGGTTTTGTGGACCTTAAATATGTTCAATTTATCAATTCTGGGGCTTATTTATACCCATAAAAGATATTAGTTTCTGTTCCAAATACTTCCTTGCATTCAAACTGTTTTCTGTTTCCATTGTGTTTCTATAATGTCTGTGTTTCCTGGCTGATGGAATTGGAACACAGAAATGGAAAGTTGATCCTTTTCCTTTCACGTCCTTTCCTGAGGGGAGTCTCCACTGGTTTTATATGATAAAATTTTACATTTCTTATCCCTATCTTCACAGGTTTTTGGGGAGGTTGCGGAAGGGCTTGATACTTTGAATAGGATAAATGAAGCGTATGTGGATGAGAAGGGCAGACCTTACAAAAATATTAGGTTTGTTTCACACACCTTTTGTATATGTTGTTTACTGTCTTTTGTGTTAGTATATGTGGAACTTTTCATACCTATTTATCTTGTCTTTACAAGGACTAATCAATGGAATGAATTAAACAGAATTAAACATACTTACGTACTGGATGATCCTTTTGACGATCCATCACAGCTAGCTGAGTTGATTCCAGATGCTTCCCCTGAAGGAAAACCAAAAGATGAGGTAACAAGATACTGCATATTTAATTTTATATATTTTGAGGCAATTTGGAACCAAATGGAAATGGATGACATTTGATTTTTGTAGCATTTTGTCTGCAATTTATCAACTAAAGTCTACCAACTAAAGTCTGCTGACACTTAAATCACCAGTGGATCACAATGAATAGAAATGATGCTCCTCATTGGATATTGAAATTACCTTTCTTTATGTAAGTGCACAAAATTGTATATTTGGAGTAATCTTCATGTAATTAATCCATGTAAGTGGTTTAACTGGATTTAGAAGCCTGAAATTTCCATTAACTTTGATCTATCTCACTATCTTTGGTTTTAGCAATGTCAAGGGTTCAGGAACCTCATACCTTATTCTTTACTTGAGTTTTCAGTGGAGGGATATATGTAATTTTAATTGGAAGGATGCCTAGTACATGTAAATGTTGAACAAATTAGTTAAAAGAAGTAAAATGAAGAAGAAATTATACGATGAACCAGGGAAGACTCTATTTATTTGAGATAAATCCAGGCTAACAGGTTCTTATAAGTCACTTCGAGTACTGACAATTCTGACAGTGACGAGATCCTGTAACCTACTGAAGTATACTGACTTGTGTAAACTCAAGTCAATTTGGAGTTGGATTTTATCTTTGCTGAGTTCTTCTACACAAGGTTCTTCCATGACAAATGTTTTCGTTCACAAAATCATGACAATGACTCCTTTTTTCACATTGTCTTAGGTTGATGACGATGTGAGACTTGAAGATGACTGGGTGCCTATGGATGAGCAATTAGTTCCAGGAGAGCTTGAGGAGGTTCTCCGTTCAAAGGAAGCACATTCTAGTGCAGTAGTGCTTGAGAGTGTAAGCATTGAAGCACTATATACCTTTTCTAGTATTTGGCATCCAACTTGAATGCAATCATTCATTATGGTCATGATTCTTGTGTATGTGCATCACAGATAGGAGATATTCCTGATGCAGAGATAAAGCCGCCTGACAATGTGCTGTTTGTTTGTAAACTAAATCCTGTAACTGAAGTGAGTGCCTGTTGTCTTTCTTATATGTTACTTGATAGGCATTTGGGGTTGCCTTTTATGGCCATAATCTTGAGATGTTTCTGCTCTCTGCATGCTTCATCTTCATATTTTCTGTAGTTTGTCATCTATGTGGCTGTTTATTTCTAAATGCAGGATGAGGACTTGCATACAATCTTTTCACGTTTTGGAACTGTAACATCGTAAGTAATTGAATGCTTGGGTTTTAGTTTAAACTTTTGTTTTGGTGCATAATTTATTTCTACTCACAAATAAATGATGACAGGGCTGAAATTATCAGGGATTTTAAGACTGGAGACAGCTTATGCTATGCTTTCATTGGTGAGTGTCATCCCCCCACCCTAACCACCATCACCACAACAAACTCCTTTGTTAATAATAATGTAACTTTTATAAGTAAGGATGGCAAAATTTTAGTAAATTCATTTTGAGTTCTCTTATGTGATGTGTCCTCTTCTGGTTGTGTTTGCTTTCTGAGGATTTCACTGTGATTCTTGGAATTGATTTTGAACTTAGCCTAGCATGTTGGTTTTTCGAAAAGGTTTGCTTTTATTTGGGGCCTTATCTTCTTACTAGCTGGTTCTAAGCCTGAAGAAAGAGGAATATTTCTCTAGATGCTTTTTTATAACTTAAGTACTTACAAACCAATTAGGTTTGTCTGACAATGTAATTTAAGCATCACCTTAAGAAGATAAGTTTCACTAAAAAAGGTCCAATTTTGTTAGTGAAGGGGCTTCACCTATCACCGAATGCAAAACTAATAAGAGGACGATAGGAAAGGGGTCAACGGGGATTGGTTGCTGGGTTTTAAAGTTTATAAAGAGCCGAAAATTGAAGAGAAGATTATTGGAATAACTCCTATTACCCCCTTATGCATCACCATAATCGTCAAGCCTCATAATTTCTAATATATTTTTTTAAACTGATTTTTTGTTGGCCTGAAAGTAATTAGGCCTGTAGACTTGAACTAGTTCCATTTACGCAATGCCAAAAAAAAAAAAAAAAAAATGCTATGTCCCAGTAATGCCAAGCATGGACCTTGCACACCATCAGCTCTAGGAACTCGACCAAGTCTCATGTGATTCCAATTCCCACCAATATGTCAGTGAGTATTGGACTCAGACTCAGTCAAGTCTCAAAATCATGCCCATAAAGCATATTAAAACATTTAAGTTTAAATCAGCACTTCACAATACTTATCAAAAAAAAAAAAAATCAGCACTTCACAATGGCGAAGCACCGGGTAACGGCCTTATATTAATTTGAAAGAATGGTAAACTAACTTTTTTATGCATTCTCCTAGAGACATTTTTTTCATGTATTTTTTACAAGCTTTGTGAGGGTGCTGCCACTTATCTCCATCACTGGTTACTGGATGACTTCATATATAGTGGCTAGGTGTTATAACGAGCTTGATAACATATTCAAATATAGTTTTTTAATTAAATAGGGGAAACTTTTCTTGAAGGAGCCACTGGAATGCACTACATATTGATAGAAGAATTGTTTAATTTTTCCCCGCCAAAGCATGCCAAGGAGAATTAGCGGAAATATGCAAGTTGAACAAAAGAGAATAGCATAGCGGCTAACATCTAATCTGTGTCAACCTATAAACAAATGTCCAGTTAACATCTAACTTTAATTGCTGTATTTGGAGTTCATCTTTCGATGGCAACCAGAATAGATAAAAGTGGAAGACTATGCTGTTCAGCCTCCTTCCACCATCACACTCTCTATTTCTCTTATACAATTCTTCTTGTATGTGTATGTTTGCCCTTGTTTCTTTCTTTCTCTCTCTCTCCATATGTGTGTGTGTGTGTGTTTAGATCTTACCTTTGTTTCCACTTTTGGTGCCTCGTTCTGTGATGGTTTGTGGTTGTTATTTAGGCTCAATAAAGTCATTTTTTGGGTTTTATTCTTCATCCTGGGCTACTAGACAATAAAGTCATCAATTAGGATAGCCATTTGACAATCTTGGATGAAGTGTAATTTTATTTTATTTTTTGAAGTACTAGAAACTATTTTCTTTAAAGGGCTATTGGAAAACTTTATATATTATGCTACAGGAATTTGCATTGTTCCATGTGAAGTATTAAGGAAAAAACCAAAAAACAAAAAACAAAAACCAAAAAACAAATAGAGAATGAGAATGAGAGAAGAAAAATGTGAAAATTAAGGAAGAACCAATTGTTTTTAGTCGATATTTGCTGTTTTAATACTCAGATTTTGGTTATTTTCCTTTCATAGAAAATATTTGAATTATCAAAATTTTAAATTGTAGTTAGAGATAACAAATCTGATTTGAGTTATCTTTGTGTCTACATTATGTTTCCCTAGCTATCACATACTTTTTGGTATATCGGAATGCTAGATTGGTCTTTTTTTTTTGGGTTAGGTAAGTATTCACACGCACATTTCACAAATTACCCACTACGGGACTCGAACCCGTCGCCTCCCCTTTGTGGGAGGAGAGGTTATACCAATGGGCTAATGGCTTATTGGTCGGAATGCTAGTTTGTTTTAATAAAATGTTCCATTCCCGTGGAACTATCTGAAGAGTGGACAAGCAAGTTTTACTATTTTACGTCTTGGTGACGCAAATCTCTTCAAATTAGACAATGCTGGCAGTATAAGCAAATTTTCTTTTTTCACTATGTAAAACCTATGCAAAACAGTTTAGTTGCGTGTGATGTCATTTAGGAAGAAGTGTCATCTGCTTAATCGGAATATTCCTGATATCGGTAGGCACCCCTATCCGCTGTTACATAGGGCGAATAGAAGTTGCAGCGTATGGAATTTCGTATCTCTCACCTCTTCCCCCCCAGTCCATGTATAGAAAAGCAATGTGCTTATGATCATTGACTCTTTTTGATGCTTCATATTTTAGTTCATATATCGCCGTCACATATCTGGTGATGTAATGATAATATATATTGTTTCATTCTGTTTGTGCAGAGTTTGAGAATAAAGACTCTTGTGAACAAGCGTATTTTAAGGTATGCTGAATAACTGAAAGAACTTTTATTTCCGATACTTTGCATGCTACTTTTGCTTGCATATGTTATGACCTTGACGTGGTTAACTTTTAAATAGCTAATTTCATACAAGATGGTAAGATACTGATTGAGAAGGGTTTTTATACTTTTAGTTTTATGATTAAGATTAATGGTATTTGATTTAGGGTGGGATGATGTAAATATAGGAACAGATTGTGGATTGATTGGGGGAAATGGGTGAGGTGAAGGTCTATTTGTGGAACCGGTGTAGATACATTCGCTGATGATAGTATTCTCTCTCTATTTAGAAAGTGAGGGTACAATAGTTTTTCAACTCATATTTTTTTTTTTCTCTTGTTATGCTTCATTGATCGTAGTTATGTGCTCTTTAGGGAAACAACATTTTTTTCTCTTGTTATACCTCATTGATTTTTATTCTTATTTGAGTCTTCCAAGTCCATTTCTTTCGTGGAGAAGGCTCACTGTAAAAGTGGTGCAGTACTCAGACTTCATTTGTTTTGACATGAAACATTTTCCGAAAAGTTTTTTTTCTTTTTTTTTCTACATTTTCTGGCATTAGGTTGCCGGATAGAATTGGTAGAAAACATTTTACATTTAAAATATTTTACACAATAATACTAAAATGATTTACGGATGTAAAGTACGCAAGTCATTTTATGCTCTTTCTAAATCCAACCTCTTGACTTATTTCACCAAACATTTCTGAGCTTCTGTCTCACTTTCGTTTCCCATCAACTTGTTCTCTTTCATAGCTAACCTGATCAACAGTTAGCTAATGGTGACAAGTTTTAAACCTTTAATTGATCTTTTTAATCCAATGGTGTGTTTATAAATCTCTGTCTCATCACACACACAAACATATATTTGGGTGTGTGGTTGTGTTGTGTCGATTAATCACAGTAGCAGAAGCTCTGCCGTCAAAATCGTCATTCTCAATGACAATCACTAACAGATCTGAACTAACAATAATTGTCTGGAACCCATAAACCCCAATACCACATGGTCAATCTGGAGCGACTTTTGTCACCGTTGTTGTCCATTACACAAGCCAACTCTACTCCAGATCATAGCTTCATTGAGAAATAAATTTCAGACAAATCAACATTGATTAATTGTTTTATATATATATATATATGAACAGCATACCTTCACAGTACGGTGCAGTAAGAGTTTATATTTGTAAACTGGACTCTTGGTATGACAATGCTTTCCAGAATCTAACCATACTTGCAACTTACAAGAGTAGTCAATTCAAATAACTTCAAGGAGTTTATATTTGTAAACTGGACTTTTGTGCCTCCATGACTCTCGAATCAAAACTGGGCATCATGAACATGAAAAGTAAAGGGTTATGGAGGGATAGTGTAGAAATTCCTTTTGCCTCATCCAAATGAAGACACTTCTTCTTTGATGGTCCTTTTAGAAAGATAATTGTCAAGAATTGGTGTCAAATTCGCATATTGGACATGCAGCTGTGTTCTTAATTATAGTCTGTATTATGGAGCTACATTGTTCCATGGTTTATTAGAAATTCTGTTAAATGCTCTTACCTTGTGGTGAAAACTTATTTCTCCTAACTTGATTTATTGGATGTATAATGACAGATGGACAACGCTTTGATTGATGATCGAAGGATACATGTGGATTTCAGTCAAAGTGTTTCAAAATTATGGTCCCAATACCGACGCAAAGATAACAAAATGGGTCAAGGTAAAGATTACTACTATGACGTATCAGGCTATAAATAGTCTTGCTAGGGCATGTATTGCAATGCTGTAGCAATTGGTATCATTTTTGTTTGGTTACTGCTTATCCGTTTTCTCATGGAACGTGGTGCAAGTTACTTGATGACCTGGTGCAGTAGTTAATTACTTCTGTCCCAAGAAGTATGTTATTGGTGATTGTCACATATTGGAACTGTGAGGCTCTGGCATGGTCTTTGCTTAAAGTAACATAATTTGAATAGATACAGGAATTCCTGATGTCGTTATCCCTTGCTCCATGCAAGTCCTATCATCTTGGTCAATTCAGTGCTTTTCTCCTTTTCTATTTTTCATTCATAAATTTCGTGGTAGCCAACCTGAGTGTGTCTCCCCTGCTGTTAAACTATATACGTTAGATTCACATTGCGAAGTGCTCTTCAATTGAGGCAAATAATGGTACTTTATGGTGCCAAGTCCCACCTTGAATTCTTTTGCTTTTGGTATTGTTTAGACTTAAGAGTCTTAGGTGGGGATTATGGTGTGGACTCCTAATTGTTCGCTAATTGACCATACTACAAAACCAGACGTGGGTATTGTTTGCTAATTGTCGTTTATGGTTTCTTAGATTCCTCATTGTCCCTTCATGTAGGTACTACTAGTATATGCTTATGGTTTCCTAGATCCTCCCTTGCCCCTTCACTTAACAATTACTTATATAGAACCCCCCATGGGGTTGAGTTCACATAAGGCCTCTGGGCAAAGAGCAGTGAGTCAGTGACGGACCCAGAAAATTGTATGAGGGGGGGCGGACCTGAACAACAAGAATATATCGCGGGGTATTATCAAAAATTGAGTGGGGGCATTTTTAAGATTTTAACAAGCATTATAGGTAATTTTGTTATAAAAAAAAATTGCATGAGGGGGCGGATTTGAAGAACAAGAATATATCATGGGGTATTATCAAAAATTGAGTGGGGGCATTTTTAAAATTTAAACAAACGTTATAGGTAATTTTGTAAAAAAAAAAAAATTAGTGGGGGCAGCCAACTCTTCGTGCCAGACTTGCCGGTACCTGTGGTTTGTGGGTGATTGCGGGTATTTGAAGCGAATAGTCATGTCCCTAAAGGAGGTGGGGATACCCCATGTCAGCGCTATTTTAAAAAATAAAATAAAACTATTTCTGTTATTTTAATTCCCATTTTCCCCTTTCCTTCTTCAATGTTACTTTCTTATCCTTGCACATTTAGAATGTTACATTATTTTTCTTCTGCTGAGCATTCTGTACACACAAAGTGTTACTCATGTCCTGTTAGGAATTGGAGGATTGATACATCCGGTACTTGATACAAGTACTTGAGTCCTTTATCCACATAAAAAGTCTTAATATAAAAGTGTCTCATAGACTAAGGTTTGACAAGACACTGTAAATGTGAGAAGAAAATATCGGAGGGTTTATTAGTTTGAAAGGTGTCATATCACTAATTTTGGTAAAAGAAAGGGATTTCTACACATAAATGGTGTTATGGACCCATATTTACTATTTGATGGAGTCACAATCATGATGTTTCGAGAAAATGAAGTTGACCAAAATGTTGACATGGACATGGAAAATCATTGTTCATTTGCCCCAACTACCCTCATAGAGGTACCACTTTTTGTGTTACACAAAAAATAATACCTACGTGCACAAAAAGTGGTACCTATGTTCATAAAAGCGGTACCTCTATGCCAAAACAAAAGTGGTACCTGAAAATAGTAAGTGTAGTTTGGACAATGAATAATGTTTTTCCATGTCCACATCAGCATTTTGGTCAACTTCATTTTTTCGAAACATCATGATTTTGACTTCATCAAATGATGGATCCATGAGCCATGTATTTGTAATAATCCCTAAAAGAAAAGGTTCAAGTCAAGAGTTGAAGTTGAGGTTCATGGTTTCTGCATTGTTGTCTCTTATGGCAATATTGTCACAAAACCAATTAAAAAAAAAAAAAAGACTAGTGAAAATCCTGAAATTGATGCTTATTTAAAGGTGTGGCCTGATGGGTGTGTCAGTCGTAATGCAGTTCATATTAAATTGAGTGGTCTTTGATGGCTAACATGAGATAGAGGATAAAAGTTAAAAAAAGATGCATAGCTTGGTAATAATTGTTTTTAATAAAAACAATGAGCATATGGTTTAAAAAGGGAGTGATGGTTGAAAAGCCCTGAAAGCTCAGTTCTGTGTAAATTGTAGTGTGCCTCCACCTAAGTATAGTTGCATTCTTGTTTTCACATTTTAATCTTGTATATGAAGCTTCTTTCAATTTCTTCTCATTCTCGGGACTATTTTTAATCCTTCAAAGGTGACGGATTAACTTTTTGTAACTTTCTGATGTAGGAGGAGGTTGCTTCAAGTGCGGCGCTGTTGATCACATTGCTAAGGATTGTACTGGAGGACCCACCATCAAACAACCTCAAAAATACATCTTAAAGGACGATAACACTCAGCGTGGTGGAGATGATAACTCAAGGTTGGTGAGCTTGTATGCAGTGATGAATCTACCATCTTCCCCCCTCTCTCTCTCTCTCTCACTGTTTAGTATCTGATCTAGGTATGAGATGGTATTTGATGGGGACACTGCTGGTAGTCCGAAACGAGAAAAGAGACGTAGGGACTACGAATCAAAAGACCAAATTGAGAAACAAAAGGTGAACCAGCGGAGTTCAGAAGAGTTCAATCAAAGGAATCATGAAAAGAAAGACTCCATCGATAGGCATAATAGGCAAAACGACAGAGACCAAATTGAGAAACAAAAGGTGAACCGGCGGAGTTCAGAAGACTTCAATCAAAGGAATCATGAAAAGAAAGACTCCAGCGATAGGCATAGGCAAGACGACAGAAGTAGAGGATACAGAGACCACGAGAGGAACTGGGAGAATAGGACAAGTCGATCTGGTGAAAGTAAAAGAGACTATGACAAGAGCGATGAAAGAGATTCTAGAAAGAGTGACAGGAGGTATGAGAAGGATCATAGAAACAGAAGTGGAGATGATGATGAGCGGAATTATGGAAAGAGCAGAGGAAGTGATGATAATCGTGAGCATTATCGTGATCGTGACAGCAGGCATCGATATGACTAAAGGAGATGAAATCTTAGATCATGATTTATAGTCTTTAGTTTACATACATGCTCTGGGATGATGGCTTGCGACACCCCTGGCCAATCTTTAAAAGTTTTGCAAGGTTGATGGCTGCAGCTATCTGTAGTCTTATTTGCACATTTGTTCACATCCGCTGGGATGCTTGTTCATCTTATGAAGCTTCCAAATACCTTAATGCACTTTTGAAATGTACCGTGGTAATGTTTTTGCTTCCTGATCATTGTTTAGGTGATTCGAACTCTGATTTTCAAATATTGTAATCTAGTGCAAGTATACAAGGAGAATAAACTTCATTCCAATGGGTACCCGAAACCATGTAGTGTTTGTTATCTTTAGATTATCTCATGTAATTCAAAATGTGAACTAATCAAAAGGTGGGAAGTTGGATGTGTTCTTATTGTATTGAGCCAGACCATTGGTTCATTGCATCGCACAGGAACAACTTCTGGGTTTAACAAGTTTGACTTGAGCTATAACCAAATATCCCTGTCAAGTATGAGTTTGTTTATTTGCAGGCCCATTCTTGGAGCACAACACTTGCTTCTGCAACCAATCTTAACAGTGCTGAAATTGATGAGCGAGCCTACAATCACATAGACATTCACCAAGGGTCTTGTGGTACTTCCTCTGTCTGTCAAAGTGGATGACGAGGATTCGAGTATCCAAAGGAATTTTTTTTACCTTCCAAAGTGGATGATGAAGATTCGAATCTCTAAAGGGACAAAGTACAAAGTGGATGATGAAGATTCAAGTCTCAAAAGGAGCAAACTGGGCGTTCAAAATGTACTCAGCCAAACCGACAAGTCAAATTAAATGAAAGGAAGCTACGGAAACACAAGTGAACAATTCTTTTTATTCTAGATCAAAATACAAGTTAATACATCTAATGTTTTCTCTCTTCTTAAAACTAAAAATCTACCATTTTCTCATCGTAATTTTCTTTTTTATTTATTAATTATCCAAACATGGACATTGCAAAGCACGGACACTTGGACGAACGGAAGGAAGATTTACAAAGTAAATAGACAATAGCCAGATAGCACGCAAGTTCTCAGCCCCAAGGGGGGTGTTTGCTTAACCTTAAAAAAAACAAGAAAAAAAGAAAAGAAAAAAGAAATGTGCAAGTAGTCACAGCAGCACTTTTCTCATTTTAGGGGTCTGATAGAAGGTACCATCATGGAAAAGCATGTCTCAATGAGGGCACGAAAGTAAATTGATGCGGATTTCTGCAACCCCACAATCTTCATTTTCCAGTGATAAACCTCTCTCCCCCGTAAAGCCTCTTGTGATAAACCCTTCTCTCTCTCTACAATGGCGAGAATAGCATGCCAACAACTTATTCCGACTATAGCTCTTCCGTTGAAGTCATCTCTCTTCCGGAGTCACACTTCTCACCTGATCGCCTTTCGGAGGCGTTTCTCATCTTCTTCCCCATCCAAGATAAGCATGAGCTTGAAAGCTGGAATCGTTGGCCTCCCTAACGTCGGAAAATCCACTCTCTTCAACGCCGTCGTGAGTATTCTTTATCTCTCTCTCTAACACACACACGCTCACCCACCCAACTTGCATATTGTTCACAAGTATCCTCAATCGATGTACTAGTATCCAAAACTGATTGTTAATTTGTCATCGAGTTTGATTATCATGGAGGTCAAAAGAGAGAAATACGATTCCCAAAAAAAAAAAATGTGTTCTTATTTATTTTTTAAAAATTATTTGCATATCCCAATGTGTTTCAAGTGAGAGTTGATAATGATGGGATGCAAAAATGAGAGGGTGAAGTCTCAGGTGTTGATTAATTGGAAACTTCTCTCTTGTATGAATGTATGTATGTATGTATTGCTGTCAATTGTATTTTAGGAAATGATTTTTTGCATTTCAAATGAATATCAAGATTGTGTTGGTACCTCGCTAGTTTTCTTGAATTAAATCTGTATAGTCACAACTATTCGATGTTGTCCATACGCGTTTCCTTATATTGATTCATGGTTAGTGTTTTCTTGTCATGTCTTGCTACCATTGATATATAATGATATTGTCATTTGCAGGTTGAGAATGGGAAGGCTCAGGCTGCTAATTATCCTTTCTGTACAATAGAGCCAAATGTAGGTATTGTTGCCGTGCCAGATCCGCGTCTCAATGTACTTTCTGATCTCAGCAAATCTCAACGTGCAGTCCCAGCATCTATAGAATTTGTAGATATTGCCGGGCTTGTAAAGGGAGCTAGCCAAGGGGAGGTGAGAATCCTTTGCTTCTCTAGCTGGACCTGGACCTGGACCTGGTCTAGTGTTTATCTGTGGCAGTGGGATTTCGGCGGTTCAGTTCTTTTGCACATGCTGTCTTTTAGATTCTTCTACAGTTAGCTTGTGTTGTTTTAAGTGAAGATATTTTCTTAATTTAAATTTTCTGATTTCAGGGTTTAGGTAATAAATTCTTGTCACATATTCGTGAAGTGGACTCCATACTTCAGGTTTAGTCAATCTCCCTGTTGCTAATTTCTGTTTTGTATTCCTCATTAGCATTCTTCCTTTCATTTCTGGGAATTTTTTTTTTTATTGCCATTTCCTCTTTTTTCCCCTTTCCTGGAATTCATGTGTTTTGTACTTTCCTTTAAGCATTAAAAGATTTTCTGGAAATATCACTACCCTTTTAGTTATTAGTGGCTTCCTTATGCAGGAAAATTAGAAATCTATTATCATATTATTTTTTCTCCCTCCGTGTCTGCGCTTTTAGATTTACAAGACAGATAAGTTTTCTTTAACTTCTTGTTTATCATTCTATCAATAGGAGAAATTATAATACCGGAAACATTATCAATTCATTTTTCAAAGCATATGTTAGAAAAATGCCTTTGCAAAGAAATCTGTGTCTTGGAATTTGTGCAATTTCTACATGGAGGAGTATTTTCCATGTCTTGTACAAGTATGATTCCAAGAAGCACAGGTTTGATGCAAAGGTTGAGTAACCTTTTGGCACCGGTTATGGTGAGGAAGAATCTCTATTCAGGTCTTGGAATCATATTTGCGTGGATGTTATTGGACAGTAAATGAGACATGGTACTTATAGTTGGTTATACACCTTAAATATACATTCACAAGGTGTTCAATGTTGGCAGAAACTACACAGCTTAGCTATGAGTTATCCCAACTATCTACTCAACTAATATTCCAACTGTTTTATCCTGTTTCAGCTAAACTAGCTCGCACAATTTACATGTTGGGTCAAGGTATCTTTTTGTCATATTGATCTAATCCATAAATCTTAGGGCACAGGGACATGGTTGTGGAATAAATGGTATATGGAACAGTATCAATATCCACATATGCTTTAATCATCGTAGTATTCTCAAAAGCCAGTGGTAGTATAAAAGAACCACCATCATGGGAAAACTGTGATATTTTAACTTCACAAAAACAAAGAGAAAAAAAACCTGATATTTTTGTAACTGTTTTAAGCATGCGCTTACGACCTCCAAGTTTTTGTCTTATAAAGTCTAGTTATGTTCTTTGTTTTACTTTCTTTATATGTCATTTCCTTTCATTCTTCTTATTTTTGATTAATCAGATTCAAAATGATCTGCAGATATTATCTTTACTAATAAATATTATGTGATGAAGCCACAACCCTACATATATCCGTCGGCACAAAACTTATGCATATTATAAAAAACTCGTAATTGTATGATTTTGGAAACACCTTTTTATTGCCGTTTCAGGTTGTACGGTGTTTTGAGGATAACAACATTGTTCACGCTAATGGAGAAGTTGATTGAAAATTTGAAAACAACTGTTTATTGCTGTTTCAGGTTGTACGCTGTTTTGAGGATAATGACATTGTTCATGTGAATGGAAAAGTTGATCCAAAATCTGATATTGATGTCATCAACTTAGAATTAGTTTTCTCAGATTTAGACCAGGTACGCTGTTAGAACTTTATGCAATTTCAGTACTTTTGAGGGCCAACTTAAGATACCAAGTTGATTATATGGGCAAACCCATTACAAGAGGCTCCCACCATTGTAGGGTTTGGGGAGGGTCAGATATACGCAGCCTTACCTCCACATGTGGAGAGGTTGTTTCCTTTTTTCAAACCTGTGACCTCCATGTTACAATGTAGCAACCTTACCATTGTGCCAAGGCTTGCCCTTTTAATCAACTTAAGATACCAAGTGATTCTTACTAATAAATTTAAATGAAATAATAAGAAAAAATCTAACTGTACTTGTCATAGGCATTATGTTTCTCAATTTTTTGGCATTGCTGCTGGGTTTTTAACTTCTAAGCAACAAATTGGATGATTGAGGGACAAACTAATGGGCATGACTGATGTGTGCCTGAATAGAAAGGTTCCGAACTCGACTTTATGTGCAAGCTATTTTTTCGGTCTCTGTGTGTGTGTGTGTATCTCAGTATCTCTGGTTTTAATTTAGGTATCAGATACCTGTTATGATTCATGTGCCACTGTTAATGATGCATATCCGGACTATATCTTAATTCTTAACAATGCAAAAGTCTTGGTACTATCGATATAGTGCAAATAACCCCTTGTGTGGTATAAAACATGAAGCAAACAGAAAATGATAAATAACACAATTGGATATTGATTATAACTTGAATACAACAGATATAGAGGCCGTCCCTTTTATAAGACAATTCTTAATGACACTTTCTTTCCCTAGAACGACTTTCGAAATACCCACAAAGCTTTAATGATAACTTCTGCTATTCCCAAGACATTTTCAGATTTCCTATACCATAATTACTACTAAATAGACTTTGACTAGAAATTTCGAAGGCACCATTGACTGTCTCAATCCTGACTAAAGTACACTTAATGATTTGAATCAGACCACCCTCCTTGAAGAAAACTCGCCCTTGAGTTTGAGACAATTTACCACGATCAAAGAAGAACCCTGTTCTAACCAGACACACTAATTTTCTGTTACTAACAAAGAATACCTTTGCCCTAACTTCCAGAGCTCTCTTTTGACATTTAGTAGATTTCCAAAACTTGCTTGAACATAGACCAGGAACCAAAACTTGAATTAATCTGATTTTTGAATGAGAACAAATCCAAGTTATATGTTGCAGCAAGAAATCATCCCAAATTGATTCATGAATATGGAATTCATGATTTTCCAACTTCATGAACAAAGCTTCATTCCCCAAATTTCCAAAGAAATCTAAATCAAACGTAATGCTCTCTGAACCACACACCGTTGGAAGATCAGTGTTTTTATCTTTCGATTACCCAACTTGAGAAGACGTTGCTCGATGAGATTTATTCTTTTTACTCTCAATAGCTGCTGAAAAGATGAATTGAAAGTTTTCCTTATAAGGTGATAAACATACAGAATAAAAAGGAGTCTCACGACCCTCAGAAGTGTACTACTTAGAACCAGTAGCAACATCCCACAGCTTAATTGTCTTGTCCTCTCCACAAGTTATGAAGCATAACTGTTGGTTTGGATGAGAGAATGCAAGATCACTATCACCATCAACCCGAGCATCAATCTCTAGGCGGTTCCGTACATTCTCACCACCATGGTAGGAATATATTGCTGAGTGTCCTTGGACTTGGAGACTTGGAGTATGCAGCACCAAAAAGGATGCCATCAGAACTCCCTATTACTCTCTTCGTTGATGCAGGATACTCGTTGGCTAAAGAATCCCGCAGAGTAATTGAACATTATCCAAGACTACAAACCTTGAAATTTCTGGAAGCAAGCTTCTCTTTGCCACCCAACTCCCACAATGCGAAATCAGCAATATTCATTCCAGAAGGATGCAGATTTTGTTGCACTGGATGGAAATCCATCCTCTTCATAGCAAAACCTTGATTCAGATTTGCAAGTAGAGTTTTGGGCAAATCAACAGAAGAATTTAAGATGCGGCTATAGTTCTGACCAGGATTTGCAATAGGCAATATTTTAGCAGAGAAATTGTTGACAAATCCATGAAGAGCAGGTTGAACAGTGACAGCTTCTTCAACTTTAGACAAGTTGTTGATTGCTTCCTTAGATTTCTTATTTGTTATCTTACCTGCTTCATTGTCCTCTTTAATTTCAACGTTTGACATGTTGTTGACCACCTTCTTCTGCCATATTTTCTCCTTCATATTCTTCATCATTATTGTCAAATTCTGAAAGTGATGAAGTTGCACGTGTTTCATCTTCTTCATTTACACTTTCTAAAGAATCGTCAAAAGATGAGTAGGTGTCAACATGATTCCCAAGATCTTCCTCAATCAAGAGTTGTTTTTGATCGATAATGTGACTGTTTACAACTCTTGGGCACTGGCATACTTGAATCTCGAACCTCACGTGTAGGACCAAAATTCAGGTTCTTCAATACGTTTCCCAATTGATGTCCATGTGTTTTGTGATCTGGCAACACTCTGTTTTGGTCTTCTAGACAAGTTATGCTGCTGATTTGTTTTTCCAGTAATCTGTTCTGTCCAATATTCTCATTTATATGCATTCATTTGTTGTTCCTTTCTCTCCTACTGATCAGATTCAGAGGAGAGATTTGTTCTAATAGAGTGCTCAGTCGAAGGAAAGGCTCTGATACCACTTGAAGCAAACAGAAAATGAACACAAGTCTTATTACAACAGTAAGGAAGACTAGGAATACTCCAATCAACATCGGAGCCTAGATTTCTAAAGGGAAATCTGGGAAAAGCCTGAAGAACAGTTTATAAACTGATAATAACTCAAATTTATATTGATTATAACTTGAATACAACAGATATAGAGGTTGTCCCTTTTATAAGAAAATTCTTAATGACATAGTTTTCCTCGAATGACTTTTAAAATACCCACAAAGCTTTAATGATAACTTCTGCCATTTCCAGGACAGTTTCAGATTTCCTATACCATAATTACTACTAAATAGACTTTGAGATCGTAGATCGTTGGAGGAAATTGTTGATTTTTTGGCCTCTTTGAAGGCTTGAGACGTTTGTGCTCCTTTGTATTTCCTTGGGATTCGCTCCCCTCTTGAGCGTCTTTTAATAATATTCTTTTATTTATCAAAAAAAAAAATAAAATTACTACTAAATAGACTTTGACTAAAAACTTTCCAAGGCACCATTGACGGCCTCTTGTCAGTAAAATGAAATAATTTTAAAAAAATCAGGCAATAATATAAAATGACATTTTAGACAATTCCCAAACACCCGTTTAGGGGGTCACTGTGCACAAAACCTGTAGTGGAGGTTTTTTTTTTTTTTGGCACTTAACCCAAGAAAAAAACGATAATTTGATGATTGTGTTGTCAAGGAGTAGACACTGTCATCTGGACTCTACAACATTAGGTAATGCTTTAAGAAAAATAGTTTTTTGATTTTTTGATGGATAATGCTTCCAACCTTGACAAAGAAAAACATTTTTCAAATTCACCCAAGCAAAATCGGGATATGAAATTTACTTTATGTCAATTCTCGTCAAAAAGTGGTCAGAGGGGGTGTATTTGCACCTCTTTTCAAAAATAGGGACTGACAGCGCTCACTTTTCAAAAGTAGGGGGTCATTGTGCACAAAACCTATAGTGTAGGGTGGTTTTTTTGCACTCAACCCTTTCCATTTATCACGAGAAATGGAAACATGTGATTATCCAAACCATTTCAATTTTATTTTGAATGTATGTCATTTGCATCTTTAGATGTGTTTCTGTATGGGATTAGTGTGCATGATTGACTATTTTTTTTTTTTTTTTTAAAGGAGTAAATGGTAGCCTCATGCTCATCTTACCTCACTAATCTGCACCCTTATGTATCTTTTCTAATTGGATTGTTGTGCCCTTATGTATCTTTTCTAATCGGATTGTTGTGCATTATTTCCTCCCTTTTTCTAATTATTTCAAGAATCAGATGCAAAAACTCACTCACCTTACCACACTAACCAACTGAGCAAGAGCTCCTTGATTCACAACGTCCATGCAAGAAACTAATAAATATAACATGTCTAATTGAGTTTTGAACCATTTTACAAAATTGTTGTTATCAAGGGCAAGTCAAGTATATGTGAAAAAAAAGAAGCTATTTCAGTATCTTTCTGCTCTTTCATGCAGCAGCATGAAAGGCACTCTTGTCGGGACACTCAGGCAAGGGACCCATTATATGGGAGATTGAGGATTCACGTTCCTGTAATGTAGTTGTTACACATGTCAAATACTAATGCTTCCTTGGGACCCATCACGACATCACCTCATCTAGATGTACACAAATATGGCATCTATTGCCTCAGGCAACTTCTTTCATTAATAACATAGTTTTAACCTCATTTTGATCACTTCTATAAAATCTTCTGTTTGTTTCTTTGGTTGAAAACGTACTAGAAACTGATAGAACTGAATTCTATCGTCTACAAGAAATGCAGATTGAGAAAAGACTGGATAAACTCAAAAAAGGAAAAGCTAGAGATTCACAATCTAAAGTTAAGGTAAAATTATTCTCCATGCTTTCATTTTACCATCAAGTGACATGCTTTCATGTTTCTTAGTTAATATCAAGTAACAGCAGTGGTTTTGAACATTTGGCTGCAAAATTCATAATTTTAGGAGGAAGCAGAAAAGTCTGCACTGGAAAGAATTCAGTGCGCTCTGATGGATGGAAGACCAGCTCGATCAGTACCTTTAACAGATTTTGAAAAGGATGCTGTAAGGCATCTTTGTTTACTTTCAATGAAACCGGTTATATATGTGGCAAATGTTGCAGAATCTGATCTGGCTGAACCTGGGAACAATCCTCATGTCAAAGAAGTAGTGAACCTTGCTTCTGAGTTACAATCTGGACTAGTGACAATCTCAGCACAGGTTTGATGATAACTCTGAGCAGAATCTCATCCAATCTGGGTATTGGACAATTATGTACATGCTGATGTGCAGACTATTCTATTTATTCTTTATAAATCTTTTTGGAGGGAGGGGTAGTTTGAGGCTCTGAGAGTGTTGACTTGCTTTCTACTGCCAAACATATTTTTCTCAGTTTTACATAAACCTAATGCTGAATTGGTGATGATTTTTATCCTTGTTCCTCTAAAAACTGTAAATCCATTGTTGACGTTAGTTTTTCATTTGTTAGTTATTGCACTTGGCACTTAAACTTGGGATGCTTGCCATGACAGGTTGAGGCAGAGCTTACTGAACTCCCAACTGAAGAACGAACAGAATATTTGAAGTCTCTTGGTGTTAGTGAAGGTGGACTTGGAAATCTTATTAGAGCAACGTATGGTCTTTTGGGGCTGCGTACATACTTCACTTCTGGCGAGAAGGTGAAGCAGATAATGGATAAATGCTTTACTAATTAGATAATACCGTGGTCAGCATAACTGCTTACAAGATTGTTTTGATGTTATTGACAGGAATCTAAAGCATGGACCATACTCTCAGGTTAAATTTTGGTCTTGTTGATTTTAAATAAAAATCAGTACTCGATTTCAATTCTAGGTATTGGACCTTGAGCTTCAAGCTAGTCCTGATGTGAGTGGTATACTTCAGTTTGGCTCGTCAGATGTAACTTAATCAACTGTGTCTTAACTAAAAGTTTATTTGACTGATGGTTGTAGGAGAAAAGAGGTCTTTAAGACTTGTTTATCCTTTTGAGGTTCAAGGTCCAATATGAGATTTCTTAGACTACATTGATCATAACTTTTGTTAATCATGTCAATTCTGTTGAGGGTGAATTTTCATCAATAGTTATTGTTCAATGATGAATTAGGAATGACTGCACCTCAAGCTGCTGGAGTTATTCATTCGGACTTTGAAAAGGGTTTCATTCGAGCTGAGACGGTGAGCACATCAGCAGAAATGTTGGATTTGTTTTCAAGCATTATTGGGACCATTCTCTTCTTCTGTTGGTGATAAGATGGTCTATTTGAATGGATGCAGCTGTGATAAATATGCAAATAGTTTTTATAGTATGAATGTTCTTTAGAATAACAAGATCTTGAGGTAACAATTCAATTTAATTATAATATCACTTTTATTGATACTGAAAGACTTTCAAATATAGGGATTCTCTTTGATTATGCTTTGAGATTTGATTCTTAATACCAAATCGTATGAAAACAACCAAGGAAACAGAAAAAATTGGCTGAAAACTTAAAACAGTAGGTTCCTTTAACAAAAACTGAATAGGATCCTTGAATTTGCATTTTGATTTATGTTCGTATGACATTTGCATTTTTTCTATTGATGTATCTTTCAATATTTATGTTCTAAATTCATTTTCCGGCCACTGGTAGTTTACTTTTTCCGGTTTCACGCACCACGACTATGATGCTTTTGTTTTTCAGGTTGCTTATGATGATTTTGTTACTGCTGGTTCACTTGCAGCTGCAAGGGAAAAAGGACTTGTAAGTTGGTGCTCTTCTTCTATCCTAATATGATCTTATAGCAATAATATGATCTCATATGATAAATTCATGATTGATTATAAATAATCTAATTTTAAATATAAAAGTTATATACTATTCTTATATTTCGGGTTCCTCGAGTTACTAAAACCTTTGTCCAAATCCCGTCCAAAATATATTCGGGTTCTAAAGTTTAAACCTAGTCCCATGCCACGATGTCAAGTACCTTGTCCACTCCCGTAAAATTTTCGGGCGGGAGTCGGGTTGCTTGGATTAGTCTCACCCCTATGAATATGTAAGCTGTTGCATATGCGGCCACGTGATTACACATGCATACCTGTGATTTATGCTCGTACTATTCTTAACACCACGTCACACCCTTCTTTTCCTTCAAGGTCGTATTGATTTACGCGAGGTTTTTGTGTGTATGCAGTTGAGATCTGAGGGGAAAGACTACATTGTACAAGAAGGGGATGTAATGCTGTTTCGTTTCAATGTCTGATCGGAAAGATTACCGTTGATGCTAAACCATCTTGTTCTTTTACAACGTCCGGTTGGAATTTTTTTGCGAAGGGCAGGATATAGCCCATCTTTTTGTGAAGGCTTGGAATGTTTAATGAACTGAAATGTCTTCAGAGGGAACGGCCGGTTGTGTGTTACAGGGAAAATCATTGAGGTGATGTGTTCTTCCAATTGTGTGTTACTGGGAAAATCATTTTTATATTTTTGGTTGTAGAGAGAGAAAAAAATAAATGTTATAAAAAGGGAATTGATTCTTCACTCTTATGGTTGGAATCTTTAATTCCTGGATCGTCATCTGTATTTTAAACATTACCCATTTCTTTATATACCTACTGCAGAACTGGGGTTCAAATCATGTGGAGACAGTGGAGTTGACTTGGGTGTCATTATGATTATCTAATTGAGTGCATTTTGATAACACAGTTTTTTATCACTTAAAAAATAAGGTAATATTTTTTGGGTCCTGACAAATAATTTCTACATTACACTTAAAAATAACTCTCATAGTACACTCTGAAGTTGAATTAGATTTTAATCTTGAAACAATAACGAAATAATTTAAAGTTGATAAAGAGATGTTTCAATGTGAGAAAACGAAGAAAAAACAAAATTGTTTTTCAACGAATATATTTATAAACAAAGAAAACTATATATATATTATATTGCTGTATAACATGACACCATCTCATGGGAAGATTAGACTAGAATTAGTAAAATATATTAAAGGACGAATAAAAAAAAAATCCCCCACTTCCACTTGTTTGTAAAAAACCTCCCTTGTGAATATTTTTAGCAATTAACTTTTCCTTAACTATTGTGAGGGGTCATTTTAACTGACCTCATTTAGAGTAATTGCGTGAGGAAAATTTTGGAATAAAATTACCCTTAACATTAAACATCCAATTTTGGAATAAAATTACCCTTAACATTAAACATCCATTTAGGTAATTGTGTGATAAAATTTTCTGCCAAAGTTAACCTTAAAATCAAAACAATAGATTATTACTAAACTACTCACCACTCACTTCTTCTTCTTTTTTTTTTTTTTTTTTTTTTTAAGCTTCTAATTTTGAAACGAGACCTTTGATTTTTTCTTTTGAAATACCAACTTAAATTGATTTTGGTTGAAAAAAAAAAAAAAAAACTTATTTATTAAATCTACATATTTCAGTAACCAAACAATGGTTGTATGCAACCTATTTATAAAACATTCAGACACATCCTCAAATTTTTTTTTTCTTCAATACATCCATATTTAACAAGCAACCATTTGTTCCCCTAGAAAATTTAATAACCATAACTGATAATTAGGCATATGTCTAAGCATCCATCAGCATGAATGAATCAACCTGTTGACCAAAACAATATTCATAAAGGAGATTTTTAACTATTCGCCCAATATTTAAAGAAAGAGTCATACAATTTGAAGCCAGCCCATCCAACATCAACATCTTTTAGAAGTAATTCAATTATTATCGAAACATGATATTGAATTTGGAAGACGAATCGGTTTTGAATTTCAAATCAACGAAAATTTAGTTCAAATTAAAAATCTGAATTGGACTTGTTTGAGTAGCACCCCATATTGGGCCTAGAAGTTACGCTAAGTCGGGATCTGTTCAGCCTATACGGGTCGACTGATTCGGCCCATCTATTTTATTAAGAGCTCAAAGCAGATGAAGCTTTTTCTCAGCGTCTCATCTCTCTCTCTCTCTCACACACACACACTAGGGTTTATCAGAGGGTTCTTTGAACCGTGTACTGTGCCGTCTAGTGATGGCGAAGCCAGCCCGAGGTCGTTCGGCCACTCCGTCGGGTTCTGGTTCTTCATCTGGATCTCCTTCTCGGTCTCGCTCCTTTTCTGGTTCTGGTTCTCGCTCCTCTCGCTCCCGATCCCGATCGGTGTCCCGCTCCGTATCTTTCTCTTCTTCATCCTCTCCCTCTCGTAGGGCCCGCTCCACTTCTGGAAGCCGAAGCCCCGTTCCCAAGAAAAGAAGGTCCGTTCCTCATCTGTTATATACATTTATATCTATTTCTATTTGGTGTTTCGATTTTACAATATCTAAAGTATTGATTTCCATTGCACTTTTTTTATTAAAAAAAAAATCATTTCAGTTATTTAAGTTGTGTAGCCCATATTTTATGTCCTGTTTTTTAAGTTGTGTAGCCCATATTTTATGTCCGTTATATACTTAATAGTGCATTTAGAATTCATTATCTGGGATGAAAACTTGCAGCGAGAACTTCTATACATTGTGCCTATACAGAAGTAACAGAGCTAGTTTTTTTAGTTCTTTTTAGGTCAATATCTTGCTTTTTGGAAACCAAAACAACATGATATTCATATTTTTCTTATTTTCTTTACACTTCCTCATTTTTCTCCGTGATTAAATGGGTCTTTTACTATTTATTTTGGAAAAAAAAAGGTTATAATTGATGCCCATTTTGGTTGCTGAGGAAACGTACCAGAAGCAAAGAAATTAACATTTTGGGACACAGATTTTTCATAGTTTGGAACCTACGAAAATGGAAGCTCCACTGCCTTATAACGCCCATTAGTTTAGTTCAGTTTAAATTTTTATTTCTCAGAAACCGATGTAAAACTGTGGGCAAATTTGAGACGTAGGCTGGCTAGTACAATTTTGGAAGTGATAGGTAATTGGTGGACAGTTTTTAGTAGAAAAATGTTCAATGTGATGAGCCACTTTTTCCAGATGCCTATTATGAATGAGTTTCCTTTCTTATAGCCTTCCCCTTTTCCAAGATCCCTATCTCTCAATTATTTTCTTACTATATCTGTTTTTCAGTTTTCGAAATTGGTCTTTATCCTTTCTTTTTTCTTTTTTCTTTTATTTGGGTTGAAGTAGTCCTCATCTTTCTTGCTCTTTTCATCCAATATTTCATTGCAGAATAATCCTTACTATTTGTTTTCATATTAAATTTGATTTTTTGCAGTCCTCCTGGAGGAGCTAAAAGAGGTCGCTCCCCACCACCACAGTCTAAGAAAACGTCTCCACCGCCAAGGTAATGTTAGGTTTGACATCATTTTTTAATTAAAAACTTAAAATTTTGTGAATAATTAAGTTCTTGTTAGCATCATAATTCTGTCTTTGAGATTTTTTTGGATTAAATCTTTTTTCATTATTTTTACCCATAAACTCAAGGAATTTATTTTTCTGGTACTTGGATTTCAAGGCATATGAAGTTGAGATATGACACCTTTATACATCAATATATTCATAACAGGGCAAATCTTATTTATATGATTTAATTTTTTACTTGCTTAATTATTATTGAGTTTGGGAATTTGAAAATCTTGATCAAATCAACTCAGTTGAAGTTAGCTAGCTATGTTAGGTGGAAATTTTGTGCCTAGAAATGTGGAACCACTATCCTAATCACCACTGAATGTAACTTATCCGTTCTTCTCTTGCTAATTGAAAAATATTGAATTAAAAACAAATGCATTTGTGATGCTGTATATTATGACCAACTGGAGATAAAAGGGAAGAAAACTAAACAAGATGGTTTAACAGATGCAATATGGATTGATAACTATACCAATGAAGAACAATGATATGGTTTCTCATTGGAACTAATGATAGGAAAAGGAAAAATCAAAATAAACATAAATTGGTATGGTAAAGAAAGATATAGTGGTGATTTGTTTAAATAAAGTCATGGCTTTAGTTGGAGCCTAAGAAGCATGTACACTTCTACGAAGGTGCCGTATCCAAGTGAGATACGTGGGACACCGACAAACAGGATATCCCTAGATACGTGTTTGAGACCTCATGGACGTGTCATCATTTGAAAATAAATTTTACTATTGCGAATGCTTAGCCCACACATCTCGGGCACTTGGTCAACACATCCCGGACATTCTCCAATATAAATCTTATATAACTCAAATACAAGTAAGAGCAGCCATGTGTGGTTATCTTGTTAATAATATGAACACAACTCAAAGTGCCCAATCTCTCTCCTCTTTTTTTGGCAGATTTATTCATCAAAGTGTAATACAGTAATCCAATATATCAAGTAGAAGGGACATTTATTCATGTATGGAACATCATTCGAAGATCAGTTGATGAATGATTCCATAATAGAGTGAGAAGAGAGGAAAGCCATCAATCAGTCTACAATCTTCCATTCTCTCTATCATGGTGATTCCTGCAAGTACGTCATGGCGTTCATGCAAATTCTGTAGTACCACCATCAATTAGCAATACTCTAAACTTACTCTTTCCTTTCTTCTTGAGAAGCCTGCAATCACTCTAACTCAGTGGCTGCAGATTTGGTACCATGGCGAAAGTAAATTTTAATTTAGGAGTGCTCAATGACTAGAACATTTAGTGTATGCATTCGTTTGGTGTAATTCTATTATGTGTTTCTCCTTGTTCAGGTTGTTGTACTATAAAATTTTGGAGGTGTCATATTTCTAAAGTTGCTGCAAATTTTCTCTCTTATTCAATAATAAGAATTTTAGGACTAATCAAAAAAAAAAAAATTCAATAAGAATTTTGGGACAGATGAAGAGGTAGCAGGATTTTAGGACTGAAATTTTGAGATCATGAATTGTGAATTTTGAATTTGAGAGCTGGCAATGTATTTGCTCTTAAATCGGCAGATTTGGGCACTGAATGTACGAGCGGCCATCCCTTATGCACAGATCGTGTGACCTAGGTTATATGACTGCATTTATTTTTTAATCGACTAATTTTTTTTTTTCTTTTTTTTTTTTTGAACATGATGAAGTTCTTTTACTGTACATAACTTCGAAATACCTTTCCTCTCTCTCTTTTTTAAATGAGTTATTTTCAAAAAATTTAGGAAGTGTATTATTTGATTCGCTGTTTTTCAAGGATTGGATTATATCTAGTCCTGAGAGTGGTTTTTGTGACATTCATCTATTTTTTTTTTTTTTTAATAAGTAAGAATTTATTAAAAGCGCTCAAAAGGGGAGCGAAGTCCAAAGACAACAAAAAGGGCCAAAAGGCGCCTTAGACCTTCAGAGAGGCCAAGAAAACAATGATTTCCTCCATAGATCTATAATCTCTCCTTGAAACCCAACAAAAAAGAGTAGAAATAACAGAGAACTTAAGCATAGAAATAGGCTTCTTTTTTCCCCTCAAAATATCTCCTATTTCTCTCAAGCCAAATACACCACCAGATACAAAGCGGCGTAGCCCTCCAAGCATCCTTAACACCAACCCCAACAGAGACGCCTCTCCAAGCTTCAATCAACCCTCTAGAGGAATAGGGCATGGCCCAATGGACCCCAAATAAACGAAGCATCAAATCCCAGCAGTCTCTGGCCATACTGCAATGTAAAAGGCGGTGATCAACTGATTCCTCATTACACAAGCACATGTAACAATGATTGACCACCACCTGATTCCTCCTCCTCAAATTATCCTGAGTTAAAATCTTACCCAGGACAGAGGTCCAAGCAAAAAAGGCGACCTTGTGGGGAGCCTTAGAATGAACTATTATGAGCACAACTGTTAAGCTTTCCAATTTGCCTTACTATACCTTGCATATCACTGCTAGTGAGTATAGATTGTGAATCCATTAGAATTTATGTTTTTAGTTGGGAAAATTTTGATTTTCTATCTGCACAATAATTTTAGTAGTTGCAGTTAAATATCCTATGCTGATTATGTTGTGTCTTGAGAAGGTTCTCTAACATTTACTCTAATATTTTCCTTATTTGCTTGTGCGTTTTGGATTTCATTCACATTTGACCTCTGCTTTCAGGAAAACATCCCCTATTCCCGAGTCACTCGTTCTTCTTGTCGAACATCTCACCAGGAATGTGAATGAAGGCCATCTAAGAGAAATATTCAGTATGTTCTTTACTTATTTTGATAGTGGCAGCACATTATGGATGTTTCTTATGATTTTAATTTGTAGCGATAGTATATTCTAAAGTCCCAAGGCTTGCGGCCAAACCTTTTGGGTCAGCAACAGTAATCCTATTTGGTCTTGGTTGCTTGTCACGGGACAATTTTATTCTCAAACTATACCCTCAAGAAATTGTCTTTTCTTAACCACAAGCTTGATGAATTTTCATTTTGAAGTTTCTATGTGTTATGTTGCATGGAAGCGATTTGAAATGCAGACATACCAAGACAAAGATGTTGGCAAAAAGAATTCTCAAAACATTTGACATGGACGTGTCTTATTTTCATACATATGTGTATATTAATATGTACATAGAAATGCATGTGCAATAGTGATGGCTCCTCTCTTCCTCTTACCTTCAGTATTCAACTAAGCCTTCATGTATTTCCTTTTGGTCTTAAATTTGATTTTAACTAGCTTTCTAGAAACCTATATTGATTTTTCTCGGTAGTATACTTATCTATACCAAAAAAATCCATATCCCACATCGAAAGTTTACCAGTCACATGTTATTTTTATTCACATAAATTTTTTATCATGGAAAATTCCAATATGTGTAGGTTGATTTTTTTTTTTTAAGATTTAAGGGTGATATAAATAATTATGTATATGGGTACTCGTCCACCTTATGTAAGCTTTTGCAGTAAAGACATCAACTGTATGTTTCAGTCCCAGTTGAAGTCACAATGTAAACTAGGTGCATCATTATTTTCTATAGGTGCTGTATAAGGATTGATAATCCAAGAACAGAAATTGAAAGTTCTTTATAGTGGCTTGTACAGCCATCAAACTTCATGAACTTGTTGGAAAGTGGTGCAGCTAGTTCAAAGAACAGTGCTTTTGAAGCTAAGTCAGTTGAATGAAACATTTGAACTTTAGAACATCTGGGTACCATGCATTGGTAAGTTAGTAGTTTTACCTTGAGCACATGGGATTGTGGTTAAAGAATGACTTAGCTTCAATCAAAGGAATGACTAATCGGGGTAAAAAGGCTAGCCCAGTTTACGGGGCTCCCGCCATTGCAGGTTTTGGGAAGGTCTGATGTACGAGCTTTACCTCCGCAAACAACGACTAATCGGGGTTCTACTTATAAATTGCCTACCAAAAAATTTGTGTATTTATCAGGAAGTACGAGTTGGGTACTCTCACATTCATCCCTTGGGGATAGTATTTGTGATTGATTTTTCCTATCTTGTAGGTAATTTTGGCGAAGTTGTACGCGTGCAGCTGGTAATGGATCATGCTGTAAGCTGCTCATACAACTTCATATCCTATCTCTTATCACTGTTGAAACAAACACAATTTTAGTATCATAATGTGGAATTGGTGTATGTTTGCAGGTTAACCTTCCAAAAGGAATTGGATATGTTGAGTTCAAGACAAGAGCTGATGCTGAAAAGGCGCAAATATACATGGATGGTGTACGTTTTGATTAAGATGTGAATTTGCTATAATTGGTGAATATCATATCTGGTAAATTGATGTTCTTGCTTGTCCTGATGCAGGCCCAGATTGATGGAAATTTTGTTGGAGCAAAGTTCACATTAACTGAGCGGAAAAAGGTTTCGCCACGCACTAAGGCCATAGCCACTGCTTCGAGGAGAGATGCTCCAAAAACTGATAGTGTTGGTGCTGATGTTGAAAAGGATGGACCCAAGCGTCAGAGAGAATGTATGCTCCACATAGTAATATATTTTTTGTTACGATGAGATATTTCTGGGTATGGGTTGCAATTAATATCTTTCTTGCTTTATGTAATCAGCATCTCCACATCGGAAACCTCTTTCCTCACCCCGAAGGAGGTCACCTGTGGTTCGAGGTGGTGGATCTCCAAGACGAGAGCCAGATTCTCCTCCCCGTCGACGGGCAGACTCTCCTATTCGTCGTCGACCGGGGTCTCCTTATCGCCGGGGTGATGCACGTCCAAGAAGGCGGATTGGATCTCCTGCCAGAGGTCGTTCACCCTCTCCACCGAGGCGGTATAGGTCACCTGCAAGGTTAGCTACTCATTTCATGGTTGCTGGTTTGACGGCTTTAGTGGTTTGACAGCATTTGACTAACTACTTCTCAATAGGGCCTCTCCGCGAAGGATGCGTGCTAGTCCTGTCCGCAGACGTTCTCCCGTTCCTCCAAGACGCCGGTAATTCTACCTCTATGTTGAATTAATTATATCTTTTCTTTTTGAAACTACATTGAAATTTGTTGCAAGCCACAAACAATTGGAGGAATTTATATAGGACATTGTACCCGGCGTGCTTTTATATATGGTTGTAGGTACTGTTGGTGCCTTACAAACAGTAGCATGTTTTCATTTTGGACCATCCATCCAGGCCATATTGTTAAATGGAAAGCACCTCCATGCATTGATGTCTAATTGTTTAATTCAGATTAATTCCACCTTTCTAATCATTTGTGCTCCTATCATAAGGTGATGAAATATGTTCCGTTTGTCCCTTTAAATAGTGTCTTCATTAGACTAGGTTTTGGTGTGTTCAGTTTGAACTAAAACTACATAGGCTGAGCTTGACCGATTTTAAGTGGTTTTACAAAACTTCGACCTGAACCTATACCTTTGGGTTAAAATCTAAGTTAATATTGCTAAACTGTATTTAACTTTTTGAGAACTGAACTTGAAGTGCTTGGCAATATCATAATAAATTGTAAACGAAATTAAAATGTATTCGAATTGGGTAACCCACTAAAAAGAAAAAAAAGGAATGGGTATTCATGCCCAGGAGTCTAAAATAAACCCAATTAGTTTGTTTTCTGGTTGAATATGAATTATGGATTGAATTTGCCAAACTCTTTTACGGGACATTGTTCCACATCTGATCTTGGATATAGATAAAGTCTGCCCATTTGTTGGCTTTAGTGTCAGGTTTTAAACTGCACCACCTATTACTTTGGGCAGCGGCAGTGTTAATTCTTTTTTGTTATTTGGGAAGAAGAATATTCAATCTCTGCCCCAGTTTCCTAGCTGTTGGTACAATTTTCAGTTATTAAATTGTGAAATGATCTGATGATCATGCTCTAGACTTGATATTTACCCCCTTCTTCAACTTTTCTTTTTTCGACCAAGGTTCACTGATTTATTTGGGCAAGTTTTAGTCAGTGGAAAAACTGAAATTGGAATCATTTCATCAAAGAAGCACTGAAATGGATATTGGACACGAATACGATACGGCTGGGACACAACGAATATTGATATTATATATATATATATATTTATATATATATGATGTAGTTTAAGAAATTAAGAGTAATATTATTTTTTTATCAACCTAGTAATGGAAAAAATTTATGTTTTGCTGGCAAAAAGAAAGAAAGATAGAAAGAGGGTTTTTAATTTGTGGGTTGCGGTTCCCCTTTTGAATGCTCTCTAATACAGTCTTACTTATCAAAAATATATATATATATATATATATATATATATATATATATATATATATGTAGAGAGAGAGAGAGAGATAAAACAATAAAACAAAGAGGATTAGGGTTTTAGAGATAAAAGAATAAAACAAAGAGGATGAGGGTTTTGTTAAAAAAAATTTAAGTCTTAGTAAAAAATAAAGGTAAGAATCCATAGAAGAGAAAAAGTTCTTGGAAACAAGAGGAAAAAGACAGACAGAATTTTGCCGTGAAAGGAAAAAAAGAAGTATCTAGGGTTTGTGAAGAGGAAGGAGAGAGAGAGAGAGAGACCATCCGCTTGGTTGGTGGGAGAACAAGAGAAGGTCAAAGTTGATCGTGCAAGAGTTTGAAACTTTGAACTAAAATATAAGCCTAAGTATTTGATTGTTTTATAAAACAAATACTTATTAAGTCATTATGCAATGGCCACCATATTATTGAAATGTACTAAACAACTCCTCATATTTATGCTTCAACCCAGCGTTGTTTCTTTAATATTCTTAATACTCCATAAGAATGCAATACGCGTGACTGACACGTATCCATGGCGTGTCAAACGTGTCCATGGTGTGTCCTTGCCCGTGTTCGAATGTTAAAAAAAAAGAAGGCATTTAATACATGCCCAAGAAGGGGTTGAGGTGCATGAAATGCTCCAAAACATAAATCGGTACTTATTTAGATATTTAATACATGACCAAGAAGCTAAGAAGCTACAAGCTTATTGAGTACTAAGAAGATCCCACATCATAGACAAAAATGTTGAATTCCATAGAAGGGGTTGAGGTGCATGTAATTTCCGGAATATAAGTATAACATAAACCGAATGATATTGCAGCTAGTGGCAGTCAATACAAAATAATAACGTGCAGAGAGTTTGGAGAAGACACCGAATTTGTGATATATAAGCAAAATAATGTCTACAAGCCTACAAGGTTTAGGGTGTAGGGAGAAGTTTTGTTAACCTATACCTGGTATTTTTGACATATCAACTAGGAGGATCAAATAAACCAGTATGCATAATTGTTACTATATGCATTTCATAAACAAAATCTGTTGTCATTACAACTTTGAAATGATAATAAGTTAGTTAAAATCTTTTCAACTTTAAACATATAAATAAGCACTAGACACAATTAGAGCCCGTTTGGGGTGTTTGTTAGAATAAAAAATCACTTTTATCAGTGGAGCTGTCAAAAAATTATAGTCAGTAAAAAAAAGCATGTTAGGCTTTTGGTGACACATTATAATAAGTACTTTTCAGAATTAAATTATTTTTTAATTTATTTGGTAACAATATTTTTTAAAAACTTCTATGGCTAATTTTACAATAATATCCTTTAATAGGATGTTACCATATTTGATAATAGCAACTTTATTAAGGAATGGGTGTAATTGTCTTTATAAAAATAAAAATGACAAATTTGTCTAATGAAAAGAGTTACCTAAAATATTCAACCTCTACTCAGAACGCAATTTTGAAAGCTCCAAATTCTAGCTTCATTCAAAAGCTCTACTGAGCTAAATTTGTTACCAAACACATCTAAACACATTTTTTTTATAAAAAAAAAGCACTTTTAAGCAGTGGAGAAGCAATCCCAAACGGGCTTAATGTAAGTAGTCAACCGTGTAATTGTATATTTTGTCAAATAGTTGATAAACAATATGACCCTTCAAATATATTCATGATATGATGATGATATAGAGCATGCAGATGGATAGTCAGTGAGAATAAAGAAAATTATACGAATGATGATTAAAAATAAAAGGCACATATTTTTTTTAGTCTGGAGGGTACTAAAAAGCATGAGCAGAGGGCTTTATGTGAGCTTGATTGAAGGGGCTTGGTGTATCGTACGTTGAGACAGTTCAACTGAGTTTTGGCGAGTTTGGGGCTTTGTTGGGCCCTGGCAATCCTTTAACGAATAACAACTAGGTCTAGATTCTTAAGGTGTTGATGGAATTGATGCATAAATAACCTCCTGCTCAAAGTCAAATATAGTGTTGTTAAAGGCGTGCCTAGGCTCCAGTCTCATACATGCGCAACGCTGGCGCCTGTTGTGTGCTCAGGTGCACCTTCGACAACATTTGCGCCTTTAATATGGATATGAATATGCTTTAATTGTAATATAAATTTCAATTGTGTGCCTCACTTCACTCAAGCGCAAGAGTCGCCCTGTGCCTTGCGGCTAGGCTCCAAAGGGCCTCTAGCGCCGTAGTGCACCTTGGGCCTTTGATAACACTAGTCAAATGCATATAAAAATGAAACGTTGGTGCCCATTAAAATATATTGGATCTGTTACCAAAATGCTTTAGTTTAAGAGCATAAAAAAGCTTCCTTCTAGCTTATTGACACTAAGAGAACAAAAATCTCTCTCAAAGTAACTAAGTCCATGCATCAAATGTTTTCTAACATCTTAGAATATCTTATTAGAGAAAAAAAAATCACTTTTTAAGTGGTGAATTCTTGGCAAAATAATTCACTTTTTAAGTGGTGAATTCTTGGCAAAAAGTAACTAAGTCCATGGGCTTGTTTGATACAGGTGAAAAACCATTGAAAGTAATATATATAAAAAAGAAGCTTGACTGTGTAAAACCATTGATTTGACTGATTTTGAAGTTACAGGCAATCTTCCCTTTTCCATTCAGGTAGCAATAACATGGAGCATACATTGCTTTCAAATATTAATGTATCATCTTTATCTAGCATGTTCTGGTGGTTTTGTTTTATCCGTTGACTTTCATTAAGTTGTTCTTATTGTGGTAAATCTGGATGGTGATTCCAGACAGGGTGGTCACTAAATGAGTATTTTGAGAAAAGCATCATTTGCTATGCCTTTTTTTTTAAAGTTGTTCTTAGTCCTAGTTTCATTTTCATGCAGTTCTCCTCCTAGACGACCTCGGAGCCCACCCAGAAGATCTCCTGTTAATCGTAGACGTACCCGCTCTCCTATTCGAAGGCCTGTTCACTCACGTTCAAGATCAGCCTCACCAAGGAGGTAACATATGGATGTGCAATTAGATCTTGCTAACTATGTGCTTTATTTTGCATTTTTTATCGTTAATTGTTACATGCCATTTCACTTTTATGTGATGGGGGAGGAGAAGGGAAGTGTTCGGCAATATTTATGCTGTTGTCTGTAAGATTTTGTTACGACTGGGTAAGGAGGAATTCTATATAATGGATGGATTCTGTATATATTTATCTTCAGCTACACCTCAGAATTTTGGGTGGGTGGGTGGGTAGATCTAATTCAATGTGGGTGTGGCTGACTTCTTGGCATGCAATAGTGTAATTGCAGAGCAAACTGTTAGAATTTTCCATTTGAAATTTTGGATTATCATGGAATTTTCTATTTCAAGTCTGGATTGTTGAAGAAATGGCTGGTAGCTTAATTGTCTTAAATAGTGATGAAAAAGGTCCTAAACCAAGTTTCCTAAACATGGTCCCTAGGGTTTATCTTAATTTGATTTTCCAACTTCACTATGATTAGTAGGAGATTAATTGCACCTGCCCTTTATGACAGATAAATGGAACACAAGCTTTTAACACACAGCTGTTGTTATTGTCAAATGAACGAAACATTATTATGTAAACCAATAATGATTTGTACAAAGAAGAGGCAGAAACAAGAGGTAAAGGACTGTAATGCTATTTGTTGGCCATTATGATATATGCTCATCGTCATCTATCCGTCCGAATGGCATCTGGTACCATAGCAGCTAACTGTTGGGGGCTTGTAGTTCATTTTGTTCCCTCATAGTTGTTTAAAACTGTTACCAATGGCAAATGAATTTGGGAATCTGCACAAACTTGTTTCTGCATTTTGTCTTCAATTTGGTCTCTTTGTAAGGTTAAAGACTGTGATCATAGCATAAATGTACCCTTTTGGATATATAAGGCAATATTTAAGTTTATCTGTTAGTTATGCTTATATTTCACTTATTTGGTGTTGCTTGAGATTGGAGCATTGCGGCTATATATTTCACACCAACGTTCCTTATTAAATGTCAAATCTGTCAGGACAATGCAGAACTGGAAGAATGGGTCTCCTTTGTGTGTGTTAGAGGGGGAGGGGTAGAGGGAGGGGGGGATGTTATTGTGTACTTTAGTGTGTGTTATTTATTTATTTAATTTTTTGTCGGAGGGGTGGGGCTATTTGGTTGTTTAGAATTTTAAGGACATAAATCTTGTGGTTGCAACAATTTTAACTTTGTTTTCTAATACTTTTGGGATATTTCAACAGAATTTAATAGTTAATACCTTAGGAATTCACTTATATATGCGCCAGGATTCTCTATAAGTCATTAAGAATGCAAGTGTGTGGTAAAACTAGGAAGCACGGCTACAGAAAAGGGATACGGGTACGACACGATATGAACACGGTGATGTGGACAAGTTGGACACGCCAGGGATATGTAAAGTTTAATACATAATATATTAATTTTATCTCATTTTATCCACATTATCATGAATGAATTACTAATTTGGAGATTGGAGCTGGATGATTATTGTTTTTTTTTTTTTTAATTTTAAATTAACCTATAATATATTCTAAAATTGCATTGGAATCACATTCTTCTAAGAAAAATAATTATAAAATACCCGATTTGTCAAGTGTCCCAAATGTCCTTACCTTGTCTCCGCCGTGGCCAAGCAGAAAACAAAATATTAAAATTTTAGGACACTTCTAACCGTGTCCCACGTGTGTCTGATATTGGTACGGCACCCCTAGGAGAAGTGTTAGTGCTTCCTAGGTGGTAAACTAGTGCCATATGTGCATATCAGTGAGTTACATTTTCTTTGCATTCCATATTAAACATTCCGTTTTGTGTGTGTGTGTGTGGCATGTTTTTCTTTTTCCTTTTTGTGTGCTCGCGTGTGTAATCCAGAGATTAACCATTCGCTTTTATATAGTATTACTTAAAATCACTATAACTTCAATGGATAAACGTATTCAAACTCTCTTCCTTCAATAAAGTCTGAGCTGCGTTCTTCCAAGTATCATCCTATTGCAGGCAGATTTCTGGTCTTTTTTAGAGTGCCATACTACACAGTATGTAGTCTTTATGCATTTGATGGGTGATACAGGTGGTCTGTACACCTTTCTCCAGATCTCCCTCTTCCTCCACCCAAAAATGTCCTCTTTTTTTTTTTGTTCATTTCATGGTTCTTTTTTCTATACTTTTTAATGTTTTGGATACTTGTGTTCATGGTAGTACACACATAGTATTGCTCATTAGTATAATCGTATCCTTATTGTTTATGGTCCCTGTATTTTTCATTGTGGTAAGTCATTGACTAAATTAAAATCTGAAGCTGAATATCATTGTGTAGTTTAATGGTTAAAGTTTGGCATGCATGCTGAGGGCAACCGTATTGCACTAGTAATGCCATGGTTAGGTCTGTACCAGTAGTTTTCCTCCCGGCACCTTACTTTGTGACAGCGATGTTTTAGTTACCAATATTTGAACATGATAATGTTACTTTTCTTTCCTTAAAAGAAACAGAAAAAAAGGGAAAAGTTCAAAATAACGCTATAGTCATGTAGCATGGTTGTTTGTCCCTACAGCACAATACACTTTGGAACTGCTGCTAATTTTTAATCTTTTTTTGTTTATATGTACCACTAATTTTTACTACTCCTGGTTATCTATCTTCAATAGAGGTCGAGTACCAGCCACAAGACGTGGGAGGTCGTCATCGTACTCTGAATCACCTAGTCCACAACGCAAGGTCTGTAAGGTGTCCTAAATAAAAAAACACTCTATTTAGTATATGCTGCAGCTTCATCTATTCTGTAAATGTTTCAGGTGGCTCGGAGGATATCAAGGAGTCGCAGTCCTAGAAGGTATTCTTTCATTTGCAATGATGATATCCTTCTTATTTTCCTTGTGAGAAGGAAACCATTAAGATGGAGAGAATGTATTTTTGGGTTAAGGTCTTCTTAACCATGTGGTGGGGAAAAAAAAAATTACCTTTCAGAAGAAAAAAACTTTTTCCTGTATGATTATTGGAGTATTTTTTTTTCCACATTTTTTCATCTTCTGATTTATTATTGGAAAAGCATTTATGAACTATGAGATCAACATTTAGTCATTATGCTATTTCAAGCTGCTGATATAGATTGCTAATGCTTAGTCGGGAAAAATCATTTCTACCTGCGTTGCACCTGTTAATGTAAGTGATGTAATTGGACGTTCATATTGGGGCTGTAGACATGGACGCTCACAACACACTTGGACGTTCATATGGTTGTTTGGGCCTTTTTAGCATTTGAACCAGAGAAGTATTATTTGGTCCCATCATGTAAACTGTGTAGTTTGCTGTAAGCTTTTATTCATGGCAGCAGCTGAGATCACTTGTTTTTTTCCAAGTCCTTCTGGCCATTGTTGCTATTGTTATTTTCTTGGCTTCTTGTCGGCTTTTTTACTTGCTTGTTATCATTATAGTTATCTTTTTTCACTTGAATTCCTTCCTGCTTGTGATAATCATGTGAAATGGTGGTTTCCTTTTGCAGGCCTTTGAGAGGAAGAAGCAGTAGCAACAGCAGTAGCAGTAGTTCGCCACTGCCATCTCGTAAGCCATGAGTTATGGAAGAGGGCGTTGCAGCCACTTTGTGATATCATCATTGTTCCAACTTTTTTTGCTCGACATGTGTGGCTGTGATGTTATTGGAGTTGAGAATTCTATTATTAGGGTAGTTTCAGATAGCTGGTGGAGGCTGTATCATGTGTTTCTGTGGTTAATTTTCTGATAATTTCTGGAGAAACAATCTAGTGAGACTGACTGAATTTATTCCCCAATTGTGGTTCAAGTATGTATGTCCCTTTATGATTTTTCTGGGTCCAGTGTGCTAGTTTAGAACGGTAATGTTCACTCTTTTGTTAGAGAATTGGTGCTGCTTTTGTTGAAATAAAGCTAAAATCTTAGCTTGGGATGTGGTGATGATTTATGAGAAGGGATAGCAAAATGAAAATCTACTTATTCACTTGTTGCAAGTAAGGTAAAAAAATGTATGTGTATAAAAAATGCTTTACATATTGCACGACCAAATGTCATGCCGAAAATTTTGAACTTTTAAAAATTTTATATTCCAAGTTTTGGCATTTGGAAGCGCCAAACTTGTTGGAGTACTAATAAGAGGATTGTAAGTGTCAAAAAAAATAAATAATAAATAAAGAAGTACTAACAAGAGGTTAAGGGCCTGTTCGGAATGTGTTCTGATATTGTTATTTTGATATCGGCCGGCTAATATTGTTTTGAAATAGTAAATAGTTTATAATATATCAGATTTTTTAGTCCAAATTGGTGATATTGTGTGTTTTGGTACCATAACGAGGAGTTAGAGCAAAATTTTGAATTTCACAAAATAATCAAATATGGTTTTGATTTTTACTCAAATGTTTTAGTAGCGTCAAACATATAGCATGCATCTAACCCGAAATCTCAAACATATAGCGTGCATCTAACCCGAAATCAGGAAGTGGAGTTTGTTTTGTACTTGTTTTGTGATGTTTAGGAAGTGGAGTTTGTTTTGTACTTGTTTTGTGATGTTAAAAAAAATAAAGTTTATTCTTAAGAAAGAATGTAAGGACAAAACTTCTGCCAAGTTGACATATTACACACTGCACTCTATTCATATGGGAGGTGAACCATGGATGCTTTAAAATGTATAAAAGTGTTTAGCTGTTTTTAAATTTTTTATTTTGGGTTTTTATTTTGGGGAAAAAATGTGAATAATTTAGTAACTGTAAGACTTAAGAGAGGTCTTAGCTCGAGAAGAAATAGTAAATCAATTAAAGTACTAAGAAGGGTAAATTCATAATTCTAAAATCTGCTTCAAAAAAACAGTCATTTTTTTTGGGCAAAATGTATAAAATATTATTTTTTACCAAATTGAGTTTACCTATATATATATATATATATATTAATATTTTGGATTAGTGACCATTGTTGCAAATGAAACCAGTGAGTTTTAATTTGATCAAGCTTAACTTGTTTGTAAGTTAAGTTTGGAATCCTAAAAAAAAATGTCAATATTGATATCATATTTATAATTTAAATTGTTCATGAACTTATACAATCCTAAATAAGTCTATATTCATGAACATATACGAGCATTACATAAGTTAGGATTGTCCCATTTACTAAACGAATTTGATCGATATATATATATATGTATATATATATATTTTTACTTATTTATTTAATAAACAATCTCGAACCAAGCCTATCCTATATTCAAGAACAATTCGATTTATTTTCAACCCTCGAGAGTGGAATTGAGAATTTGGCAAGTAATGTTGGGGTGGATATATAAGCATTACATAAGTTAGGATCATCCCATTTACTAAATGAATTTGATCTATATATATATATGTGTGTGTATTTTATTTATTTATTTATTTAATAAACAATCTCGAATCAAGTCTATCCCTAAATTCAAGAATAATTCGATTTATTTTCAACCATCTGGAGTGGAATGAGAATTTGGCAAATAATGTTGGGGTGGATTTAAAATTATGAAATTGTGAGACTTTTTAAGAAAACAGCAAGACAGTAGAGGGTACAGAAAGAGAAGAACTGATGAATAAAAAAAAACGAGCGTTAAGTTGCTCCCTATTTTCGCTTTGAAGCATCGTCTCTTCTACCAAATCACGTCTTTCTCTTTCTCTCTCTAGATTTTGTTTTCAAAACTTCGCAGACATTTGAAGTTCTTTTACAAACCCTAATTCGTCTATTTGAACTCCTCGTGTTCGAGCGACCAATTCATTTAGAAATAGGATATCAGTTAGGTTCTCTTGCAGATTAACAATACTAAAGGTCAGTCACACTTTCTCTCCCACTCTCTGTGTGTGTGCATATATACGCTCATATATGTGCACAAATACGAATGTTTGTGTGAATTTAAATATGAAAATATTTGTGTGCAAATGTGAATGTGCGTAGTGTTTCTTATTCGGGTTCTTTTGGGTGATCAAAGCAATGCTGTAATTTCTTGTATTTATATGTCCTTTCAATTCTTCAAAATTTGGAGTGAATATCGATTATTGATTACTTTTTTATGCATAAATGTTAGCTAGAGAATTAGTAAATAGAAAATTTGTTCAATATGTGAAATTCTGAATGTGGAAGATGTTGGAGTGGTATGGCTTAGCTCCCTAAACCTCAATCAGCTGCCTTATACACACACACACACACACACACACACACACATATCGAAAGTTCAAACAAATACACACACCCACTATATATTTTTGCCCCCAGCTGGAGCTCTCGAACACTCAACCTCCCCAAAAGGGGAAGAGAGCTTATACCATATAGGCTGCCTTGTATTATTTGTGAACAATGACGAATTATTGAATTGATATAGCTTTTTCAAAAATTCTTAAATTGATCATAAGAATGTCATTTTTCGATGAATTATTGATTTTTGGAACAATTAATTTTCCTAGTGGCAAAATAAACTCTCACGCTATATTAATTTTGCTCTGATTATTATTACTCTTATCTGCGTTTCTTTTTGTACTCAACCACGAATTACTTGTATATATATATATTTTTTTTAAGTGAAGTGCAATTGTTTTCTCACGTAAGAGTAACTAATGCTGCTGGTATATTTTACCTGTGATTAATGGATTTTTCTATCAAAGCAACCAATAAAGTTAATGCCTTTCATATATTCTACTCTTAATGCAGTTGTCTTATTGCAAGGGTTCCATGGCAGGCAATGGCCTGCCATCTTTGGGTCGTGTGAAGCTCACTGATCTAATAGCCTCTGAAGGCCTTCCTTCTGATTCGTACAAACTATCAGTATCAACTTTGTCACAATCACTGGTTCAATATTCGGCTGCCATCATTCAACTACCTGTGGGAGATGGGGCTCTTTTGAGATCTTGTTTGGAATCTGCTCGTCTCTACTTCCATCAAAGGCCATCGTATCCATCGGCAGATATGATTCATACCAATGACTCCCGTGAGTGGTGCAAGACCTCTGGTTACTATGCAGATCCTCATCTGTGGCAAGAAACGTATGATTTTCGACCAGGTCTGACCCTCACAGAGGCCAACAACGAAATGGAGTTCCCTCCGGCTGGTCTGGTGGACGTATTTGCGCTACTTGGAAAAGCAGCGCGGGATATACTGGATGCGGTCAGCTTCTATTTGAATTTGCGCAGTTCTCCATTTACTGAAATACTTGATAATGTTCCCCTGAGAAATCGAGAAGTTTCATCCTCGGTACTCTCCATTTGTTGCAATGGAAGGCCATCATTTCAGGGAGCTCAACACCACAATTTGACATCCCAAGAGGATGGTCAGTTGGTCATGTTTTCTGACCATGAGCATCAGTTTGATAAAAGCCTGATATCTCTTGTTAAGTCAGATAAGGCAGGTTTACATGTAAGAGACTCTCATGGTCGGTGGGTTCTTGTGGATGGAGATCTTGGCCCCCAAGAAGCCATTGTTTATCCTGGACTTGCTCTCTACCAAGCAACGGCAGGCTATGTCAGCCCTGCAGTGCACCGAACGGAGATTGGTAATCTGCAGAATAACATCTATGGACGTTGTTCTCTGGCTTTCAAGCTCATGCCTAGATCCATGACCAGTCTTAATTGTGCAGAGATGAGAGCAGCTGGTCATGGGGTTGAAGCTCAGTTCCAGCTTCCTGTACCAGTGGATGACTTCATGCAGAGACCCCACTCTACTGATCAACTTTTTAACAGGCACAATTTTCCAAGTTCCAATTATCCTGCAGCCCAAGATGGTAGGGAGCATTCCGATAATTTGCTTCTTTTGGTTGCTTGATTATTAGAGATTTCACTACATTTTCCAGCATATTCATTATAAAACTATTAAAACAACTGCTAAAACTTAATACTTTTTTAGTATTATGCATAATTTTATTTAGGTCAATTAAGGACATTTATCTGAATGGAAAAGGCTTTGCTGTTTATAAAATACGAGTGATTTTTGCTCCTTCTCCAACAAAAAGGAAAAGAAAAAAACAAAAAAACAAACAAAAATTAGCGGGTTGTTCTAGGCTCTAAAAAATTTCAAGACCACAATGTGTGCATGTTTGGTTCTTTTTCTGGCATCTATCCTTCTTGTTTGCCTTCGTGATTTGTATTTGCAATTTACGTGGTAATATATAATCAATTCTCATTTTCTATATTGTTATCACCTCACTTATTATAACTGGGTAAGCATGATCTAAGACTAGATTCCCTTTGTTTCATCTGATAATACAATGAAAAGTCAATGAACAAAAGTTACAACTTTCCTAAATTATCCTTAGATTTTGATAATTCATTCAAATCAACAAAGTAAAAATACTTTATTCAGGAAAAAAAGTCTTTGTACTTTGAAGGGTTAGTTTTAGAATTTCATAGGGAGACTTGCATTAATGCATGTCTTCTTAAAAAGTTCGGATCATGAAAAGGACATCAAATTTGAAATGGTGGTAGAGTTTATTTTAATTTTTGTAGGGTTGAGACTTCTAACTTTCTATGTGGTAAAATAGCTTATCATATCATCATTTTTAAAGGCCCTGTGAGGCCTTATCTCTTGAGGCTCACTTTTAGACAAGGCTTCAGAGAAATGCTCTGAAGTGCACACTTAATGATTTAGCAAATTGATATCAGTCATTTCTTTGTCAAACAATTCCTTTTTTTTTATTTATTTATTTTTTATCTCAGCTATAGAGAAATGATGATTTATGACCCCTTTTTTAAACTGCCTTGTGCTAGGTACATCCTTGATAAATGTTTTTGGTATTTGGCAGGCTCTGTACCATGCTATCATGAACTTGAAATTTCACTTATCAGGGATTATTTGTTTCAACATCATTGGTGTCCTAGTTCTTTTGCTTTAAGTCTGTGAAAATGACCAAGGCCTGTGGCCCAATCGTATTTCCTCTCCTTTCAACTTGAAAGGTAGAGGGTTTGAGTCTCCTCAAGTGCATTGTGGGAATTAATTGTCAGGACGGACACAAAAAAAAAAAAAAAAAAAAAAAAAAAAATTCCCAGTGAAAATGGTTAACCTTACTTGTAAATGGAAGAATATAATATACATATAGATGCATGATCTAAATGACATTAATTTACTAAAATTTAAATAATTGTGATGATTCTTAATTATTAGGATCCTAGACCATCATGAAGTTAGACTCTTATTGAATTGCTTTAAAACAGAAACCTATGTTGAAAATAGATGCAAAACAAATTGGAACATACTGGGCATTATGATTTATATATATATATTTGTCTATTCATTAAATGAAATAAAGAAAAGGAAAAAAAAAAAAAAAGGATATCACAAGTGAAAAAGCGATCAATTTTTTGCTCTTTTGATTGAAAGGCGAGGGAAAGGGAAGGGATTATTATTATTTTTTAAATGGTGGGGTGTCTGTGATACTATGCCATATCATGTTGTAACCAAGAGAGTTATCATCATAATACATTGTTACTGTACCACTAGTTGCACAATCTTGATGTTGGAGTGTCATTAATTCTTTTCTTAGTAAGAAGTTTATAACAGCAGGTCCTTGGATCGATGAAATGCTGGTACAGGATCCATGAAACCAATGAGGAGGAGGAAGAATAATTCAAGATGCAGACCACTTCCACCTTCCAAGAGATTGAGACTTGAGGCACAGAGAGTTCTGAAGGAGAGGGTTCAAGACATTGCTGATAAGAAGGGCATTAAGCTGAGGTTCTGCGCTCTGAGGGAGTGTGAAAGTCACATCCACACACTTGATAGCCCATGTGCCAATACAAGAATGGAGATTGGGTGGCCACCAGGAGTGCCATTTGTTCATCCCCATGATCTACCTAACAAGGCAAAGATCGGATTTCTTGAAACTTATGAACCTGGTTGGATGGCCACTCATGATATGGAGTTAAGTCTCATCGAATCTGGACAGTCAAGTCAACACTCGGCTAACTGTAACTGTAACTCTCTTGTGCAATTCTGATATCTGCTGCATATGCATGCTTATATTTCGGATTGCTCTAGTTTTCTTAACTTTGCACACACACATGCTTGTATCATTAGCAAAAGGCTTGTTACCTTTTAGTGTTGAACTATAATCCTTGTTTTGCCAATCAACTGATTTATATTTACTCTTTATAAGCAGCATGCTTGTACCATGTCCTTAAAAGTAGGAAATATCTTTTGTTTAAATTATATATGAAAATTGGAAGTTTGACGTGGCATTTCTAGGACGAGAATGTAAACCAAATTCACACTCCTGGAATATGAAGACCTGACTGATATTAACTGGTCAAACATATAAAAGTTTTGCAATAGTAAAATTATATAGTGCTCTTTCTGACATTTATGAAGTATATATTTTATCGGTTTCCTATGTATCAATGGGCATAATAATACGTGATTTGCTTTCCTTTGTGTTTGTGCCTTTACAAACATATAATCCATAAGAACGTACGTTTTGGATGAGGGTTATGCTTATACAGTAACACCTTTTGCCTTCCAGTTTATCGAAATTTAGACCAAAGAATTGTCTGGTTCATTTTGAATAGCTAAAGGTTTGTGTCTTTGTTGATACATGTTCCTCCTCATCACAACAAATGGTCCTTGTTGAGGTTCATGTTAAAGATTTTCAGTTTTCCCTGCACAGTGGTCAACTATTTCATCTAGGATATTTCTGGATCTGTTGTAAAGTTGAATATGCTTGAGTAGGCTGAACGGGGGCCTTTGTTGGGACAACATTGTCAAGATTTCACCCACCGAATAGGCTGGCCCTCTTTAAATAGCTAAGAATTATTTAATTTGTTGGTACATGTTTTCCCTCACCCTCCTTGAGGTTCATGTTATTGGTGTTTATTCCTGCATAGGTGGTAATCTATATTACTTTTTTTAGATATTTAGTAGCTCTCTAAGTTGGTAGCAACATTTATTGTGCTTGAGCAGGCTGAATGGTGGGAATAGTTGGGACAACTTTATGTTGAGAATTATATTCTTGTGCACATGATATTATATATTTTACTCTCTGATCAAGAGTTTGGTGCTTATGCGAAGCTTTCATTGTAAAGAGAAGATGCCCTTCGATGGAGAATGCCCCAACTTATACAGTCTCCAAGTTTATTTTGTAGGTATTTGTAATTTCAACATTTATCAAACAAACCGATGTGCCAGGCAAGCATAGAAACATGAGAGAGATTTTGTTTTTTACTTTAATTTTCATAATTTCAAAGTTTTGGGGTTTCTTTAATTTAGGGTTTGTCTTTTCTGATTTTTTAGCTGAGAGTTTACCTATATATATGGTTTGATATCGAGAATTTGAGATTGAATGTTTTGGTTGATTGAGAATAATAGAAGTTTGATTTGTCCTAATTTCTTATCTCATCCTTTACCTTCTTATCTTCTCTGCCCTCGTGCAACACTGGTATCAGAGCAGACTCTCAGCCTGCTTCCAATCACACTGTTCTTTTCTCCCTTCTCTTCTTCTCTGCCCTCTTGCATCATATCTCCTTGCAGCATTTGTTATTTTATTTTTATTATTTATTTATTTATTTATTTATTTTTGTCATTTCCATATGTTATCTTCTTTCCTTGGCTTTGGATGCTCTTAACAGAATTTACATCTATTGGCTTGTCTTTGCAGGAATGACTCTGTAATTTTTTGATATGTGGTCACTCTTGTGCAAAATGCAACTAGTTTGTGGTTGGAGTCACATTACCATAGTTTTGACGTGTGGCCTCTCCAGACTTGAATGTGGCTACTTTGCCGGAGTTTCATATATCTGCATCCAAGAATGTGTATTGGCCCCATAGTGTGCAATTTCCGCTCAAAATGATGGAGAACAAAAAAAGATGTTATCCGTTACCAAGGAATATATCGCCTGTAAATAGGTAATTTTATGAGGAAGAAAGAAAAGGCCATGGATGTTTTTCTCGTTCTCCTTTTCTATTTAGACTTGGATGCTGTTCAGAACCACCAGGACTGATTTATTTTATGGCAGCTTTACATACTCTATGAGGTAGTGTGTACTTGGAAGAGGGCGTCAGATGGGAATTTCTGGACTTGAAGGGTAGACGGAAACTTTCACCTCCTCCATGACAGCCAAGATCAGCTCGAGTGTTTGATGCAAAAAGCATCCACCTTGACTATCCAAAAGTTTTTTGTGGAAAGAGAAGGTGTCATAGGTGGATGTAACAAAGCAAACACAGTTGTTAGTTGTATTAATACTTGTATTTCTTCTTCTTCTTCTTCATTTTGTAGCAGAAAATGAAAACTAGCTAATAACTAGACTCACTCTTCTATAAATTATGCTGTTTCTGATGGTTAAGAGATTTTGTTCCATGGTGGTGGTTTTTGAATCAGAGTTGAGAATATCTTGGTCGCATTTATCTTCTATTACTCTTTGCAGGGTTCATTGTCTTTTTAATTAATTATTGTTTACTGATTATTTACTTTTGACACCAAGCTGTTGAATCCTGAACTTGGTGAGTGATAATATATATATATATATATATTCGGGCAAATAGGTGAGTGATATATCTTGAATTTATTAATTGTTTGCTGATTTACTTGGTTGTTTTGCATTATTTATTGTTCAAATCTACTCACTTCATACTTACGAGTATTATTCAGGCCACGGAGGAGGAGGAAAGTACTATGCATTGTCGAATAGATTCTCTCTCATGTGATGCTCTTTGATTTGATACTTATTGTTGAAATATGATTTTGATTTTGATTTTTATTAAAAATATTTGATTTTGACAATTCGAATTTTAAGGAAAAATTAATTCCAATTAGATTTTAACAATTAGTTGACTTTTTATTGGTGGTTTTAGAACTGCAAATCACCTATTGAGTGACATAATTATTTATTTGCGGGCTCTCAATAACAGAGTGTTAGAAAAGCACATATGGGTGTGAATTTGAGACTTTAAATGCCTAGCTTGAAGAAACCAAAACTATAATAAATAAATTGATTCAACAAATAAATGAATTAGCCAATCTCATTCAATAATTGATTTCAATAATACAATTCTGGAGAAAACGAGGACGAAAGTGCAATGAGCTAGATCTAAAAACAGGCACGAGATGGACCATTATTAATTACTTTTACTTGGATACAAATGAAAATTTGTAATTGAAGGACCAAAATCTATATATCTTGTGCACGGTCTGGATCAGCAGCATGCATCGAAGACAAAGCAGCAACACAAATCAGCAACGCTGCAGAAGTGGCAACAAAGATGAATTCGTTAGGGTCAAGAATTCCCGGGTTAGGACTATCGACTAGACTATTAAGTTTGAATAACATTGTCGTACATATATATATAGAGATGTGTGTGAGGCTTACCTTCTTTTGTGGTAATTAGTTATATCACCCCTACTTTTAGTTTTCAGAGGAGGGTGGACTTGGGGGTACCCATGACCTTCTTTTGTGGGATAACCAATTGGTGGTGGTGCAACCACAACATGGGTACCCGGCGGTGTAGGGTATGCACTCGAAGGTGGAGGATATGCAACTGCATGTACATATAACTAACAACATTATATGTCACATGTATGTATTTAAATCAATATATATATATATATATATATATATATATATATATATATGTATATATTAATATCATGCACACCAAAAAAAATGTTTCCCTAACATATCTCTCGCCACTCACATCATCATAATTAGTGACGCTCTCAAGTAAAAAAATGAATAATTAGCGTGACATTAATTACCAGGAATTTGGTGTTCATCGTAGTGGCTCATGACTGTGACTAAGAGAGATGAAATTAATGGAGATTGAGGGATTCTTTGGGATTCTGGTGGAGGGTATTGTGTATATATATATATATATATATGCGTGGAAGTGTAGTGGTAATTAGTTAGTAATTAACGTAGTATTGGAATTAACTGCACCGACGAGGTTTACGAGGCCGGCCACATAAATAGAGCCGAACGAGTTTGCTTTTTGTGCTCGTTTCCATGTCTATTGAGCCGGCCGGTTACGCCTCTGGCCGTTATGCATGCCGGCGATCAATTATATATATATATATGTGTGTATATATATCTTCTATAAATTATACATAGAGAGAGCAATGCTATACAAAAGTAAATTATGTAACTCAACAATGACCTTGAGTGCCTTCAGTACTGTGCAACCGGCAGTAATTAAAGCATGTTTTTAAGCTTGTTAATAAAAACAATTTTTTTTTTTTTTTGGGTAAGTATAAAATGTTCATGAAACCAACTTTCCAAGATAAAAAGGAAAAAAAACTTGTGAAAGAGATAAAGTTTAGGACAAATTAATTTACAAATTCGAGACTTTGATGAAATATTGTATCATATTACACCCAGCAAAGATATGAGATACCGTTAAATGTGTGAATATATATGCATATATATAGTAAGATGTAATACGGAGTATTATATAATTACATGCAAATATATATATATATATATATAAGGGACATTTTGTTTATATATTTAGTGTAATATAGTAAACTTAACGGCAACATTTTAAGATAGGTGTACCTAAAGTTTCAGTGTCCTGACTCCTGACTATACAAGCAAGGTATAATGTTCTGACACTTAATAATTTTTCTCATGGTAAAAAATTAGTTGGCAACCTAACATTAAAAGGTTACGAACAACATAAATATTATTATTATTATTATTATTTGTTCTAAGAAGTACTTTTCAAAATTAATTACTACTATTAAGACCCAACATCACATTAAGTTCCGACAAGTAATTCTACCATGAAAGACTTCCATACATTTTTAATATATCATTATATATGTCATTAATCGATTATATCGTGTCACATAAGTTAAAGTACTTTATTTTAGTAGATCCTATCACTCTATATCAGTATTATATGAGTCAACACTTGACTCCCTAACATAATAAAGAAGTGCCCTACCATTGAGTCACCAATTCACGTCGGACAAAAAAAAAAAACTCTAAAGTGAAAGGAAATATTAATAGGAAGTGTTCTTTTATTTGTTTCTTTTTATTTTTGAAAGATGTATTTATTTTTATTTGGGGCTATGCTTTTTGGGAACCCCATTCATCATCAACACCTCAATCAATCTTTGAATCTATCAGGCTCACACTTCTTTCTTGGAGAGAGAGAGAGAGAGAGAGATTCTTTTTCCCAATGGGAGTAAAGAGTGAAAATCACATAAAGAATACAATATCATATCAAATTTCAAAAATTGAATAGAAAGTGAAAAAGATTAAATATATATATATATATATATATATATATATTTTCCGCAAGTCATTAACCTAAAAGGGGAAACACAAACACACATATGTCAACTATTTAATTAAACAAGTTTGATTCATCATGACAACATATGTCTTGAACAAACCACAAGTCCTCCAAATTAGTTGCCTGAATTAAAATTAATCCAAATGCAATAAGTGTGTTGTGACCCATTAAATATTACCCCTCTTTTTTACTTTTTACTTTTGTGGTGTTCACATTTCGTTTGTGGTTAATTAATTAAAGTATCAATAATAGAGTTTAATAAGATGGCCAACCATGAAAGCATGCTCATTGGCGAATCCATCCACTCATTCTCATCTCTAGAATACAAAGGAAGGATCGGAGCAAAATGCACGTCACTTTCACGTTTTAGTGCCTCCTTCTCACTCTGTGTGTGTATATATATATATATAAGCATATCCACGGAGTATATTTTATACTTTTGTTCATTTCTTTCCTTGCTTCTCCATCACTTGGTCCCAAACCAAAACAAGCAAATAGAAAACCACGCATATACTTATAGAGAGGAAAAAGAGAGATCGAGCTAACTTTCATGGCTGTTGAAGCTCGGCATCTAAATCTCTTTCCTCCCCAATTCATACGAAACAGGTAATCTCATCTTCTCTCTCTGAGCCTCTCTCTCTAGATGTTTCTCTCTACCTATTTTCTCTCTCTAAAATCGAAACTAACGAAAGAGTTTGAATAAATCACAGGGAAATTATGAGCGCCATTGAAGGCCGCGCGAACATCTACAGCTACTGCGCGACTCCGATCGGAAACGCAGTGCCCGATCCATTATCAGGAACATCCACGACGGAGACTCTGCAGCTTCCTATGTACACCTCTGCCATTGCCAAGACTGCCGATAGCGGTCTCACGGCCTACACTACTACTCTTCCGGTTTCGAGAAAGCGTTCGAGAGATTCAACCAATCCATTCATGATCTCCTTTCCCGACGGTCAGAATCAAAACAATGATCACAACAACCACTCCGTCTCTCACACTTTCGTCGGCGAGGATATTTCGTTACAGATCCAACACCAGCAACTAGAGATCGATCATCTCCTCACTCAACATGTGTGTACAATATTTGTGAATTGTGTGTTTGATTAATTAAATTGAATATGAATGTGTAATGTGTGTGTATATATATGCAGACGGAGAAATTGAGAATGGAGATTGAAGAGCGGGGAAAGAGGAATTTGAGGAGGATTATGGCGGCATTGGAGGAAGGGATGGGGAAGAGATTGAGAGCGAAGGAGGAAGAGATAGAGAAGATGGGGAAGTTGAATTGGGCGCTTGAAGAGAGCGTGAAGTCGCTGTACATGGAAAACCAGATGTGGAGAGACTTGGCTCACTCCAACGAAGCCACCGCCAATTCTTTGAGGACGAACCTCGAGCATGTGCTGCGCTACCAAAACCACCACCTCGGCGGCGCAGGTCTGGACGAGTCGGCCGCTCCGACGGACTATGCTCAGTCGTGCTGCGGCAGCAACTACAATGGCGGCGGCGGCGGTGGTGATGAGGAGGAGGAGGATGGGCGTACGTTAGCAGGTAGTGGATGTGATGGTGGTATGGTGGACAGGAAGAGATGGTGCAGGAAGTGCGGGAAGGAAGAGTCGTGCGTGTTGGTGTTGCCATGCAGGCACCTGTGTCTGTGCACTGTTTGTGGGTCGTCGGTCCAAACTTGCCCCATTTGTAATTCCAACAATAACGCCACTGTGCACGTTAACATGTCTCCCTCTTGACAGATTGATGAGAAACATTTTGGAAAAAAAAAAAAAAAAATAGTGTATGCCCTGCCAACAATGTAGTGTTGGTAATTTTTTTTTTTTTGGTTCAATGAACACTTATTATTGTTTTAGAGTAAGTTTCACTTACCTTGCATGAAATTTGTTAATATGTTAATATTTTACATAGATTTCTTTGTGATTTCATAGTTTCATTTACCGCCTTTGAGATTGTGGTTTATATAATTGATTTTTCACCGCCTATTAGGGCACTTTACAAAGAGACGGAGACAAACAAAATATATTAATGTTTGTAACAGAAAATGAATAGAAGGTTGTTTTTGATATTTTAATACTTGAAATGATAACAAACATTTTATGAGCAAAAAAATATGTATATAAAAAACCCACATTACAGTCGTCAAGTTAGACACCCATTGCTGATAAGGGAGGTAAATGAGATTATGAAAAAAAGAAAAAGAAAAAAAGAGAGATTTATGTGAGATATTGATAAAAATGAGGGAAATCACACATTATTAGATGAAAGGATTATATGGTATTTTTCTGAATAGGATCGTGAGTGATGGATGTACTAGGGTTAAAAGGTGTGAAATCAATAGAAAGCTGAAAGTGACCCGTGAAGGGTAAAAGCTAACACGTTTAAGCAAAAATGGTCTGAATGAATCTATTTCATAATTGTAGTGATCGTTTCTCCTGTGTTGAGTAAAGGCTAATACGTTTAGGCGAAATGGCCTAAACCGGTGTGTATCATGGCTTTCTAGTGTGATTTTCCAACTCGATCAGTATATGAGTGAGTCTTGGAAACGGTGCTACGATTTATAGTTGCAAATCATGATCTCAATGTATTTGGTGAATCTTAAATTTCAAGCATGATTTATACACTTTACGTATGCATGTGGAGAGGCCGTGTTCTTCTTTTAAAGTCGTGAACTTGAACAATTTTAACACTGCAATGAGACTCGTCCTCACTCATATGTTATATGGACTCTTTAAAAGGAATAAGATTTTTCTCCCAATAACAAATGTGGTAATGAGAAATTAGACTATACATTTAGTATGACATATCACCTATATAATTCACTTTTTTATATATATAATTATATCAAAAGAAGCACTAAGTTACATAAAGTTATTAATCTAAAAAGTAAAATAAAAATATTAAATAATATTAATATTTAATCATATTTATATATCATTTTATTTTAAAAAATGACAAATTAGATACGTGGATTGCACAATCCTACCTACTAAACACATAGTACCTGAGTTCACGTGATACCACCATTAATCAAAAGTGTTTTTTTTTTTTTTTTTTTTTAGGTAAAAGTTACTAGGAATGGCAACGGGGCGGGTTTGGAGCGGGTTTTTCTAAATCCCGCCCCGCCCCTTTTAATTTTTGTCAAGTCCATGTCCGTCCCGAGACCCGCGACTGGTTGAATTTTTATGTCCAATCCCGTCCCGTTGGGAAATACTGTGCCTGCCCCGTTAACAAATTTTTTTCTCCCACTTTTTAGAACTTAAGCTCCTGCTATTTAAATGTGGAAAGTCTGAGAATGACACAACATAAATGAAATTATGTATCCCAATAAAAATAAAAAAATAACATGCACATAACATAATTTAGATAACATAATAAATAAAAATAAAAATTTAATACAACCAAATCACAAGAAGTTCTAAGCTCTAACTTCCACCATAACCAAAACAAAAATAAATTTAATACCAAGTTTACATCCCAAATTAGGATTCTAAAAGAGGAATAACTGGGTAAGTCGCAAAAATAAGTTATATATATATATATATATATATATATTAAATATAGTTATATGCTTCGCGGGGTGGGGCAGGACCCCTAGGATATGTATACTGAACCCTTACCCGCCCTTTGATTCGCGACGGGTACAAAATTTGTATTTATGCCCGCCCCAACGGAATAAAAAGTATTCCCATATCCTTTATTAAAGGGGCGGAACGGGACGGGGTGGTAAAAATTGACATCCCTAATTAAAACCATTAATCAGTGTTGGGCTCAAATTGAATACAGATATGATTTTTAATTGTGATTACTAAATTAGCCCCATTTCAAACGTATATTGCTAATGGAAATGTTAACAATTGCATAATTGTCCGACCAGTAATTCTTAAAAGCACATCTACATCTGAGACCAAACCTGGGCCCACCGCAACAAGTACAAAAGGCCAATTTTAGCATTTAATGAGGAGGTAACTCCAACAAAAGACAGCATAGATATAATTGAGATTTGTTTTAAAGATAGTGGACCCCAAATCTCAGGGCCATCTGTCCCTTTCTGACCGGCATAGCCTCCAAAACACGTGAATCTGATTCGACTTTCACTATCTTACTTTATTATTATTATAATTATTTTCTCAATTACCATAATTAATTATAACACACAGTAAAATAGGACATGTTCCTCCTTTTTATTATTATTATTATTTTTTTTATTCAAATGTTAGGAGTCAGAATTGGTTTCGAATACGAATTTCGAAAAGAAGTAACTTAACCACTCGATGAAGGTAATACTTGGCATAAAAACATATTTTCATTAAACAAACCGTTTTTTTGCCGGAAAATTTAATTTTAGAGAACAAGTAAACTTTTTTTACCTAAAAATAAAAAACTTCACTCCTTTTGGTTTTTGGTTCACTCACTCTATTTTCATTTTTATTTTTATTTTTAAAATTTTTTAATATAAAATCACAGGCATTTGTCACATTAAAGAGCTTAATCCTCAACTTCTACAATTTCATAAAAATTAGGTTAATTTTCATTTCATAATTTATATGATTTGTAATAATAGTCACGTCATATATTACGTCACATGTGCTCCACGTGCATTCACGGACGGCAATACATTCAATTAAATTACATATTTTTTAATAAAATTATTTACTAATTTGATCTAACAAGTCAATTTATAAAATCTCAAATAATCTTATCTATTGGTTGCTCAGAGTCATCCCAAACTGGATAAATTCGAATATATTGGCAGTTAGGTTAACAATGAAATCACAAGGTCTTCATCACATTATGTCAAATCCCAACCTCTAATTATTGAGGATGAATAATAATAAAGAAATTAATAGATAAAGACAAAAATCAATGACTTGCCATGGCCAACAACATTTCTTGTTCATAAGCTATGTTTGGTTTATTAAGAAGGCTAATGTCGACAATGAGAGTGTTCTTGTTGAGCTCGCGCTAATTATTTATTTATTTTGGATAAATTGCAAAAAAAATTCTCTTTTGTCTCTCTAAAATTTGCAATTAAAGACACGTTACAAAAAACTATTTTATTTAACTACTATTTTCTAAAATGGATAACTTATTATTAAACTTTTACTATTTATAATAAAACTTATTATACTCAATTTAAATTTTTTTTACCATAAATAAATACATTTTTTTAATACAATATATTCATGAAAAATTAATAAATTACTTAAATAAAACATACCTTATTTTTCATGCAATATATTCATGAAAATTTAAGAAATTAGTAAAATTGTATTAAAATTTTCTACTAAAGGTTTTTATTTAAAAAAATTAAAGGTAAATTTATGTAAATTTAATGGATAAAATGTCATCAAATTAACATGATTTTTTTTCATAATTTATTTCAATAAGAAAAATAGATTAAGTGTAATTTAATAATAAGGAGCATTATGGTCATTTATTGAAAGATAGTCTAAGCATTGGGATATTTTGTAACAAAATGTAATAGTTCATAGGGTTTATTGTACTTCACCCTGTAGTTTCTAAAAAGTTCAAGTAATCACACACATCATTGTGCTTTTTTAAATATTCGAACCTTCACCATCCACTTTGAAAAATACAAAAAGTACAGGTCGATCACGAGACCCTTGATATGCAATCACACACTTATATATATATATATATATATATATATATATATTTGTCCTCCACCTGATTAAAGGCATACATTATAGACTTAGCTATAATTAAAAAAGGAAAGGGAGGTCGGTTGGCTAATCACATCCTACCACAACCTAGTTCAAGGAATAGTTGTTGTTAGAAGAAAAATATGAATGATGTGTTTGTAATTATTTAAGCAACTCGTTTTGGAGGACACTGATTGATTAAGCATCATCTTGTGATATAGTCAAGATGGTGGTCCCCAAATCCATGTAACATTGCTTAATTTTTCAAACTTTATTATAATAATCTAATTTTAAAAATTGATATATTTGGATATAATTTGGATTGTCAAAGGGGAAATTAAGTACTAATTTTGGATTGTCATTGTGGGTCATAAACTTCAACCACCACCCACCATCTTTTTTCCTTTAAAACCTTTCATTGATATATGTATGTATGTATGTGTATATATACACACACTTAATGAATTTTTTTTAACAAAAGAGGTAACAAAAAAATAAATAAATAAAAAACTGCTGCAAAATGGTTCCTACCAGATTCCTTCCATTTGGAAATAAATGTAGTTTTTTTTTATTTAAAATTTAAAGATTTTATTTTATTTTTAAATTTTTTTATGAGAGTCGGCAAACAAGATTTAGTCAAAGTGAAGTTATCTTTTTAACATTTTGTCCTAAGTGTACATCAAACTCATTGTCATGTGCATGCCACGCATGCCGACGATGAGAGTCGACCAATGGCTATTTCTTTTTTGGAGAACATTAAAAATATATTTATAGGAAAAAAAAACAAAAAAAACTCCTGCAAAATGGTTCCTACCATCTTCCTTTAATTTGGAAATAAATGCAATTTTATTAAATTTAAAGATTTTATTTTATTTTAAAAAAAACTATTGAGAGTCGACAAACAAGATTTAGTCAAAGTGAAGTTATCATTTTTTACATTTTGTCCTAAACAAAATAACAATGATAAGTGTACATCAAATTCATTGTCACGTGCATGTCACGCATGCCGACGATGAGAGTCAACCCAATGGCTATTTCTTTTTCGGAGGACATTAAATATTTATTTATAGGAAAATAATAATAATAATAATAATAATAATAATAAAAATGTGAACGCTAAAAGCTAAGCATGTTTTAGGTCCATTGCTTGTATGTGCTGTTTTAGCTTTATTTATGTCTGATTATAAGGACTTCTCACATAAATTGTGTCCACTATGGTGATCCAATTTTAACGTGGGAGTGGGGCTGATCATGGACAGTACAAAGAACAGAATGTGAAACCAATGAAAGAGACATTTGTGGGCCCATCATGAGTACCCTCAACTTTCTCCTCTTGTGAAAGATGGGGGCCATCTCTTAAATCGTCTTAGAATTATTATTATTTTTGCTTTCTACTTTTTATGAGATGATAAAAACATTATCGTTTCAAGATAACCCCACATTTGAAAGAGAAATATATTGCAAGACCTCCAACCAGTAGATTATTAGGTTTAATTAGATGGTTGTAAAGTACCATTTCTTTGTCGGTGACATTAGATATGTAATATATAAGTATATATTGGTTTATGTTGTCCTTTAGGTCATGCACTAAGTCATATGAAATGAGAGTGAGAGCAAAAGTATGAGAGTGACAAAATTATGTTATAAATAGTGAAAATTTGAATAAAAATGTGCACAGAACATGAAAGCTGAAGTGCGCTTAGAACATGATAGCGACTCCTGTTGAGAAGAATTGTGTGACTTAATGCAACCCTTCCCGGAATCAAAGGAATAACCAGCATGTGATTCTTTCCAAATTTCACAATGACAAAAGTCTATAATTATGACATCATTAAACTCTGCAATAGCGAGAGCCTCTTTCACTATACTTAGTCTTTTTGACTATATATATATATATATATATATAATGGAATTTAAACCTTATTAAAATTCAGGGTTCAGGAGTATTGTGGCGTAAACAATGGGCACTTGGGATCATGATGGAAAATAGCTACTTTTGAGCTGGCAAAAAAACGAAAGAGACCTTAAAACAATCTTCACTCATAGAAATCATACCTTACACAATCAATATACTTTATGTGGGAATTTCAATGACCCTGTGCTGAGTCTTACTTTACATGGATAGATTTAGTGTGTAGGTGGAGTAAGGCTAAAGATAAAGACAGTATTCATTGCATGTTTGAATCCACCACTGCCCACTACTGATGAAGCATTCAAAAGAAAATTAATACTACTGTACATGAGAATCAATCCACAAGAAAAAAAAAAAAAAACTGTTATGATTACTCTCTTTCTAGGGTTGTAACAGATTGGTTCAAAGTGTAAACATCAGCTTCTCCCACTAGCACATATTCCATCTGCTAAAGACTACAATCCCATTAATGGGATTTTGGAGATTGTGGTTGCAAACCCTACTCCACCATCTAGGGTATTTTCATTCTCTCTCTCTCTCTCTCTCACACACACACACACGCACACACATCAGTGGGCACATTGTTAGAAGTGTTGTAATTGTTTGTCTACATTAGGAAGAAGTGAGAAAGCTAACCACTAAAATTATTCAGTTTTTGTTTCTTTGTGGTAAGTGGGGCAGATAAACAGAGAGGGACTACTGGGGGAGAAAAAGAGATCTAATGGGCACTCATAACAACTAATAACAGGGAATGGGTCTTCTGGATTGGACTCTAGATAGATTTAAATATTGAAAAGTGATTCTATTCTATGGCAAATAATCTTATCTCAGACTAAGATGATGGTACAATGTTTCAAATCTTTATCCTTTTCATTTCCAACTTTTTTCAAAGTTGCACGTTCAACTAGTGAAAAATTAGACAATGACAACAGAGTTGAGAATGACGTACCAAGAAAAAAACACACAAGCTATGGTAAAGCAAGCAAATTTGAGGACAAACTTCAATGATCACCAATTTGAGTGTGCATACTTGTTGAGTTGTCCACAAGCGCGTAACTGCAGGAATTTTAGACCCCAGCATCAGTGTACCATAAATTTTTTTGGTTGGAATTCAATCTTGAGTTGCATGATTATGACCTCAAAGTGGTCCTCATACAACTTTATATGAGTGAGGTATAAACTCTATAATTCATTTTTCTCTTATTGATTTGAAAACACACACACACACACACACACGCACAGTGCTTTAAATCCAATACTTGGAATTTCTAAGCAATAGTTAGTCCACTGATCAGCTAAGGAATCAATTCACACAAGAACGTTGCATCAATAGAATAACTTGAACATTCAACAAATCACAAATTGGACGGTTCATGTTAACTAATAAACGTATATGCTCACTCCATTCATACCTTCAAAGTTCAAACTGTTTGAAATTTTATTCAGGAACTTGATGCTTTACCAAACAAAGACATTGCTATGTGTCGTTATCGGCACTAAAACAAATCATTTTGTGTGGTGTGCCCAGTAAATCACGGCGGAATAGAGCAGAATACGTGCATAATCAGACTTTATCAAGGATTACACATACTTTGTCCATGTCTATTCTTTTATTCATCATTCATGAAAAATGACTTCAATCCCACTACCAAGCAAAAAGTTGGTCATGCTTGAAGGTTCCATTTAGTCCGAATGTACAATCTATTAACTATACTTTCTGGAACACATTGTCAACATATTTCCTGTAGTCCAAGTAATTTTCACCAGAAATAAAGAGCTAAAAATAATCAAAGTATTGAAAGACTTGAGAACAGAGAGATTGCAGAAGCTAAATCCAAACGGTAAAAGCCCATAAAACCTACTGCCAGGAAATGTAATAATCCACCTTTGCCATTATAATGGTTGGAAGTGCCCTAAGTTCCCATGTTTCTATATGAAAAATCTGAACTTATCAGAAGAAAAGGGCCATGTTGCTACCTTTTACCTAGTAGATATAAATATTCCAAATAATTTATGTTCATCTACTCGACTGGTAAGGAAACATAATGTTTGTTTTGAAGGGAAAAATTATATTTTCGTACCAGGGTTGTAGCCCAGTAATATATCTTCTGATTCATACGTGGACGGTCAAGGGTTCAAGTCTCATCAGAGACAAAAGGTGGATGCATGAGTTACAACTAGGGGAAAAGAAAACCATATTCTTGTGGCATTTAATACATCATTTTGTTTATTTCATTTTCTGATTATGCTATTTCACCTAAAGCAAAACTTTCATGTGCCATTGTGACTTATTTTTGTAAAAATAATCAAACACATATTACATGTATTACCAGGATATAAGAAGCACAAGTATGTATTACAAGGATATATGCTTACATTGTAAGTGTCCATGCTGCAGAAAACAGAAAGAAAAGCAATGCCCATAATGTGTCAGTGTGCCTAGCACGACAAACAATGCTGAATATCATGTATAGTACTTAGTTGTTACATGGTCTACATCAACATTTTACAATTCTCAATGAAAATTCATATAGATATTGTAGACTGACCACACACAAGTAGTTAAATTAGTGGCAATGATTGGCAAATTTTGTGCTATTAAACAAAAAAGAAAAAAAAGACCTGAAAATTCTTCAATATTATTCAGGGGGAAAAAAATTCAATGTTCATGAATGTATTTTATGTTTTAATGATATCCTCATTTTTCACTATATGAGTTGATTAGCATTGAGACCATGTGTTTGTGGATTCTAGTATTTAGTTTCTCCCTCAAGTCTCACTTAAATTAAATCCACATTCTAATTGTATGTCTCGACATTTTCTCTGTACAGATTAATTTGTTTTATAATAGTAGAATTTGGTAACACATTATAGCTTAATGTCAAAATTGAAGAGAGAAATTGAAAATGAAGCACACAAGGATACACGCACAAAGCCCAAAGGGCTACATCATCTTTATTAGTAGTCTCTCTTAAGATTGTTTACAATGATCACCTCTATTTATATGTGAAAGAACAAAGCGATAAATATGGAAAATACATTAATGGAGGATTCATAAAATCAATGCCATAAATCACTCCAATCATATTTTATCATAGACTAAAATCACTCCCACAATATTCCTAGAGCAATATTATGTGGAGTAATTTAAGTTTCCTATAATAATTATTCTCCAACACTTAAACATATTCTGGTTCACCCTTTCTGGGGTTTAAGAGAAATAAAATAGAAGATCATCCTGAATATGATTGATTCCAGGATCCAATCAGTATCGTACATGAAGAGTTCCCTCCACAGAAGAAAAGCAAAAAACTGAAGTTTCATTCACAGAAGAATATAAGACAAATGTTTGTAATAGCTCATACAATTAAAAATAAACTCACACATAAAAGATGCAAGATAACATGTGGAACTAGTATGTGAAGAGTACAATAACCAACTAAAGAAATAAAGCTTCATTCAAGCTCTCAAACAACTTCTATCTACCTTCATTGCAAATTGTTTTCGGATCATCACTACACTAGCAGTAATTATGACTTGTTACTCTTCTTTAGCAGTGGCACAACACTAAACTAATCCCCGTGTTTAAGTACACTTCAAATCATCTGTACCTCTACTTCAGGTCTTCTTAAATCCACCCTTGCTTTAGCCAAAGAGGATCCTTGTGCAAAATGTCAGAATTCAGAGATCAAATTCTTGTGCCAACACATCTTGAGCAGCAGTGAATCTTCCAACTGCCCTGGGGAAGAAAAAAAATGTAATAATTTTTCATTTTTTTTCAATAAAAATGGTATTTTCCTGCAGAGAAGAAACACCAATGTTTCTCTAGTTCCGTGGATTTTCTTTTGAAATTCATGCTTACTGTCATACACAAATATCATAATTTCACTTCAAGACTACATCTTGGGTCTAAAGCTTCTAGTTTCAGTTTCCAACACTATACATTCAGGCTTGCTATGTGCTTCTTGTAACAACAATCTCAGAACATGCCACTTCCCGCTTCCCTATTTTGAGAAAGCATGCTTCTCTCCTCAGCTTTCAATACTTACCACCCTAACAAAGAACTTGTTCTAGTGACTACAACAACTAAACTCCAACAATATAATATTGCACCTCAATAATATTTGATTATGTTGTCGTGATTTTTCTATGATAGTTACTATGAGGGCACTCTCACTGAGCTCACGCTCTCATAGCCGTTCGATGAAGAGACTGATGATGTCAACCTCTCCATCAGATGGAGCTAGAGGTGGCCCCACCCCATCCCACCCCTTTTCTTTTCTTTTCTTAATCCCTTATTTTTATGGTTACATAGAAATGGTTATTAATGGTAAGAACCCAATTTTTCTTAAAACACTTAAAATAACACGCGGCCCTTTAAAGTCCAATAAATCTTGTCTTAATTAAACATTCAAATGTAGCAAAAAATAAAAAAAGAAAAAAGAAAAAGAAGAAAAAGTATTCTTTATCCATATCAATACTCCATTCATAAATATATAAAAGGGCTAACCAAGTGCATGAGGCTCCTGCCACTGCGGGGGTCTAGGGAAGGTCAAATATATGCGGCCTTCCTTCCGGATGAGAAGAGGTTGTTTTCCGTTTCAAACCCGACCTCCAGGTCACAATGGAGCAATCTTACTGTTGCGCCAAGGCCCACACTCTCCATTCACACACAAATATAGATTTATAAATATAAATTATTTGTTATCTAGATGAATTCAAGAGAGAAGAAAAGAAATGCTTGACACTTGATAATCTCATTTATCGATTGTTAGCATGTTCTCCACTCTAATTTTTTTTTTCCTTCTCATATTAATTTTCAATATCTATTTATTTAAGTTGCATTCCACTCTTCTTTGTATATTCCTCATTTCTAGGCTAAGTCAAGAATAGAAAAAATATATTTATCTATATATATCACGAGGAAACTCTCACCAAGTTAACACCCTTATAACCATTGGATAGCAAGAACTGTTACAAGGATGCAAGCTTAGTGAGTGTATCCTTACAATACTGAGAACATAAACTTAGTGAGAACACCCTCATAGTAGACTTGCTCTTTTCTAAATTACACCATTAAATGTAAAGTTTTGCTTCTTAATGGATAAGTTTTACTATTTGAGTGCTTGGGGTTTCTGGATCACATAGATGGCCAAAACACACCACACACACACACACACACACACACACACATATGTAGAGATACACACACACACACACACACACACAAACAAACATATATATATGTAGAGAGAAAAAAGAGAGAGGGCTTACCTGCTTTATAGTGATTGCAGTGGCTGTCTTGTACTCTCCTTAAGGCTTTGGTTCAGAGAAACTTGGATGTTCCAAATATAGCTGCACACAAAGGGGTTCACTACTCATTGATTTAATAGGTGTTATTAAAGGAGGTTGTTGCCACTGCTTTGTGTCTGTTGGGATCCATAAGTCTGCATCCTTGCTTGTATTAGCTTGAGGGAGAGAGCGAAAGTAAGCTGTTATCTCCCACCTGCAATCTGTCAAGTCGATAAGAGCTTGAAGACCCAATTCCCATCTCAATACTTAAAAAAAAAAAAAAAAAGCACAGTACATTATTAAAAGATTAGAAAACACCTAAAGCATTTGATCAGGTCTTGCAAATCTAACAACCCAAATATACTTCCCAAATCAAGCAAAAACGCAAGCATTTAGCGAATGACGTTGAGTTTATCAGCTTTAACTAAGTTAAAGAGAGAGGGGAAAAAAAAAAAGGTCCATCACTGACTGAGTAATTCTCCCAATGCGGGGTGTTGGGAAGATTGGACCAGATTTTAACCAAACTTTTTGGTAGTACTTTATACAAAGTGACTGTTATGAGACTCGAACCCTGTTTTCAAGCTTTGGCAACCCGAGCTTCTACTATTGTACCAAATAATTACCCGTTTTAAGTCACTAGTATAGGGAATTCTGTTACCAAAACTCAACGAGGTGATTATATAATCAAAGTGGCTTACATTCAGCACTTACCCTGAGGTAGAGTATTTGTGAGAGGTTCTGATACTGTAAGCTTGACCAAGAACGATCGAAGAGAGAACTCCAGGTCAGCTTCTTCCACCTTTGAACCATAAGACTGGTTGACATTCAGCTTGAAAATAAATCTCTCCACTGGGATATTTTTAATGTTGAAGAAAATAACCGCAACTCTCTCCACCAGTCCCTGGTTAATAAAAAGCCAAGTTTGTTTTAGTCAATTTCAATGGTACATCAACCAGCAATGGAATGAATACGCAAGGAGCTTCCATCAACAATTTGTCAAATAGAAGAGTACAGCACCAGTTTACTCAATACCCAACTACGCATTCACCCTTCTACCTATATCTGCATATGTACGCAACAAACTTCACTTCCTTCAGCCTACAGGTGAAGTAGTAGATGTCAGCATAGGCTTCCATAATCTACCATAATCAAATAGTCACGATGTTTACTCACAACTACAATTGATTGGTTCATGGATTAACTACTCATTGTCATTGCAACATCTGTATCCCATAGAAACGGAAATGTTCCATGTTATTTCTCATTGCATTAAAGAGTACAAAATCCACTCCTTAGAGTGTAGACACTACTTAAAATGTCGCAACATCTATGCACAGCCAATATACATCATTCTCACACAACCACACATAATACATGCACACGCACACGCACACACTGCCAGACACATACATGAATACACATGAACACATACTCGTGCAAGATTAATGCGGATATGTATATGCACTTCAAATAACATGCACATAGGGTATCCAATTGCATATTTATAAAATAAAAAAAAAATCATTTTTTTGGAGCCCCATAGTGGGCATTTGTGGGTGTGTGCGAGTATTTACCTAAGCAAAAAAAAAGAAATTTAAACAAAGAAAAGAATGGAAGAAAAAACCTTCTGAATAAAAGGAAGGAGTCCAGTGACAGCAGAATTGACGTATTCTTGAAGCTGAGGGTGTCGAGCTTTCTGAACCACAACATTCATATATCGCCGCCTTTCAAATGCACCTACATCCCAACATTTGCAAACATCAAAACCCATCACGAATTTCAGTTCCACTACAACCTCAATCAATAAATGGCCTTCTTTTGATCCAACACTAGTTTTAATTTTAATTATAAGATTTGAATTCAGGACGTTGTCTACTCTGATACCATGTTACTAGTAAGTTTTTATATTTAAATTTTCTAACACACACTGATGAGTAGGCAATGGTGTTTGACATTGTGGGCATAAATTTCAAAATAAGTAAGCTATATGAAATTGGGGCATTCTTGGTCGGACAGTGATAAAAATAGGAAAAATGAAGTTGGAATTGAGTGGAGAAAATCGTACCAGGTGGATATACTCCTTTGAGAAAAACAATACAAGTGATGGCCACTTCCAGGAATTCCACCAGAATCCGAGCCGTCTCACCTGCAATTTAGAGAGAGAGAGAGAGAGTGATGAAAGATTACCCAGTTGGAATTTGGTAAAGAAAAGATGATTAGAGAAGTAAAATCGAACCTTGTGGAGATTGATTATCTTTGCGATCCATAACAATCTCTCACTTGCCTCTTTTCTGTGCCCAGGAATTTTGAAATTGCTCTCATGTGGTGAGCCGTGACCAGTCCGGTCTTATAAGTCTCAACCGTCTCAGGCACTCTTTCCCTTGTGCCTCGTTTGGATTGAGGGAATTGAAGAGAAGGAAGGAGGGAATGTCCCCTACCCAAAAATAAATAAATAAATAATAATAATAAACCCTAAAAAGTACGAGCACTTTATCGAAGGTGCCCTGGTGCTAATCGACCGGATCACGTCATTGATCTGGGTAATTTAGGTTTATATATATATATATATATATATATATATATATTTTAAGGTAAATTGCACTCACACCTCTTGAATTTTCAATTACCATCACTCAACTCAACAATCAATTATCGCACTTGTTCACATTGATACTATTGAAGCTTCAAAAGTCATACTTATCCCTAATTATTAAATTCAGTTAATTCACAACTTATCAAGCCTATTAATTGACAAAAATAACCCTCACTCACCTTAATTAAAAAAAAAACAAGGTGAATTATAGAAAAGGTCTGCAATGAGTCTTATTAAAAAAAAAATTAATAATAATAATTGGGTGTGTTTGTTTATGAATGTTGAGGTGGTAACGGTAGTTCTACATGTTGGTTGTGAGGAGCAAGAGAATAAATAAATGAAGGTTATTTTGGTCCTTCAAAATTTAGTTTATAGGATTATATTGATAATTTACACGTTTTTATGTATTTGTTGACCAAATTAAAGGATTAAATGGTCATTTTTTGTGGTGTGAGAGGTCTAGAGGGGGTGTGTATATAATCTCATTGTTGCCCTGGAAAAAAAAAAAAAAAAAGAGCCTCTTGAACTTCGTTAGTCAACTTGATATACCCAAGTACGAACCATTCTTAAACATAAGAATGAAAATTATTTTAAAAATTAAAAAAATCATATTATTCAAATTTGGGTTAAGACCCTAGGATCTAGCAATTACTGAAATAATGCAGCTAATTTTCCTGGCCTTACTCAATTCCAAAATTCCAAAATTAGACATATCCGCTCTATATATTTTTGTATGGGACTCAAAAAAGCGTGTTGGTCAAGATATAACTCATCTTACTTACCCAAAAAAAATTTAAAGAACGGCAGATGGAAATTTACGTATTCATTTTATATTTCTCTATGCAAATGAGTTTCCAGTGGCACAATAATTCGTACCACAACAGAGCCCAGTAGAATATTAAAGGACGAGAATAATTAAATCAATTAGGGAGAAATTATTACGTAATTTGAGATTATATGATTTTCACTAATTACATATGATCATGAAAGTAAAATTAAACATAATAATAATAATAATAATAATAATAATATCCTGACTCCTCTATTACATACATGAGTTCACCTTCCCCAAGCATGAGTGCACGAAACCACTCAAATTACACAAGCGTACGTTTACAGACGAAATGGATGATCCACAACAAAATCAACAACTGAGCTTAACTCATCCCAATCACCATACTTAATGAGCTCATTCACGTCTGGAGTACTCACGAAGCACGAGCTGGACGCTGTTGATGGAGCTTCATAGATGGAGCTCAGTTGGCCGCCTGCAACCAACTGCCGGTTATAGTTTGTTTCATTGACAGACGGCTTTATCTTTTCGTTCTGTCTAATCGTTGGAGCTCCAAAATTAATGTATCCTTCGCGAATTTGATGATCATCAGACTCCACTGTATTATATGTTTTCGAGCTTGCTGAAACAGGTGCAACGTTTCGTTTAGCTGATACTTCTCTCCAATCTGGTATACACTTTCTATATGACACATTTCGCTTGAATATTCGACAAAGTGTCCAAACTTCCTGCAATACGTACCATGAAGATTAAGATTAATATTAATATTAAGCATACAATATACACATAATTAATTAATAACTATCTAACACCAAATTTTTTTTTAGTACTGATAATATAGCGCCCCATTAGATATATAAGAAACAATTATAATGAGTATCTATTAGATGAGGCCTAGGGTAAGGTTTTCAAGAACTAAAAAAAATATAAAACTATTTTCAGATAACTAAAAAAAGATCGATGTTTTAAGACACAGTTTTCATCTCAAAAAACCGAAAACTGTTCATTACCAAGGTACCTAGTAATTTTTTATCTAACACACCAATATTTTTCCCTCCACACCATGTTATGACTAAATTTTGATTTGAAATAGGGAAGTTAGTTTCTTACAGCTTCTTGATCAGCAATGTTTATAACATCATGACTGTGTTTAGTACTTTTGTCATCGGCGGGTTGGAGGCGAAACTCGTGCATCATCCAGTCAGTTTTGGTACCTTTTCCGGCACTTCCTCGATAGTATACCAATGATTTCTTCAGGCCAATGCATTCTCGTCCATCTCCACCGGAAGAGTATATTGGCCTATCAATCCCAGTAGCCTTCCAAAAACCAGATCCAGTGACTCTATTTGGTCTTACGCTGTTCCTATATTTTCTGCCTCTTTTGCAGAAGAAATACCACTCCTTTTCTCCTGCTGGACTACCTTCTGCATTTTTTACAAACTAGGTTAGCACAAATATTCCATCAATATATATATATATAGAGAGAGAGAGCGAGGGATCACTGATATCCAGTGAATAACAGTCAATCTTTACTTTTTATGACTGAGGTGGTGCAATGCTATCCATTGGTTGCATCAACGAAATGGTGTATAAAGTGGTAGAATTATTTACTGATTTACAAAGAAATGGAAAACAAAAAAAGAGTATTGTTGTTTTTCCTTTTTATTTATTTATTTTTTGTTTTCCTCGTATAACAACAAAAAATTATGAAGTATCGGCAGTGATCAACCCTAGAAATATAATTATCTTTTGATATATCTTGTTCGTGTATGTGTATATATTTTCATATCGCAATATAAAAAAGCTTCATTTTCAGTGATCCTCTCTACATGAAGGGCATATATATATATATATCAAAGTTCCATTTCATGCAAATTGAAGGGTTAGAATTTCATCCCATACAACTAGCTCAAAAGTTGATTAATTCCATGCATAACTACGACCGATAGTCGAAAGCTTTCCCATATAAAAAATAGCCCCATATCCTGAAACCCTTATCGATCGTGATATATCATAATCCTCTCTCTCTCTCTCTCTATATATATATATATATACTGTGTGTGTATCAGTGTATGTGTGTATGAGTACTGGCCGGACCGATCACACATGCACTTGTTACGAATATGGTGAAAGATTTACATGAGATGTGACCATCTTAGTTCTTAGATGAAAATTAGTTTAGGGCTTATTGATCTCAATATGCATGTTATGTTATCAAAGGTGGAGTACTAGAATTATAAATCGTCCTTTTGACAAGAAACAAGCCTTAAATCTTATGAAAAACAGCTACTGTTTTGTTAAACACCAAGCACCACTTCACCTATGTGTATATATATATTTCTGTGTATATATATATATTCTTTAGATCCTTTGAACGAAATCCTAGATATTTCTCTTGTATTTATCTAATATTTAAAACAATATCAATAAAAAAATTTGAAGGATCGGAGGAGATTAGAGAGAGTAAAGAAGTTGAAAGAAATTAAGGATATAATTTATGACATACTTGGAAGATCCCATGGATCATATTTGTAGATATCAATCTCTTTGATGAGTTCGATACTGATGAGCCTCTTCTCAACTTTTCTGCGAAGATAAAACCCTAAAAGTTCTTCGTCTGTGGGATGAAACCGGAACCCAGGAAGAGGAACATCATCATCATCACCACCATCCACGCTGCTGCTACCCACGCTGCTCATCTTCTCTACTACTTCCATGCCCACCTCTGTGTGTATGTGTATGTGTATGTGTGTGTGTGTGAATGGGGGGATTGAAAATATTGTTTAAAGATTACTTTCTTTCTGTTTTTTTTGGGAGAATAGTGTTAACATTACTAGCTTTGAACTTGGAAGAACCTTCTTCTTATTAATAATGTGGGGGGGGAGAGAGAGAAATAGAGATTTAATAATGTGGGGAAGAGAGAGAGAGAGAGAGGGGGGGGGGGGGCTAGACTAGGGCTGTTTTTGGTCAAGTCATCAGCTTTGACTCTGTGAGTCTTGAGGAACCAAACATTTTTGGAACTTAAGAAGAAGTCTTTTATTGATTACTAGAAGACTTGAAAAGAAGGAGAAGGTGATGGAGTTAAAGCTAGCTGAACAAGTCCCGGTCAAATGCATGAGCACCCAGAATTTAAGCAACTACTTACTTATATTATATATGTGTGTGTGTGTGTGTGTGAATGTAATGCGACGGTGTGGCCAATGAATGGATAGGGACTGAGCAAGGCCCAATATATGTTCTTGAGAGCAAAAATAAACTTAAATAAAATTAAAACCCCAGAACAATTTATGGACAAAATCAAACAAATTAACAAAAGTAAACACAGACTCGTTACTCACAACATGCTTATAAGAGGACTTGAACTCTCAATCTCTTTCTTTTTAGATAGAGAAGATCAAATTAGGAGTACAAAAAGCTAACGGATAGAATCAGAGAAATGATCGAAACTGAACCGAATCGGTGCTTCAATTCCAGTTCCTCAACAGTTTGGTCTCAGTTCAAAAATTGAGGAACCATTGAATTTCTGTTCAATTCCAGTTCTAGACCCTTTGAAACAGGACCAAACCAAACCAATTCCATTATATTACAATATACAATTATAATTTATAGTCCGTCATTAGAATTAGAATTTACAATTAAAATTCCAGTATATATATATATATATATATATATTGTATTATATTACAATTAAAATTAGTTAGTATATATATTATATTACAATTTACATTACAATTCCATTATATTATATATAAAGAATACAATTACAATTACTCAGTTTATATATTATATTACAATTTACAATTTCAATTATATTATTTTGTTAATTTCTTGTTCCTACTATGTATATATTTTTTTCTTCAAAAAAGTAAACTGATTTTTTTACCCAATTTTATCTAAAGGAAACCGTCGAACCAAAACGAACCAGAGCGGTCTTTCACAATTTAGTTTGGTTTCAATTTTTTAGGAACCGTAAAGAATGGTTTGTTGCAATTTAGCCAAGAACCATACCAAACCGAACCGTATGCACCTTAGATCAAACCATGCATTAGACCAGAGGCACTTTATTTTAAAAGTAAAATTTATTTAGATCCCCTAAGATTGTCTATATGTAAGTTAAACCCCCTAGATTAATTTGGATATCTTTCTCCCTAGTCCCCCACCACCCCCCTGCGGGCCCCACGTAACGGTTAAAAGATTGTTTTTGTTGACATCATTAAAAAAGTAATTTATAATATTCGATTGCCCTCCTTATCCTAGTTAGTTAATTCGCGTATGATACGCGAATTAAACGCGTACGTACGAATTTTGAAAAAATACTTTCGTTTGTCGATTAGAATTGAAAGATACGGTAAAATACGCATTTTTTTTAATCACTCCGTATCTAACGCTTTTATTCATTTATTCGTTTTAGTTGCTCCGTTTAATTTGTAACCTAATTATTATTATTTTTGTTTACAAAATTCACGTTTCTAATAACGTATTTTTCTAAAATACAAAATATTGTCTTTTTTACCCTCTTTTATTCGGTATAGCCATTATTTTTTAAACCATCAAAATAATGTTATTTGTTGTGCAAACTATTGTATTTTCTACCCTCTTTTGCTTGGTATAGCCATTATCTTTCAAGCCATCAAAATAATGTTATTTGTTGTGCAATCTCTTATTGTTGTCACTCCAATTATGATATTTAATCAAAGCAATGAAATATATATATATATATATATATATATATATATATATATATATATATATTTATGGAACATTATAATCTTAAAGAATCATAAGTTTTATTAATGTTTGTAGATATTTATAGATTTTTTGTTTTGTTGTGAGATCTTTTAAATTTTGTTAATATCTTTATTATTATTATTATTTTAGAAGTTTGTAAATCACCACACTCCCTAGATGTTTTAGTAGAATATTACATTATATACTTATAATTTTTTTTTTTATGATTATTGTGTTAGTGTTAATTGTAATATATTTATTTCATTATTTGTTACATATTCTCTATTGTCTTTACAAATATATATATATATAAGAAAATAATAAGATGTGTATAACCGAATTTTTTATCCCGAATTTTTAGAGTATATAGCGTATTATACACGTACGTATTCGTATTTATATTTTTACGTCTCCGTATTATTTTGCCGAATTTTTTAAACATATTTTAAAAAAAATATCGAATTATACTTGTACGTTTTCGTACCTGTATTTTTTTCGTACCGTATTTTACTAACTATGCTCCTTATTCCCTCTAATTAATTTAACATTTTTCCTACATTTTCTCTCTCATTCCACATTGAATAGATTAGTCATTTTATTCATTTCTTTAACACGGTCATATGACAATGTCTAACATAAAATTTAAATGAACATTTACAAATTTGAGGGATCTAATTAAAGTATAGACAAACCAGAAGGGATCTAAATGAATTTAACCCATTGTAAATTTCTTGAGTCTCAATTTAGCTTATGATTTACTTTGTCCATATATGCAACTCTACATGCACTTCATAATTTCATCATCTCATTTTTGACCTTCAGCTAATTTGTACATGTGGGGACGAGATGCACGTGAGAGACTTCTATCGTTCTCTCCAATATATGTGTCGTCATGTCTTCTATCTCTACATGCATTACAGGGATCCAATAATGATTTTTGCAACTCTCTGATGCATCCAATGGAAGAGCAACTTGGGCAATCCTCCATTTTGATAATTGAGTTTGGCTGCTCTATCTATCTATCATTATTTAATTATGAAACAAAGTTCCTAATCATGAGAATAAAACAAGCGACTTGCCTATGATTTACATAAGAAAATAATTGTTAAAGTGAACCAAACACTCCAAATATAGGTTCGAATGGAGTACTGTTTGATGCATTTACGTGACTTTCTACAGCCCTCTTCTTTATAGACGTAAGAAAGTTGCACTTCCTAAACACATGAAAGTTAACGCTCATTGGCAGAACTGAACGGAATGATTAGCTCTCTTCTATGTTCAAACTCCAGACCAGTAAATGAATGGTTTTAACTCCAGCTGCGGGCTATAATGGTAAGTGTTACTTGGTGGACTTGTCCACAATCGGAAGAAATGCATGGGTATATATATGGGTTGGATGTTAGTCGCACTTAATAGTTAAGCTTTTGAGTTGTATCACAAAGTACTCACCTGTTTTAGTTAGCATCAGAACCAGACACATTCTTTGTTACGGTGTCACGCTAGGCGCCCGGCCTAGAGGGATTTAGGTCAGCCACTTGAATAGGCAGGGTAGTCCGACTGTTTGTTTGGGTAAAGGAGAATGTTACAAGGTAGACTTGTCCCACATTAGATCTGGATAAGAAAGTGAATGATTATATATGAGTTGGGTGTTAGCTTCACCAAACCGCTTAAGGTTTTGGGTCGAATTGCGAAACGTCCACACGTTATAGTAAGCCACTTGGGTATGTTGCCTTATGAAGTATCAGGTTTAAGATTCGACCCTCATTGAGTGTAAATAACCCACCCATTACAGTAAGCCACTTGGGTTTGCCTTATTGAGTGTAAATAATTCCTTGGTACCATGCTCGCGAGTAAAAGACCAAAATTTACCCGATCCGCATGGAAGGGGCACTTTGCACGTGCCTCGGGAATTAGTCAGGGCAAAGACCCGGATTCAAACTCCAGACTAGTAAATAAATGTTTTTAACTAGGAGTGCAACTTGGGTTAGGCAACCCGAACCCAACCCGAGCCCAACCCGATTTTTCACAGGCTTGGGCAATCATTTTTACAATTAGAGTTGGGCTTGAGTTAAAAAATCTTAACCCGAATTTAATTAGGGTTGAGCTTGGATTAAAGTGCTGGTTGGGCTTGGGTTGAAATGCTAGCAACTCAAGTCAACCCAAACCCGAATTATAATATTTTTTTCATATATATTTTTACTTTTAAATACATTATATATAAAATTTAGGAGAATTAATTTTCTAAAAATTTGTTTATAATTTATTAAAAATTTACAAAAAGTTTTTAAACTTCTTCTTGTTTAAGAGTAATGTAATATAAAACTAATTTAAGATTATATTAAATTTCGGTATAAAGATTAGCTATATGAGTAACTTGAAATAACCCGAAATTTTAACCGAGAATCTAAGCCCGAGTTGCAAGCCCGAATTTAAAAGTAGAAGGATGGGTTGAGCTTGGGTTGAATAGTTAAAGTTAAGGATAGGGTTAGGGTTAGGTTTGAGTTTAGCATTTCATATAATGAGTTGGGCTCAAGTTATACTTCAAACCCGCTCGAGTTGCAACCCTAGTTTTAACTCAAGGTGTTGGCTCTAATGGTAAATGTTATAAGGTGGACTTGTCTCGTATTGGATCTGGATGAAGAAGTGAATGGGGTATGTATGCAACTTAAGCTTTTCGGTCGGATCGCGAAATACCCACATTTTATAGTTGCATGTATCAGAGTCAGATCCATTCTTTGTTCCGGTGCAACGCCAAGCGCCTGGCCAGGAGGGGTTCGGGTCAGCCACCCGAGTAGGCAAAGTTGCCCAACCACTCGGGCTTTGCTTGTTCGGGTTGGGGGGGTGGGGGGTGGGGAATGTTAATCCCGATGAAAAAGTGAATGAGTTCATATAGGTTGTGTGTTAGTCTCACTTAACCGCTTAAGGTTTTGGGTTGGATTTCGAAACACCCACCCGTTACTGTAAACCACTCAGTTATGTTGCTTCATGAAGTATCAGATTTAAGATTTGACCATCATTAAGTGTAAATAACCTACCCGTTCCAGTAAGTTATTTGGACTTGTTATTTCATAAAGTATCAGATTTAAGATTCAACCCTCAGGACCCTTAAAAAAGAGAGTTTAATCAATAACACAAAATTATTTTTAGAAAAATAACTATAAAAAATCGTTATTAAAATAATCTATCTTTTTTTAAATTGAATTTTTAGAAAATAATTCTTATTTTATACTGTACTACAATTTTTAAATTTTCAGTTCATAGAACCAAACAAGCATCTGAAGTCAGCAGTCATAAATTTTCAAACTCAAAAGGGCAAATTTGTCCTTACAGAAGGCTGCATTTTCTCTGACAAGTTAGTAAAAGAAGGAGCCTTCCAGAAGGCTCATGACATTTACTTACCCATAAAAAACATAAAATAAAAAGTCACATGACACTTTGACCATGGAGGAAATTAAGCCATCAAAGAAAATGTCAAAAATAAGCCAATAATGTTTGATTTTTAAGAACCACAAATTTGACTTACTCCAACTATACAGTTCGATTGACAATACTATTCCCGGTGTTGGACCTTTTCTGTTTTTTTGCTTGGCCACGTGCTGGACTTATTTTTTATTTTATTTTTGTCATTGGGTGGGGTACACCAAACTTATTATTGAAGTCGCGCCACCAATAGACTTAGTGGTGTTGGCATAAGTCCGAATGACAAGTGCGTGAGATTTGGCTTTTAAATTGTATTTTAAATTTAAATGGTGTGGGGTCGATACAGTTTTTTTTTAAAAATAAAAATATTACAATATCTGATATATATATATATATATCTACTCTAGTGCATGTGGTAAATGCAATATATAAATAAATAATTACGTTGTAAAAATTATTATTAAATAAATTATACTAATTTCCTTTAAAGTTTGAATATATTATACACGGACCGATTGTTTAGTGTTTATTATTTTAATCTAACTAAAATACGTTTTTTTTTTTTCAGTGATTAAATTTTTTTAAAATGACAATTTTACTTTACCTAGTATAAAAATAGCTTTATGGAAGGCATTATTAACTTTTCATAATCAAAGTCGCTTTTTGACAACCAACAAATGAATTTGGGAGAGATTCAAACAATAAATCAGTATGGTATTTGTTCAAACCTTAAGATACATTTCTATAATATATTAAGTATTTTGATAACACCAATCACTGCATTGAATTTGAAATTAAAGAAAAATTTGATTCTTCATCGTTTTTCATAGATCATACTTTTCCTTTTATTTATTATTTGCTCCAAGATGCAATGAAAATTGAGTCAAAACGTGATTATAAAAGATGGGATTTGAAAATGGATTAACCACATAAACTAGTGTTGGCGCCAAAATAAGAAATGAAAAAATTTCAAACTTCAAAAAACCACAATTTAAAAAAGAAAAAAAAAAAAAAAAAAAAAAAGAAGAAGAAGAAAAAGAACATGTATTAGACAATCCAATTGTTTGACCAGAAGCAATTGACACAATGTTTCTCCACCAAAACTGGGGGAAAATGAAGTGTACCAACGATTTGGAGAAAAATCTATGGTTAGTTGTCTGGGAGTATTTTATATATATATATATATATAGGATTGAACAATTCGGTATATATATAAGTTTGGTTAAAAACTTACAAGAGACAAAAAAGACCGCAAATTGACTAAACATGTTTCTTTCCTTTTCTTTTTCAACCTCAACTTAGATTATATTTTACGCAAAAATATAAAATAGAATAAACTTCAGGGTAATATTCCTTAGTCCATCCTTTAAAATCAAAATGTACTGTTGCAATATATATATATATATATATATATATATATATATATATATATATATATTATAATATGTGAAAACAATAGACTATTACTGCTTCTAGAATACGAAGAAAAGGAGGCAAATGGAAATTTTCTTGCAATCGAATTAATTTATATTTCTGCTGCACGAAAGCTACCCATCAACCCTAGCTAGACATTTTCTCCCGCCTTATATATCACACACTCTTTGTCAAAATTGCAACTGGTCACATGGACTTATCAATCGATCAAGTTTTAATACAAATCCCATCAACCGTGATTATAATTAATCTGATGCAATAACAATTCGATCCAACATAATAAAATATAAGGTGAATTACAATAACATTTTTAAAATTTGCATTTATTACACACGATGTAGACTCTATGTAGATATCGCGCCAAGTTTCAGGAGTGCGTTGGTATCACGTTCCAAATTTTAGATCTATACCACACAAATGCAAAATTTATGGTTTGTGAGTGCAATTCACCCATATATATATATATATATATATATATATATATATATAATTCAGTGATTTTTTTGGGTATTTTGGAATTTTCAAAATGTGCAACTGTTTAAATATTTTTAGATGAACTTTCCAAGAGGTTATTACAATATTTTAAATATTTCATATTGATTACCATCATGTTTATCGTATTTTATCGGTTCGTAATCCTTTTTCAAAAATCCGATACCGTTACAAACCTCCATGAACCTGCCAATTTATACTGATATTTGTCCGAATTCGTTACACCACAACTGTAAAGCATGGGCATGGTAACCATCTAGTAATAATATAGGAGGGTGATATGCAAATTTTTATACTTTAGAGAAGTCTTGTGTAATTAACCTATATATGTGTGTGTGTGTGTGGGTTAATTACACAAGACTATATATATATATATATATATATGTGGGTTAATTACACAAGACTTCTCTAAAGTATAAAAATTTGCATATCACCCTCCTATATTATTACTAGATGGTTACTAGATGCAAATTTTTATACTTTAGAGAAGTCTTGTGTAATTAACCCCCATATATATATATATATATATTGGTAAAACCTCATAGTGATAGATATATGTAAAGACAAGGTAGCCGCAAGGATGGATTTAACATAGGATCAATAGTTTACTTCACATCTATCAACAAGTCAATCGTCCATGAAGAAGGGAAGACCTGAAAAATATACAAGGAAGAAGCAAAAATCAGTCTCAATTCCTCAGTCAATAAACTTGAGACGGCTCTTACCCAAATTTTTAGTTCCATTTGGGCTGAAAAGTCTATCATTTTTTTTCTTCAATCTTCAATTTTTGAAGATTTGAAAATGTATCAGTCAACCCAAACTTACATGAACCAAGTAATTAAAAATAATTCACTTTTCAAAAAATTAGAAATAAATAAAAAAGAGAACGCACGTATCGAATCATAACCCAGCAAAGGTTATCATTGTATTAATTCACAGTGACAGCCTTTCCATAACTTTCAAATGGTCCCAAATAGAAAAAAACAAATACAGCTAAAATATGATAACAAATACAAAAGAATAAAGATGAGGTTCGTATAGCATCACTACAAGCCTGATTTGAACAGCAGGAGACCAACTGAACAACCAAAAATAATGCTTTTAACAAAAGAATATCCACACTGTCTTCCTTCTTCAGCATGGTATCTTGTGTATGGATAAATGTAATTAATTCTATAAAACGGGCACTTGTAATATTTCCTCAGGGTGGGTCGGAATTCGGATGCAATTCCTGTCCCACTCGAAGCCATGAGTCTGTACCCGTTCCCACTTTATTGCTGCTCTCATATCTCAACAGTATCCCAAAGAAAATCTTCCCCTGCTCCCAAAATGAACTTTTTAACACAAACAATCACAAACGAAAATTGAAAATAGACCTAGCGAGTTAATTCTGGCTGACCTTCACTCTCCTGTACGATGCTAAAGTAGCCAAAGGTTCATTTGACCTCTGCACCTCTCCTGCTTGAAAATTGAGATTGATCATCTGGCAACGGTTGCATCCACCTAGGGACTGCATAAGAATGCTCAAGATAGATGAGCTATGAAATTTTGATCTATCATGAGAGAGAGAGAGACAGAGAGAGTTGCTTGCAATTTATTGGCTTTGTAAAAATACCAAACAATCATCACCATAAATTTCTTCAATTACTTATGTTTTTTTTTTTTTTTTTTTAAAAAAAAAAAAAAAATTGTTAAGATATCTTGAAAAAATAGAAAATAAACCTACGACCAATCTCTAAACCAACAAAGGATAAAGAACACCTATCAACTCATAGGGCTATCAAGAAACCATTAAGGATAGATTTGAACTCCTGAACTCTCCAAATTTTAGTGTCTTACCCCACACAAGAAAACCAAAAAATTGCACATGAAGATAATAATAGTAAGAAGGCATTTTTCTTACAGCTGATAAATAACCAATGCATCAGCAAAACAGACATGGATATGACGATAACTATCATTTTGGGGAAACTTTTTCCCTTTTAACAGTTTTCAGTTCGAGAAAGAGATTAAAATAAAACGTACCATATGGAACATGGAAGAAATGGGCAATAAAATGCGTGAACGTGTGAGGAAGTAGAAAGTTAACGGCAGACATCAGTACAGCTACAAACATTTACAAGGTCAGGAGGCTCAATTTTTTATAGCTAGAACTTACCCTGAAAAAATCTTTTCCAATTTTAAGACTTCTCCATTCGTCTTCTGCATACGGTTCACCACCAGATATAACAATGTTGGGACGGAATCTCATCGGATTGACTTGAGTGGGAGGTCTATGAGGGCCTATCTGTACATCTGCTACCAAAAAAGAAAACAAAGAAAATAGTTTACATACATTTGTTGATAAAACCCAACGTTTAACTGAAAATAAAAAATGAGAAACTGTAAACACCAAGACTATCTGTCATTTACATATCTAACAAATTCAGAGCTAAAAGGTTGACACTTGGCTGCTAGAAAATAAATAAACAAATAAAAACTGAGGAAATAACTTGTATGCAACAAAGACAAGTCATGCATCCCAGCATTGGGCATATCTGAAAGTCCCATGGAAACTTAGTCTCTCCACAATGTTTTCCGTAGTGTTGGAATTGTTAACACGAATATAAAGCATGCTATTAGCAAGAACATAAAGCATCTCCACATTAACTTTTCAGATAAGCTCAACATATATAGAAAACTTCAGGAAGACACTGAAAAGTGAGCTTCTTCAAAAATGTCAGAAACTTCCTAACCAAGTAGGTACTGTGTGAGAAGAAAGATGCATTAGAACATACTGGAGCTTAATCTGTTGTTGAGGTCAGATACACTTTCCTCAGATATTAGCAGAAACGGAGCTTCATTGACAAAATTCAATTTAGTCTCATCATCTCTGCACATGCCGACACCTCTGCTCTTCTTCAAGCAGAAGTAATTATTTAAACCAGAGCATCGTAACAAAGTACAAGGTCGACCAACAGCATTGCTAAACCAAATGTCAACTTCATCACCAGAACCCTGGACTTCATAGCTGATCAACAAAACCAAATGTCAACTTCATTCCCAAAACAATGGACTTCATATCCATTCAACAAAACGTATCACATTACATTTAATGATGATGTAGAAAGAATAAGGGGTAACATTTAAACCACAATCTGTGAAATGCAATGACATCTAAAGTTGCTTATAAAATAATTAATAAATAAGTCGCATTCAAACTCTATATTTTGTTAGACAATCTTGTGCAACAAAAGCAATGAGCTAAACAAAGCAAATCAAACTCTCACAACCTGCCTCATGTATGACTCCTCTTACACGTGGAGAAGCAGACAATTAGACAGAACAGAGTTCAAACAGATAAAATAGGGAAATAAAGCAACCAGAGAGATGAGACTCCAAGACCTAAAATAAATGTTCTATACCATGAAACATGTAAAACAATAGGTATTGAGCCAACCAATGTACGTTGAGCAGTGAAACAATTCAAATAGAATTTTGACAAAGTTGGTAAATTTGGAAAAAAGAGGATCTTTCTTTTAAGATCTATTACATTTTACTCTGGGAAAATACGATTCTTTCCTTGTATAAGGAAATCGTGTACAGGCTGTTAATAGCTGGGGATTTATTAGTTATTGTAATCCCTGATTTCTAGGGATCACTTTTTTATATGTATTAATGTGTATCTTGCCAATAAAGCAACACTTTGGTCTTCCACACAGAGTCCTTTATATAGACTTCCTTGTGGCATAAGCAAAGACTGATCTATGCCAAGCACAATATAGACCATACTTGTAATTCTCTAAGGCAACGATATTCCAAGGTAATATCTCTAGCACTACTAGATTAAACTATTAGCTGTACTGAAACTTTTTATGGTCTAGAATTCTCTCTGGACTATACATTCCACACAACCCTCCCCTTCCCACTTCTCGTGGCCTGCAAACTAGGCAAACTCCTAATACTAAACATATGACCTCAAATAAAAATAAAAGGGACCAAGGTCGGCCAGTGAGACAATGGGGGATAAACTTCATCTTTGAGAGAGAAACAACCCTAATTACCAGCCACTGCCCCTAAATGACCACTTAGTGATAAAGGAGGTAGGGGTGCAGAGACAGCCAAGAGGTTTGCCTTGAAGCAACAACCCTTGATAGAGTGCATAAAAGCTCACTGATCGTGTACTCTTGCATCAAAGATGAACAGGCTAGGCAATTTGCAAAAGTTCAGGGATGTAAAAATACATTAGTAGTGGAATGTTACGCCTTAGAGGGAAGAACCAGCGCAAGAAGTGGTGGATGAAACGGAACTGAGAATGTCGAACTGCGGAACACAAACAATGGTGAGAATCCAATGCCCCGAAAACCTAAGGACTTATTCGCAGGGTTCGTCCACGGAGGATGAGTCAAGGCCTAAGATCAGGTCGAAAGGCATGTTGATCCCGAGGGTTGGAAAAAGCTAGGTTAGTTGAAAGATGGTTATTGGTTCGAGCCAATGTTTGAGTACCAAGTGCTAAAGTGCTGAACCGATAGAGAACCTTTTCTTTTTATATGAATTGCTATAACATTCCAATTCTTTCCTGATACCTCTCAAAGAAAATCTTGAATTGGATCCAAATTGATGGGTTAGTGTGAGCTTATCAATGCGATTATGCACTCATTGAATGGGAATCCATTTTCTGAAAGATATTGGCTATTGTGCTTTCGTAGATCTCCGAGATCCTTTTGATACCCTATCTTGTCATAAAGCCAGTGGTAGCAACGGAACTGGGGAAGGTATACAAAAAAGGCAGTTCTTTCCTATTGTATTAGTATTTTCTATTACAACAGAAGGACTCACTAAACTGGGATTACTAATTGATACTAATGTAATGAACAGAAAAACATGCGCACACCCTCACCCAAACAAAAAAAAGAAGACAGAAAGTGCTAGGAAATGTTCTAAAGTTAAAAAGTAAATATATGCACATCAAATAAAGATCAAAAATATAAAACATATATTCACAAATACATCTTAAACATGTGATTCAACAATGCAAATCAAGGAAGATAAAAAAAATAATAAAAAATAAAAAAGGAAAAAGGAAAAAAAGAGAGTATCTTATTGTATTATCAAGGTCTTTATAATATACATCTAAACACACAGAGAGAGAGAGAGAGAGAGAGAGAGAGAGAGAGAGAGAGAGAAACTTATTGTATTATCAAGGTCTTTATAAATAAGGGGGTCATTGTCTGGGGCAATGGTGAAGACTCAGACAAACAAGCATGAGGTTGTGGGTCTGAGTCTCATAGTGGCCACTATATGTAAAATAATGCATAGGTTAAGTTTGTCAGTAGTCGCCTCCTCCCAGCACCCCACATGGGCAGGGAACACACTGGGTAATGCACTAAAGGTATGTCCTTGTAAATATTATTAAATTTAGTACAATTGCAACCAAAAATATCCAGGTCATCATTTTAAAGCTAGAATACAATTAACAAAGCAATATGTCATTGCATATGCAATGTAAGTTGTGCTGGGAGGTTCAAACAATAAATGAACACAATCAAATTATGAATTGATAAAAATCGGTTACTACTTGTCAAAATATAATCCAACATTAAATGAACATTATTTGACCAATTTGCTTGATTTCACAAACAGAAGCATAAGGAAAAATTAAATGAATTTCAAATTCTCATTAAATCATTAGACAGGGACAGGGGCAACTCTCTCTCGTTTTAGCATGGGCCATTCACTGGGGGTTATATAAGCTCAGGACTATCACCGTCAGATCAGAATTACATACTATTCAATTTTGATGGATTGCTGATTCCATAAATTGATTCGAAAAAAGTAACTTATAATGGAGATTCTGGTTTCTTAAAATTCCTTGGATCTCTAAGAGAGAAATTATTAAAGACTTTAAGATCATGATTGTTAGGGGTCATCGCTTGGGGGACAATGATAAAAGATCAGGCTATCAAGTGTGAAACATAGATTTGAGTCGGATGACAACCACTTTGTGCAAGAGAAATGTCAAGGTTAAAATCTGTATACAATCTCTCCCTTCGGTGCACCCCACATAAGCAAGTTCAATACTGGATAATGATTTTTTAGCTTTGGATATTTTTTACTAAAATTATGGGGAAACCATTGTGGTTCTACAACAGGTAGGAACTGTAAGTAGCTAAAATAATAAAGAGAACAAACAACGTGGACTGACAACTTCCGGTGCCTTGTCCAAAGACCCCCAACTAGCAGTCAACTTGGTGCATAAGCACGACAGCGAAGAAAACTCTTCTATTTTTAATTTTCATTGTCAAAAATACTTTAATAATAAAGCAACATTTAGATCTGGAAACTCATCCTATGCTTACATTTACTCAACTATATAACTCTATTAATCCACATTGATATTTGCCAGATCCTAATTGCTTGAGGTGTGTGGTGCAGGTCCGTACCATGTCATTTAAGTCTGTCAAGCAAGTGCCCTTTGGTGTACAATATCTAAATGATGGACAAAGCCATCTACTTGAGAGGAAAAGGGTGATAAAACATAAAACAAGATGACAATACTTAGTCTCAAACCTCTGGGCAAGTAGATCCATGGCATCTCTCCCAGCTACATATGAATCTAATTCAAGTTTAATCTGCAGTTTCACTTTGCAACGTGGTGATTCCACAAATAATATTCCCAAATTGAGGTCAATAGATGTACTAATAAAGCACATTTCTGGAACCTACAAACCGAAATATAGAAGAATTAGAACTCCATGTACACATCAAATTTTAAAAACTATTTCCACATATCAATCATATATCTATATAGTAGAGAGACAAACAGATGTCCACTGAAGATTGAACAAATTGAATGAGATTCATTCATCAGTATGCAAATGGTGAGTTTCTATTTCATGTTCAAGCCAAATTGGCAGCAAATATTATTATTTCCAATTATTGCCTATCATTCGTTATCTATGAAGCACATATACTCCTACAAGGGGGACGTACCCCTATCGTGACTGTGTCAGATACCCACACTACTTGAATACTCGTCGTGACCAATACATTCTAAAAATATCCATAATTTGAATTTTTATTTTTTTAAAAAAAAAAAAATTCTTACACATCCGATACTTGTAAGATATTTTGGACACGTATACTTCTCAAATACTTCAAGGTTGAACAAATAAGGAAATGCTAGTAACAATATATACAATATGATAAACAATTTTTTTTTTTTTTTTGCTAAATACATACAAATGTATGTATTTTTTAAATATATATACACATATATCTCCATTATACAATATATATTGATGTGTCCTTGCCATATCCGTATCCTAATTTTTAAGAATTAGTCGTATCGTCATATATTCGTACCGTGCTCTGTCTATGTCTATGCTCTATAGTTTGTGTTAAGACAAACGCAGCGAACATAAGAAACAATCACGAAACATGACAGAAAATAAACATGCCACAAACAAAGAACACAGAGATTTAGCGTGGTTCGACACAAGTCGTATCAACGTCCACAGTGAAGATCTGGCGAAAGGTTTCACTATGCGAAAATTAGGTGATTACCAGTTTCAGGCCCCAAACCCTAGTTCTTGCTATCATTCTCTTTTATGTGATTTTCAATGTCTCTCCATATCCCACTCCAAACTTTAAACGCCCTTATATCGGGCTACAAGAGAGTTCTAATTAGGGTCCATGACCCACAAGCAAAAAAAAAAAAAAAAGGGCAATCACCGGGTTGTCGGGTCAAAACGGGTCGCAATACGACCCGGAACCAAATTCGGGCCTCAAAATCACAGTTTGTTAGAATCTCTGTAAGTTCACCCATAGCTAAGGAATAACATGTGGCAACAACAAATTAGACCTCTAGATCCTCAACATAACCACTATGCTTTAAAGTTACAGGGAATTGATGCGCGTCTTGAAACTTCTTTTGTTTTTCCTTGATAAGTGTGTATATGTTGATGTTGGACAGCCTCATCTGAGTATTTGTTGGTACTTGAGAATCTTATCTGTTTCCACAAAGGCATCGCATTATGATCATCCTACATTCACAATGCTATGGATTTAGGGGTTTTGTCATCAACTATTTAATTCATCAATTCTAGAAAGCAGTGTACTTATACACAGTTCTAAATACTTAAAAGAGTGAATAATTTATGAACAATTACTTAAAAGAGTGAATAATTTATGATCAGGTAGCTTGATTAGTCTTGAGAAGCTGCAAAGAATATTTATGTAGCCATATGACAATTTAGATGCATATTATGCTTTTGTAAGAATAGCTTTTTTTAAGCTTTTTTTTTTTTTTTTTTTTTTTATGAAAACTATATCATTGTAAATTCACCTTTCACTTGATATTTCAATTCATAATCTGAGCTAGTGTACAAGGATATCAGATTTCTATAGAATAATATGTGCCAATGACGAAGGTGTTTTTGTGCCTCGATTTCGAGGAATTGCATTTTGTGTCAAAATTTTATTTATTATTCTTGATAAGTATGTATATTTTGATACTTGACACCCCTACCTGTTTGTTGATTGACAATTTGACACTCTTATCTCCGTCCATGATCATCCTAGATGTGTAATGCAACAGATTCAGCGGTTATGTCTTCCACAATTTAATTGTCAATCCTAGATACTAATTCAGGGAAACAAAAACCCTAGATGGTACTATAATTCTACACAGTTCTAAATACCCAAACAGTAAATAATTCCTGATCAGGTAGCTTGTTTAGTATTAAAGAGCTGCAAAGATTTTCTATGTAGTCATATAATTTAAATACATGCTATGCTTGTGCGAGAACAGCTCTCGCTTTTTCCGAAACCTAAATCATAGCAAAAAAATTCAGCACATTACACCTTTCAATTGTAATATTTCAAGAGTTCATAACCTGAGCTAGTGTCCTAGGTTATAGTATTGCTTGCATGCGCAATCAAATTGAATATAAGCTAAAACAACAGGTGGGACTAAAAGTTCATGCATACAGATGAACTGAGGTATAAAAATGAACTCACTTGCATGTGCAATCAAATTTAATATGAACCAAAACAACAGGTGGGACATTATACCTTTCAATTGCAATCTTTCAAAAGTTCATATTCTGAGGTAGTGTAATAGGAGACAGACTCATAGTTTTGTTTTGCATGTGCAATCAAATTGATTATGAAGCAAACAAACAATTGGGACTAAAAGTTCATGCACACAGATGAATGGAAGTATACAAATAAATGTAACATCTGGTGTTTATGAATAAGAATTCACCTTCTTCTGTGTAAGAATTTCACCATTCAGGCTTTTGAGAAGCCATTCTCGATCATGCAGAAAGCCTGCTCAAAAATTCACAATAAAAAATTTAAACCATTGCCGTACTATGAAATCACCCATTCTGAAGCTGGGAATGGCAATAATTCTTTCACACATTAAAGACGAGCTACATTCTGTATCTTATGAATCAACATTCTATAAACCCTCAAGCAGCACACATAAAAAGTTAGGTCAAATATTAAAATTATTGACAATCTTGTAGTTTATACATTTTATGTTATTCTTATTCTCAGATGACGGCATCCTATCTTTGAATTAGCAAAGTTTCAAGGACATTTCCTTATTGTCTTTCATTATTTTCCAGTAAAATTTGAACAAATCATATCTTTAGCAGATAATATAATATATATATATTTTTTTGGTAAGTAGATAACATAATATATTTAAATAAATAAATAAAGAGAAGAAAGGAAAAGCGCCACCACCCAGTGTTATTTCCATTAATTGATCTTTATAAGCTCAATGGATATAGAAAAACAAATATGAAAAAGAAAAAAAAAAAGAATCTACTACGAGGTGTTTTTCCAGTCAATCAATTCCCAGGTAAAGTGATGGACCAAAGAGCAAACTAAGATCCAGCACAACAGCATGAAGTGGCTTCCCTCAGTCATTATACTTAAAACATATTTTTTTCATGCTAGAAAGCCCTCACTTTAATCATTAAACAAGCAATGGCCCCTCTTTATAGGCTCACTATGTTACATTAAAATCAATTATGAAAATCCAGTAAAAAAATGTAGAATATAGTAGATGGAGAACATCAGAATATACTATGTTCCACACTTGTTGGTAGCTGGAGATGAAGAGAAGATCAGAATATAAATAATTCATGACTTATTCACATTTCATGCTTTAGTCATTGGAAGTGGAAATAGATCATAATATTCAATGCACATTTTCCAAAGAAGTCATTCTTTCCACGGTATTTAAAATTTACCATAATATTTTGAAGTAAATGCCACAGGTTGTATCAGTTAACCTTAGTCTTTTTGCTTGGGGGATTCTAGCAGAATAGCACACAGCACTACTGAGAAATTAACTGATATTAAAATGAAATTTAACAAGCAAAAGGCTAATATAATATGCAGCCAATAAGTAGCTACCAGTACTGCATAAAGGCCAACTATCCACACTGAACCCTGCACATGACTTTATTGGATAGATGGTAATAGACCTAAGATAGTATCTTGTAGTTGCTCCTTCAGGACCTGCAATTTAGAAATGATACAGATGTTAATCATAAAGGTTAAACACAAAATTAAATGATGTCACTGTACTGTAATTTGGATCAGGGAGTGGATAACTATTTTGCGTCACTAAAATAAATGAAATAATACCACAGAAATCCTCAATAAAAAAATATAATGAAAAGCAAGGATTTTTTTTTATCAAACTCCAAGATAACAAAGAGCATTACGAAGACAAATAATTGAAACAGCAATAAACAACCATGCAGGATAGACCAATAGGCAGTGGCCTAGCGGTATCAGCCTCTTACCTCCCAAAGGGAGGTCAGGGATTCAAGTCTCAAAAGAGACAAGTGTGTGTGAGTACCAACTAGGAAAAAAAAAAAAAAACATGCAGGATAGAGAGTAAAAATGAAACAATAACATAATTTGGAAAAGTAGAAACATGACCTAGGCAAAAATAGGGGATTCATACATACATTGCAAAAATGGTCATGATTGGTGCAAAGTATGTAGATTCATGTTCATATAGAAATACAAAGAAAACAATATGGATGAATGATTACAGATAAGAGGCGCACTTTTTTTGAGCCTGGAGCTTGCTAAAAAGAACGAGCCTGAGGGCTTTATGTAAGCCTAGTTGAAGGAGCCTGGCATATACTTGGTTGATGCGCCCTGGTCAAAACTTGATGATTCCGGGCTTTTTCAGAGCCTAGTGTCATGGATTCTTGTCCCACATCGGATCCGGATGGGGAAGGTCTTGGGCATATAAGGTTGGGTATTAGTTCCGCCTAATAACTTAAGCTTTTGGGTCGGACCGCAAAGCACCCGGCCCGTGACAAATGGTATCAGAGCAGACCCAATACTTGATCCAGTGTCATACCAAGCACTCACACGAAGGTGACCTGGTCGGATATCGGGTCCCCCACCGTTAGGGTGGACGATTAGGCAGGGTGGACCAACTACAATGAGGGCATTACGGGTTTGGGTGGGGGAGAATGTCATGGATTCTTGTCCCACATCAGATCCGTCTTGGGCATATAACGTTGGGTGTTAGCACCACCTAATAGCTTAAGCTTTTGGTCGGACCGCAAAGCACCCGGCCGTGACACTAGGCAAGAGGATGACTACATCTTTTTCAAAAACTTTAAACCGATGGCGATTTCCTTAAACCTCAGAGGAGGTCAGGGTAATGTACCCTTATTATTATTATTATTACAAAACAAACGTATGAATCTAACATCTTCTCACAATGATAATACAGTCTGTACTATACTTCAGCTGTCATCCCCTTCTCAGCTTCTAATGGACATACTTAACAACATGATGAAAAGTCACAAAACTATCTTAGATCATGCTTAATTCCAGTATGATACATAACAACCCCAGCGTACAATTTCTGATTTCTGATACTCAAAAAGGAATATGCCTTAAAGGTCAGCTGACGATGGAATAATGCAGAGTCTGGACCCACTATTCCTTAAAAAGAAATCTAATACACCCATGACCTATAAAAGTCTTGCCTTGTTAGGAATTATAGCAGAGAATGCATAGTGTCTACAATCAAATTCTTTAAAACTAAGCTTGTAAGATTCCGATACCTCTTTGACATATAGAAATTAATCAAAGTATGTACTTGATTAAAGGATTGCTAAATAATACGTCGTATTATGCTGTATAATCGTGATGGATAAAGAATTTGTGGACCTTTGGTGAACTCCATTAGGAAGTCTAATGCAAGGAAACAAGAGACAGGAAAAAATATCTGTAATTATCGACAATGGGAAACAAGTGGAAGTTTGAGAGACTTGCGAGAAACAAGAGTCTGCTACCTTATATTAAGAATTATATCAAAGAATGTACTAGATTAATAGGCCGTATTACGCGGTATACTTGTGATAAATAAAGAATTTGTAGACCTCTGTTGAACTCCATTAGGAAGTCTACTGCATGGAAACAAAAGTAGGAAAAAGAATCTGTAATTATTTATAATGAGAAACAAGAAGCTTGAGAGACTATCTCTAATTATTCTGTTTATTTTCATCTATATCTGTAATTATTCATAATGGGAAACAAGAAGCTTGAGAGACTTGTGAGAAACAGTAAGCTATCAAATCAGTATCATTTTATTTGCTGCAGAGTAGAAGGGGTGTGAGAAATAACCTTCTGTTGGATAATGAATGGATCTTGCTCTCAACGAATATAAATGTCCAGAATGAGTTGGCAATGATACAAAGGAGCCCACTATGAAGTTTATAAATTTCTGCACACCAAAATGGAGAAAAGCAAAAGGAAAAAGGGCAAAAAAACTTATAAAAAATAGATCAACAAGAAGTGCTATTTTGATATACCACCAAACAGCTAATCTATAAGAGAGAAGCAATCACCCAACATAATTGTTCTTTTCTAATTTACCAATTCAAAGTTTGTACTTAACTCATATAGTTAAAAGAGGAAGCAGCCTACTAATATTTGAAATATCTACACATTCCACTAGGAAATAAAATAAAAAAGGGAAAACTATTGATTGATAAGAGCTATAATCTAAATATATAACCAGAAGATCTAATCAATTAGAATAAGTGATGCCATTTTTCCTGTTTTAACAAACGAATATTTGTTGTCATCTCTACGATTAATACAAAATGTAGTCACCATATAGATTATTAGAGCTATTATCTTAATATATTACCTACATGGCTAATGAAATAAAAAAGACCAATAATAAACTTTTTCTTGTTTAACAAGTCGAAAATTATTGTGACATCTTCAACTAAACTATGTAGTAAAAGGGCTAGCCCAGCGCACGAGGCTCTTGCCACTGCGGGGTATGGGGAGGGTCAAATGTACTCAACCTCACCTCCGCATGCGGAGATGCTCTTTCCCATTTCAAACGGATGAGCTAAAATATGTAGTTTACTAAAATTTCAAATAACTGGAAATTCCTCAATGAATCTGAAGAAAGGAAAATCATAATGAGGAAAACTGGTTCTTTTTATTTGAAAAATAACTGGAAATTACACCGATAGACATAGGAACATATACCATGGCATCTTCGAAGGTTGACATATAACCAAAAGATACTCTAACAGCTCCGGTCGGTTTTCCATGCAGTATATCGTTATCATCCCAACAAATATGCCCAGCCTAAATTCAAAGAACTAGAATTGTTAAGGATACCTGAATACTTCACTTTGGAAAAACCAAGTAAAGCCACAATCATGTGATGGAATCAGAAAAAGACTAAGACCTCAATATTCGAAAGGAGATCCAAGTGAGACAAATCAAGATACTTTGCACATGCACCAGGATTGCAAAAACATCCTGTCTACAACCAAAAAAAATAAAAATAAAATGAAAAGAAATAATTAAATTGTCAGCAACATAGAGTGAACACATACAACAAATATGATTAAGCTTAAAACGTATAGTATGTAAAAATGCCTCAAAAATAGTATGAGAGTGTATATTATGTCCTATTTACTCTTGGGTATCCTCCAATGAGGACAAAAATATATATCGCAAGTGGTGATGCTTAAGGACAAGACCGGAAGGGTGTTAAAAAAGGGATACTCGTTTACTACATTGATGGATGCAGAATTATTTTTCAAAAAGAAAAGAATAGTTACAAGTAGCAGGATAGTGAAAAGCTAAAAGGTTTCGCATTCACAGTGAAGAGTATGGTTAAGACAAAGGTTGCTGAGATGGATAAACAAACTAATATGGAAAAAACCAAAAATACTGCAATGAAGAAATTCTAGGAGTAACATCTGTTAAGTTGTAGCACCCTACTCACTTGACAAAGATTAATATTTATTAACATAAACATTGATAATTGAATTACAAGCGGAAAAAATGCATCCAAACCAGCTTACCCGTAGCTGAATTCCAGATAAAGAAGCCAATTTTTCAACTTCGCGGTAACCAAACCAAGAACTATCTGGCCTTCTCAAGTTGAATGAAACTATGGTACCCAACTCATTACGTGAGACCTAAAATAAAATGTTTGAAGCCTATATCAGTAAATTTTTAAAAATCTATATCAAAATGAAACTTACAGAAAGTGCACATGCATTGCATAAAGTTTATTAACTCTAAGTACACCTAAAAAAATTTTAAAATTCATGTAAGGAATTCCAGAAAGGAAAGAGTCTGGCAATTGAAGATTCTCTACATGGCTTCAGCAAGACGATTTTAGAAGAAAACAATTCTTATATAGAGTATGGTGACGTTGAAGGAAACATTTTTCTCCGAACAGTAATAAAACTTGACCTCCATCCCATATTACATTTTTTTTTTTTTTTTAAAAAAAAAATATTTTAACTGGATTTAGAGATTTAGCATGCTGCAAAAAAGTAACTGGAGGAGATTAATTCATTACTACTAAGTACTAACGGAAAAATCACCGGGGTCACAATTGAAGTTCACACTTTCTAAAGCTAAAATTTGTGGACTACTAGCACAGAAATTGCAAACGATTACAGAGTAGCACCTGATTTTTTAATGGAAATGAGAAGAAAGAGAAGGTTTGGAATGATTAGAGGTGAAGAGAAGGGCACTCTAGGGGTCCTTTTTGAGTCATTGGTGCTTGCAATTCTGTACTCAATTCACTGTTTTGCAATTCCTTTTACACCTTAGGAAATTTGCACCAATTAAAAAATATTTTAACTGTGTGGTTAAATTTTGAGTCATTGGTGCTTGCAATTCTGTACTCAATTGGTGCTAATTTCCTAAGGTGTAAAAGGAACCTTAAAGACTGAAGGCGCCAAACTGCTGCTCTTAAACTATGAATTTCAACAAAAAGAAGGGGCAAAAAATCTTTAAAAAAGGTATGAATAATATATTTAAAAGGACAAAAGAGAGATTCAAGCCAAATCTAAGAAATTTTGAAAAGAAAAAGAGAAGCACATTAGAATAATGGGATAAAGCATATTACCTAGCAATGTGAATTAAAATTCTTTGAATTTTTTTTTTTAATTACAAGACTTACCTTTGAGTTAGGTACTCCATAAATTGTGCAAACACTGTCCCCATTTTCATGTCTTAACGCCAAAAGCACATTCCTCACATATGTGGCAAGTGACGTTGTATGCCTTGGAAGTAAAAATATAGAGCTTATGTTAAACATATTATGTTCAAATTACAAAATAACAAGGAAATAAAAGAGGAAAATAGATTACATTCTCCTTGACCAATCAAGGAGAAAGAAAACAAGGGGAAAAAAAGGAAAAAACGATGGCATGCTCATTGAACGTTCTACGTTTATAGCGATAAATGATGACAAAGAAGCACGGATATTGCCTAACGTGATGATCATCCCTCCATTTACAACTCAATCTCTCTCAAAGGGAAAGGACATCCTAGTTTTTCCATTTTACTTTGCCTCCACAACACAAGCCCAGATATTGCCACTATTATCATCTGCATATAAGAAGGGTGCTCTATACCTAGGCCTTGCATTATAATAACAATAAAAGACAAAAAAGATTCTGAAGTCAACACTAAAAAGAAAACAAAACAAAACTAACATATCTGATACTAATCAAATATAATGTATGTAACTTTAAAAATAATTAGATTCTGCTTAGAGATAATGATAATAAGATTACTAGGGTAAAAATGTCACAAATAGTTGGGCTGGCTGAGCTGGACTTTCCATGGCCTAAACCCATCCTAGAAAATGAAACGGACTACAAAATAAATCTTGGACTGATCTAGTTGAATGGGACTATCAGGCTAGGCAGGTAACTCAGCACACAGCCACCATTAGGCTTAATCAATTAAGTAAATGTTTGTTAATGTCCATCACATGTGAGAGAGCCGTTAGAAAATTCTCCAATCCCTTACAGGATAAGGGCAAGGCAAACATACATAATTCTCAAACAAAGCATGGCAAATTGTTAGCTAGGACAATAACCAGAATTGGAATGTGCTAACGATTTTTTATTTGGCATATTTTTAACTAAGGATTTAGAGAAGAAGATATAATGCCAACTAAAGGATAGAAGAAAAACCAACCAAGAATTCAATGGCTATTATATTTATCATTTGGAGATTACAACTCCATATTCATATTAGGAATTTATACACTAAAAAACACCAAAACATAGAAGGGTGTGCTTGTGCACATGCATGTATGTCAGCATGTGTGCGGGTTTGTATGAAAAGTGGTATCTTCCATTCCTTCACAACCACAGAAAATTCTCCATTCTTTAAAGCAACTAACTTTCCATGTACCGGGATATAGCAGATATGGATAAAGTATTGAGTATTCTGAACCCATGATGAAGGGATGCTATACTCAAGAATGAAATGGTGCCATCCTCAAAGAACTCCTCAACACTTTCTCTTCTTTTAACAAAGTCAATGTCAGCAATAGATGCAGCCACTGTGCCTGAAAAATTTTCAATGGTGAAGCAAAGTAATATCAATACAGAACCTGTATTTTATTGCAAAGATACGATATAATAGCACAAACCTCCACTAAAGTAGGTCTTCTCTAGTAACTCGGCAGCTCCTGTGGAATTGCAATAGGGGAAACAGTAAACAAAATACTAGGTCATATCATGATTTGAAGGATAATAAAGATAAAAGATTCAAAGCTTGAACTAATTAGATAGTGTTCTACGAAAAGCACACCAACACCACCATCACATGATGTTAAAGAAAGTATAATACCTTTCAAATTAGTGGCTTACCATTTCGAACAATGAGAGCTCCAAGTCCAGTTGGATAGCCAAATAGCTAAAGGAAAATATATATATATATACAGATTAAACACCAATATCAATATGTAATAGTTTCTTATATCCATGCAAGGACAACTCTGAAGTTGTACAAGTATACCTTATAAAATGAGATGACAACAAAATCTGCCTGATACTTTGATAAATCTGGTGGTTCCGTTGCACATCCTTTTGCAGCATCAATCAACACCATCCAGCTACCACTGTTTTTAGAGAAAGAGCAAATGTTTTTAGGGAGACAAATCTATTTTTGAAGGAAGCAACAAAGCCATCCTCTCTTAGATAATTTTTTCCAAAGGAAATTGTGTCGTAAAAAAACCATTAAAGAAATGTCTAGCATAGATGCAATAATGATTAAAACAAAGCAAAAAATTGTTAAGATAAGTTACAATCTTCAAATTGCAACATTAATCAAGTGGAGTGTTTGTGAAACTTCAGGTTGTAAAAGCCTCCTTTTGAGACCTTTCATTTATTTATTCCTTGCGTACCGTTTCCATTTTGAGTGTCAGTATTGCGATTGTTGCCACAAGTGCCTTTAATTCACACCTCTTACTATTTTGATGATTACAAAAAAAGATAAAAAGTGTTTTTAACATATCTCTATTTGAGATACAGTAAAACAGGAACACCAATAAAGAACAAGGCATGGAAACATCAAGGAATGGATGGCAAAATGGAAAGCCCACATCTCATCAACAGGGGTAGTTTAGAAATTGTGAGGTATAATAGTTTATAGCCTTTGGTTTAAAGCTCATCTTGCATTTCTTCATACATCATGCAAGCAAAATCTGTCACTTGAACTAACCGATCAGATATACAATGTGACCGATCAGATAGCTATATAAAATGAAAATTATAATTGATGTAACTGATCACTTCAGTAATGTGATTGATCAGATTGATCCAAGTGATCGATCAGATTATTTGATATTATTGATAGGATGCCAAAAACAGTGAAGTTTCATTTTTCTGAAAAACATCATGTGACCAATCACTTCACCTATGTAACCAATCAGATGACATAAAGTGATCGATCAGATCACTCCATACTATCGATAGGATGAAGAAAACAGTACGCCTGGAAAAATTGTGACTTATCCATGTGATCGATCAGATCATTGATGTAACCAGTCGGATGCTTTAAAACTTGAAAGTGCGGGGAAAAAGGATCTTATCCTACCGATCACTTCATTGATGTAACCGGTTAGATGCTCCAACTGTCTGAACAGATGAAGCATGTGTCCGATCACTTGCCTTCAATTGATCGCACAGATGACTCATGTGATCGATCAGATGGGTAAAAAGTCAGATTCTTTTTAAATTGTAATGGTATTCTTGGCAAGTTTCGAAATCTTATCTAATGCCTATTAAGCCTTTATATAAACACATCAAGGTTTTCATTATAATACAGAGAATTACATCAAGAGAGAAAAACCTTGTGATCAAAAGAAACTTGCATTGATCATTGTCTCATTCATATCATTTGAGCTTTAAACCTTTTGCTATATTCTATATTTGCCATAGGCTTGTGAGCTTTGATTTGCGTATCAATTCTGAGTGTTTCTTCGTTCTTCAATTATATTCGTCAAAAACTATTGTAAGGGTTGGTGTAACCCAGAAGAAGTCTAAGAGAGGTCTATTCTCTTAGCAAGAAGATTTAGAAGCAGCGTGCTTCTTCTACCGGTTTGCTCTCCACCTTTAAGGAAAAGCCTTATTGGGTTTTGGGAAGTCTCAAGAGGGATCTTGAACCGAGGAGTAGGAGTTTCCGAACCTCGCTAAATCTTAGCATTCTGAGTTTGCTTTTCTCTCTCTTTACTTTACTACTTAATCATTATTGCTTGTCTTTCATTATTCATTATGCATTCAAAGGATATTTATTGTCAAGCTTAAATAAACATTAAAACTGATTATTTGGTATTGTTCTGTTAAGACTCTATCCCCCCCCCCCCCTTACTGGGTAACAGTGATGTTGTGGCCCGAGTTTTGTTTCGGCCTGGGTTGCAACCAAACCAAAAAAAAAAAAAAACGACCCGTTTTTCTCTTACGGGTTGTGGACCTTGTTTAGAGTACTCTCTTGTAGTCCAGTATATAAGGGAGTTTAGGGTTTAGAGTGGGATAATGAGAGAACATTGAAAATCATAGGAAAGAAAGAGAGCTAGGGTTTGGAGGTTGAAATTTTTAATCTCCTGTTTTTCGAATATTTCGCCAGATCTACACCGTGGGCGTAGGGTTTCCCGAACCACGTAAATCTTTGTGTTCTTTGTGTATGGCATATTTACTTTTCGCTCGTGTTTCTTGATTTGTTCTTGGTTCGCGGTGTTTGTCATTACAATTATCTTTCAACCTTATTTCTTAAATCCAAATCAAATATGTTTTTAGTTTGTTGATAAGCATATAGTCCATGGTTTCCCTTTTATGCAATCTAATTTCTTGGTGAAGATAATAAAATTTGATAATTTCCATGAAGGAGGTGGACAGTACTGGTGCGGATTCCTTGACTTGGGTGCCGTCGGCGCGGAGGACTTTCCAGGTTCGGTCCTTCTTTTTCTGTCTCTCTGGGTTTCACGGCTCCAGACGGTCTGGTTGTCAAAAGCGCCTCTTAGGGTGGCCTTTTTGTGTGGACAGCTGCTTAGGGTAAGATTTTGATCCTCGACAATTTGAGGAAGAGAAGACAAATCATTGTGAACCGATGTTGTCTTTGCAAGATTGATGGAGAGTTCGTGGATCACCTTCTTTTACACTGTCCTTTGGCCCGTGATTGTTGGAGTCTTATCCTAGGTCTCTTTTGTGTCCATTGGGTCATGCCCCGAACCTCAAGGGATTTGATGGATGTCTGGAGGGGCCAAAGGGTGGGGGCGCATGTTAGGGTCTTTTGGAGGGTGACCCCCCTTTGCATTTGGTGGAGTCTTGGGAAAGAGCGGAATAGAAGATCTTTTGATGGGGAGGAACCTTCCATTGGGGCGTTGAAGTTTCCATTATCTTTTCTCTTTTTTTTTGGAGTTGGGGGAGAAATTATTTATCCATAGATGAATTGGTGGACTTTATGGGTTCTTTGGGACCATAGGTCTTTTCCTCGTTTCTTGTATCTGACTTTTGTACAGCTCTTGGGACGCGTTCCCCTTTTGAACGCTTTCTAATATATCTCTACTTATAAAAAAAAAAATTTCCATGAAGGAGAAAGAGAGAGTCCATAGATGGAAACTCTTTTTAGAAAATTACCAAAAAAAAAAAATCTGAGCTTCAATGCTTCAGAAAGTAAAAGGAATGGCAAAGAGTCGAAGAGATAATATATATACATATATATATACACACACGTAGAGAGACACAGAGAGAGAAAAAGAGAGGATGAATGGCAAGACAAAAAAAAAAAAAAAAGAGATAACTGATTAAGATGGTTTGGACATTTGCAGCGTGGTCAGTAGTTACACTCAATAGGAAAAGTAGTGTGGTCCTCATTGAGGGTAAAGCTAGGGGAAGGAGAACACCAAAACTAAGTTAACTAACATGGTTTGAGATAGTTAGGGAAGATATGGTATCACGTGGTTTAACTGAAGCTATAAAGGATTCATGTAACAGACCCCAAATAGTTAGGAAAAGATTGTATTGAGCTGAGGTAGAGGATAAAAGGAATAAAGGAGACATTTAGAAGGACATTACCCAGTTCTAATTCTGCCTCAACGGGGCCCTGAAGATAGAGGACTCGAGACAGTCCTAACCTTCGGTATTTCACAAAGTGGCTACTCTAAGGATTGAACTAGTGTCAAGGGCACCAGTACTCAAGCATTTAACTGTTGAACCGAGCAATGGCCTTCAGATGGAGAGGATATGTAGAAACACTTTATTTCCTATTCAGATCCAAAAGCGTCTCATTCTATCTTCTAGTATATATAGTTGCATAATGTCTATAAAATCACAGGACATTATATATTACTAGCTCAAGTCTGTCTCTCTATTCTGCTTTTTCTCTGTGTATATCACTTAAGCATTGCCTTGGTCCAGAGATCCTTTTTCAAAAGTTTGAATTCCATGAGAGAGAAAACTTCTCGTATCAGAGACGTGGCCTGAGCCGACTCCGGTGAAATCCTCTACTACTTTCCTTGGTTTTTTCTTTTTTCTATCTGGTTATGCATTCGTTTTTGGAGGTTGCTAGACTGCCTCGTCTGTTTCAGGGTGGTTCTGCAAGATCAGCATCTACGTACAGAGGTTGTTTTATTTTCTTGGATGATGACTCGGTTGGTAAGAAATGAGATGATTTAAAGTCTAGTTTGGTGGGGAAATTTGACAAAGAAGTGGGTGATCGAGCCTAGATTGCAGCTTAGGCCTCACGAGCTTGGAAGGTTTCACCGGCTGTGGTTGTGTCGCCTCTGCCAGACTCTTTGCTCCTCTTTCAGTTTCCTTCTTCGGCGAAGGCAGAGAGAGTGCTTAAGGAGGGATGGCGTGACTGGGGGAAGGCCACCCTTCTTGGATCCATGGTGTTTTAGGGCGGGGTGTTCCGAGGTGTTAAAAGAGCAAGGGCTGAAGAGAGTGATGTTGTACGGCCTCCCTCTTCACCTTTGGAGCCATGCTCTCTTTGTGACAGTGGGTGATTTGTGTGGAGGTTTCATTTGGGCGGATGCTGATGAGTCCCTTGACGCTGAAAAGGTTCGTCTCACAGTGGCAAATTGCCGTGTTTGCCCACCGTTCATTTTCATTCATGATGATTGTCTTTGCTTTAAGGTGGCTGTTTGGGAGGAATCGCCTCCACAACTTGTTCCGATGACGGACAGTCTTGAAGGGGGTGACGGCTCTCACCTGCTGAAGGAGGCGAAGTGGTTGAGATGGGTTTCCATGGGTGATAAGGGGATGGATGAGTTTCAGAGATGGAAGGAGTGGAGGGATAAGCTTTGGGATCGAAACACAGTGTTCTTCAGACGTTTGTTAACTCAACGAAGGAAGGAAAGCACTTCTCGTTCGTCGGATGGTGATCGAAATTTTCAGAGGGGAGGTGGTCTTGGCCGTCAGGCGTTGCTGCAAAGATGGAGCAGGAATTTTCAACGAGGTGGGTTTCACGCACTTTCAACGCGTGGGAGGGAGAGACAAGGCAAACCAACACATGGTTGGCGCAAGAGTGATGTCCGTTCAAATTGGGATACAGCTGTATCCAATTTGAATTCAAAACAGTGGGCGTGTAATGTTAAAATGGGCTCAAGTGCTGATGGGCTTT